GGGGGGGGGGGGGGGTGACAAATGATGCGAGGAGGGATGGGGGATGGGATGAGTGTGCGTGCTGTGCTGGGCTGGTGGGTTGTGCTGGGTTATGCTGGGTTGGGCTGGGCGAGCTGGGGGCTGTGGTGGTGGATGCGTACACCGAGGAGGGAGAAGCAGCTTCCTTTCTTGGATTTGTTTGGGGGGTTGGGGGGGGGGGGGGGGGGTGCGGGATTGGGGGGGGTTGGGGGGGTGAAACATTGGGGGGGATCGGTTTTGAGGCGGGGGGTCTGTGGGAGGGATAGGGAGGGAGTAGTAAAGAGGGGAGAGGGATATTTAGATTGTAGTGCAGGTTGCATGATGTTGCTGGAAACGGATACTCTCGTGCGATCAGTTTACGGATAGAGAGAGTCTGTTTTGTGGTGCTGAAGATCGAGGCTGCTGCGTCGTGCGTGCATCTGGTGGTGGAGTTGGAGAGTTGGAGAATACTGGTCGCCTACCTACGGAACCTCGGACGTTACATGGCAGGCAGATAAACTGTCCCTAGTAAGAGTGCGCTATGATGATGGCACTGACACTGACACTGGCCCTATCCGTTCTTTTTTTTGTCTCCATAATACTGTATTGTACTGTACTGGATTGGATTGGATTGGATTGGACTGATCACTTTTTACCCATTATAATACCATTCCGTATATGATCGTACGTACGTACGTCTAAGCCTCCCTCCATTTAGCTCCACTTCTCACATCAGACTAGATGGATGGATGGGGTCGGGAAGGGAGACTTCAGACAGATGTGTCTTACTCCTTGACGCCATGCGCGCCGTTGGTCTTACAGTAGAAGTAGAGTGTAAAGATGGTGGAGGAGTGGAGGAGTGGAGGAGGAAGTAAGCTGTACACAGTATAGGACAGTGTGAAGATGTAAGATGTAAGATGTATGCCGGATGAGTCAAGGCAGTTAAAGTAGGTATATGGTGTATTATGGTATTATTATACTTTGGATAATTCACTCAATCGGCCATTCGATTACCCCATAATCCCATAATTCCCATAATTCCCATAAAATCCCACAATTTAATACCTCAATAAATCCCGTGAAATTCATAATTCTCCTTCATAAATAAAATAAATGGAATATTCGAATTATTCCCTCCCCTCCGTGCCCACACTACTACTCCACTCCCCGCGGACAGTAAAAAGTAGTAAAGAAGTACCCTTTTTAGCTGTTTAGAGTGTGCAACCACCCAAGCGTATTCGTATCGAGACTTCCCTTCGGCGCCTCGTTAAACTTTGACTCCGACCCCCCCGATCTCCGACCCCCGACTAGAACACTAGACCCATACCATACCCATACAACATACCCCAACCCCAAAAAAGCCCAACCCCGAATTCAAAGGCATCAATCGCATTATACTTTGTAAGTCACCCCTCCTACCTCCTCCTCACTCTTCCCCCCCCCCTCTCTCTTCTTCTCAACTCTCTCAACTAGGCAATTCAAAAAGATCTACTCTACTCTGCGACTTTCTAGTCCGGAAACTCTGTTCCCCGGCTTGCACTGTTCGCTCAATACCGTTTCTAAAATAATTTATAACGTTTGTCAGCTTGAATCATGGTACTCTAGTCTAATTCGTTGCCGCTAGAGAGATAGAGAGGGAACCACTACCAAATAATTATATGGGAACGGCGGCGAGAGATCAAGATCGATAATATCTGCGAAAGAGGAACGAGAAACGAAATACCACGAACCCCGCCACATATAATCCCAACTCATCCGGTCTGAGAGACTGGCATGCTCACACCATCCCACATCCACCATCCGTCTTGCGACTGACGACAGAACCACCACCACCCACAGCGCCACGCGCAACCACGACCACGACCACCATGTCTCCCAACCCCAACCATCACACCTACCCCATGCACGCCTCCGCGCACCTAAACCACGACCCGCCGCCGCAGATCTTCGGCTCCTACGCCGCGGACGGCTCACCCATCCTCACCGGCCTCGAGGGCATGGGCCTCACCTCTGGGATGTTCGGCGACGCGGGAACCCTGCTCGACGACAGCAACGAGGCGAAGCGGCGGCGCATCGCGCGCGCGTGCGACATGTGTCGGAAGAAGAAGATCAAGTGCGATGGCCAGATGCCCGCGTGCAGCCATTGCACAAACTACAAGACCGAGTGCGTGTTTACGCAGGTGGAGAAGAAGAGGAGTCCGCCGAAGGGGGCGAAGTATATTGAGGGGCTGGAGAATAGGCTGGGGAGGATGGAGAATCTGCTGAGGTTGTCGGGGCTGCTGAATGAGGATGATGGGGGGAGTACGGATTTGGGGATGTTGGAGAAACGCTTGGCGAGTCGCGAGTCTGCGAAGAGGGATGCGAGTCACTTCTCTGATTCGATCCCGACGTCGCCGTCGCAGGCGACGACGCTGAGGGGGACGCCGGGCGCGGAGGGTGAGTCCGACAGCCCGAATAGTGTGCCCACGCCGGGGACGATGGGGGGGTCGGAGCGGAGGGTGGGGGAGAAGACCGCGGAGGAGGTGGAGGAGCTGTCGGATTTGATGTGCTCGCTCGTTACTAATGATCAGGGTGAGACGAGGTATATTGGGTCGTCGTCGGGGTTCTCGATATTCTCGCCCAAGGGAATACAGTGGGTGAATGAGAAGACGGGCGATCAGTCGTTTCAGACTATGATCGCGGAGGCGACGGTCGATGACAATAAGTGGGTGTACTGGAAGCCGGAGGTGTTTGGTGATATCTTCGAGCGGCGCATATATCTCCAGCTTCCGCAGAAGGCAGAGGCGTTGTCTCTGTTGAAGGACTTCTTTGAGAACTTCAACTGCATGTTCCCTCTCTTCCACCAACCGACCTTCATGCACCTCGTCGAGCGACAATATTCTCGCGACCCATATGACGGATCAGGATGGTGGGCGAGTTTGAATATCGCCCTCGCCATTGCGCATCGCCTACGGGTTATGAGCAATCTGGTCCCGGAAGAGGAAGACCAGAAGGCGTGGGGTTACCTCAAGAACGCCATGGCGGTGTACACCGAGCTAACGATGCGCAACACCGATCTTCTCAGCGTACAAGCGCTCCTCGGCATGGCGCTATTCATGCAAGGCACGCCGAACCCGCAGCCGTCGTTCCTCCTGGTCGCATCCGCCATCAGGCTGTCGCACAGCATCGGGCTGCACAAGCGCGGGTCGGGCTTCAACCTCAACCCAATTGAGATTGAGCAGCGCAAGCGCGTTTTCTGGATTGGGTATATGCTCGACAAGGACATCTGCCTGCGCTTCGGGCGGCCGCCCGTACAGGATGACGATGATATGAATGTGGAGCTTCCGAGCGCGGACCCAGAGGACAACATCGGTAACATCCCGCTGGCGGATGGTAAGGGCAAGGTCAACCTGTTCCGACTAATGTGCGAGTTCTCCACGATCGTGAGCAAGGTATACACCCAGCTCTACTCGACGCGCGCCTCAAAACAGTCAGACGGCGAACTACTCAACACAATCGGCGAGCTAGACCAGCAGCTCGAGGAGTGGAAAGACAGCATCCCCATCGACTTCCGCCCCGAGCACGAAATCAAGGCATCGCATACTCCACTCATCCTCCACGTCGTCGTGCTACATTTCGGATACTACAACTGCCTCACCACCATCCACCGCATGTCCATCCACCACGGCTACTGGACAAGCCGACTCTCCAACTTCGCCATCCAGGGCCTGAATTCGCGACCGCTTAACCCGCGCGTCTTCTCGTCCGCGGCGCTGTGTGTATCCTCCGCACGCGCCTCAATCCACCTCGTCAAATACGTTCCCCAAGGCGATTTCTCTTGTGTCTGGTAAGCCCCTCCAATCACCCCCCCCCCCTTCCCCACATCACAATACACAAACTAACCCTCCCCTCCCACAGGCTAATCCTCTACTACCCCGTCTCCGCCCTCATGACCCTCTTCGGCAACATCCTCCAAAACCCCCAAGACCCCCGCGCCCGCTCCGACGTCCGGCTCATGAACCTCGTCGTGAACTTCCTCTCCATGCTCGCCGGCGAAGACGAAAACACAGGCGTAAAACGCATGCTCGGCGTCTGCGCCGAATTCGAGCGCATCGCCCGCGTCGTCCTCGACAAAGCCGATCGCGACACGACTACGCGCCGAAAGCGCAAGGAACTCGATGAGGTGCTCCCGAATCTTAGCGTTAATAGGCCGCCGATTGCGAGACCCCCGCCTAGCAGTAGTGCCGGGCAGACCCCGCCGCAGTTTCGGTATGGGGATGTGACGTCGTACTCGGCTGCGGATGGGAGGGGGGGTGGGCAGGCGCAGGATATGAGTTGGATGTCTGATGCGGGGTTCCATGAGATCGCCACGGATTTCGAACATCTGTCTAATGCGGCTGCTGCTGCGGCGGCGGCGGCGAATGGTGGTGGCGGTGGGGGAGTGCCGTTCCCGGATATGAGTAGATACTTGTCGGGGGCGGATCCGCATTCCCCGATTAACCCGCAGAGCTTCCAGCAGCCGTTTGTGCCGCCGGATTTGTGGAATATGCCTATGACACTGGAGTGGGATTGGGCGGATTTGACGGGCGGTGGGGTGGGGATGGGTGATGGTGCTGGGGGTGCTGGGGTTCCGGGGGCGGTGGAGAGGTGATTGTGAGTTTTGTTGAAAAGGGGGAGAGGGAGGGGGAAGTAATGTATTATATTAGAGGGCATGGGATGGGATGGGATGGGATGGTGTTGGGGAGAGCGGGATGCTTTTCGTCTTTTCTCTGGCTTCTTTTGGCTTTTGCTTTTTGTTTTCGGAGAGTTTTTGGCTTGGGATTTTTGACGAGGGTGAGCATTTGCTCTGTATGAATGGGGTTTCCAGGAGATATTTATGAGGGCTGTGGGTATGATGGGATGGGAAACGGATCTTCACTCAAATTTTGCTTCGCGATGGGGGCGAGGTTATTGTTCGGGGCGGTGTGCTAGGGGGTGGGAGCTGTAGATGGAGCTATGAGAATCTGAAAATGATTTTATACATACTTACTGCGAGGACCATACGGGCGTTGACTTGGAATGAGTGAGCAAAAGTGAGAGACTAAGAGTGCGTGCATGAGCCTGGGAATTGATCTTAGGAATTTAAACTTTAAACTAATGGGAATAATCTCTTTAGTTCCATTTCTGAGTTAGCTTGCGAATTGCAACTCTGAGCGATTAAACGCTTTTTCTTAAACCATAGTTCCTATGATTAATGCTGTTATCCACAACCCCTTCTTTAAACTTCTACATACTTGGCACAACTACTAAGAGCAAAAAGTTGGTTTCCAAGACCGGCAGTAAGGTATCTCCGAGGTATGGCAACTACGTAGCTCCGTGATTATGTAATCATTCTCTCCCCAAGGCATCGGCGGGTGCTACGCGGAATATTCTTAACAATTTAGCGAGAAGCTACTACATCCCGACCATCATACCCATCAAGCAGACCCCAAAAAACCCGTCCCCTGCACAGCGCAAACCACTCAATCCCAACCAACAAAACACACACGCGTGCGCTTCCCGAATTGCACACGTCCCGGATGAGATAAACCACACGAAACGCACGATTACTACCGCTGAAAACGACGAGAGACCGCACACGACGGCGCTGACGACGAGCCCGCGCGGGCCGAGCACGGAGGAGCGATGAGCATGCTCTTGCGGACGCCGGGGCGCATTGCGCGGCTGGGAGTGGCGGCGGCGACGACGAGGATAGCGGCGAGGCATGGATTGGGGAGGCGGGGTGCGGTGCCGTTGAGCGCGAGGATGGTGGCGGCTAGGGGGTTTACGAGTGGGAGTTCTTGGATGAAGATGGAGGAGGGGGGGAAGAAGAAGGTGGAGAAGGAGAATGGGGATAAGGAGGCTGGGGAGAAGAAGGTGGAGAAGGGGGAGGTGAAGAAGGTGGAGGAGGGGGTTGAGCCGCCAACCCCCGGCCCGGAGAAAGAGATGGATTTGGGATTTCTCCATGGGAGTCTCGCCCATGGGCAGGCGGCGGAGAACGCGCAGAAGCTCATGCGGAATGGGATAGTGATGCTCTCGCCTGAGGATGCGGTGGCGCTGGAGGGAATAACTGAGGAGCTGAAGGAGGGGTTTTCATTCCCAAAGTCCTGGTCATCGGAGGTATCGGCGAGGTTATTAAAGGAGAAGGGCTATCCGAAGGCACTGCTCGGGATTCTTGAGAAGCACAAGGGAGGAGAGCCGTTGAGCACACAAGAGGCGGCGATCATGCTCAACCTCGCGAAAATTGTGATCGAACTAGAAGCAAAGGGCAAGTCACTTAGCGAGTTCGCTCCTCCGGCTGGGCAGGAGGAACCGATCGAGGCACCTCCGCCACCTGGCGGGAACAAGAGCGGCAAGCAGGAGGGACAGCAAGGGCAGCAGGGCGGCGGGCAGGGCGGGCCTAAGTCCTTCGAGCTCAAGCTGGACTTCAACACTGCCATGCTAGGTGCGTTCACAACCTACATGCTCTACAGAATGGTCGTGCCGGGCGAGAACTCGCGCGACATCACATGGCAAGAGTTCCGGACGACGTTCCTCGAGAAGGGCCTCGTCGAGAAGCTTGTCGTCGTCAACGAGAACCGCGTGCGCGTCGTGCTGCACCGCGAGGCCACGGCGCGCGCCTACCCAGAGTCACCAGCTGCGCAACCTAACTTCCACTACTACTTCACAATTGGGTCCGTGCAATCCTTCGAGCAGCACCTCGAGGAGGCGCAAAACCAGCTTGCTATCCCGAGCAGGGAGAGGATACCGGTCAGCTATACTAAGGAGGGTTCGCTTGTGGACCTCGCCATCTCCTTGGGACCAACGCTTCTGATTGTCGGTGTCACTATCTTCATGATTCGCCGTATGGCTGGTGGTGCAAGTGGTGGCGGTGGACAGGGCGGAATGTTCGGCATGGGCAAGAGCAGAGCCAAGAAGTTCAACCACGAGACAGATATTAAGGTCAAGTTCGCCGATGTCGCAGGCATGGACGAGGCAAAGCTGGAGATCATGGAGTTCGTCAGCTTCCTGAAGACGCCAGAGCGTTACTCGAGGCTAGGCGCCAAGATTCCCCGCGGTGCTATCCTGTCCGGGCCTCCCGGAACCGGTAAGACCCTGTTGGCGAAGGCCACGGCCGGCGAGTCCGGCGTGCCATTCTTCAGCGTCAGTGGTTCCGAGTTCATGGAGATGTTCGTCGGTGTCGGTCCGTCGCGTGTGCGCGACCTGTTCGCCATGGCCCGCAAGACAACCCCTTGTATCATCTTCATCGACGAAATCGACGCGATTGGTAAGTCGAGAGAGAAGTCTGGCTTTGGAGGCGGTAACGAGGAGCGCGAGAGCACGCTGAACCAGATCCTCACGGAGATGGACGGCTTCAACACCAAGGATCAAGTCGTTGTTCTGGCGGGTACGAACAGACCGGATGTTTTGGACAAGGCTCTCATGCGTCCTGGCCGCTTCGATAGACACATCACCATCGATCGCCCCACTATGGTTGGTCGCGAGCAGATCTTCAGGGTTCACCTGAAAAAGATCGTCACGAACGAGGATATCGATTACTTGACTGGACGCCTCTCTACTCTCACCCCCGGATTCTCTGGTGCCGATATTGCCAACTGCTGTAACGAGGCAGCTCTTATTGGTGAGTCCTCTTCCTACAATTGTCGTTTTAACATATACTAACTGATACCAGCTGCTCGCACCAACGCCGAATCTGTCATGATGACCCACTTCGAGCAAGCCATCGAGCGCGTTATTGGTGGTCTCGAGAAGAAGTCCCTCGTCCTCGACCCCGAGGAGAAGAAGGTCGTCGCGTACCACGAGGCCGGCCACGCAATCTGCGGCTGGTACTTCAAGTACGCCGACCCGCTCCTCAAGGTCTCCATCATTCCCCGTGGTCAGGGCGCGCTGGGTTACGCCCAGTACCTTCCCACCGGCGACCGCTACCTGATGAACGTCAACCAGCTGATGGACCGCATGGCTATGACGCTCGGTGGCCGCGTGAGCGAGGAGCTGCACTTCCCGACTGTGACCAGCGGCGCCAGTGACGATTTCGACAAGGTGACCAAGATGGCGACGGCTATGGTAACGAAGTGGGGCATGTCTCCCAAACTTGGCCCCCTGCACTTCGCCGACGACCCAAACAAGCTTACCAAGCCATTCGCGGAGTCGACAGCGCAGACCATCGACGCTGAGGTGCGCCGCATCATTGATGAGGCGTACACCCAGTGCTCGGATCTGCTGAAGGCGAAGAAGGATGAGGTCGGATTGATTGCCGAGGAGCTGCTGAAGAAGGAGGTCCTGGGCCGTGAGGACATGGTGAGGCTGTTGGGAAAGAGGCCGTTCGAGGACCACAAGAGCTTCGAGAAGTACTTTGGTACTGGGGACAAGAAGAGCGCGCCGCCGCCGTTCCCGGATGAGGTCAAGGATGTGCCGCCTGAGGGGCCGACACCGACGACTCCGGCGTGAGTGGGGTTGTGAAGTTTTGGGTAGAGGGGAGGGTGTGGTGTGGTGGGTGTTTATTGGTGGGAGAGCCTGGTCGATGAGTGTCGGCGGGTGTATCCTGCTGTGCGTCAACTCTTCTCATTGTTGTTTTCTCTGGTGTACACATTTGTATCCTCGAATTGCATTGTCCTAGGCGTCCATAGATAAAAACCAACTTGTACTGTGGGCGGAGATTGGGAGAGGAGGAAGGGAAAGGCGGGGGAGGAGGGAAATTTTTGTTGGGATGTTGGATGGTTGATAGATAAATATGTATAAATATGTGTATATTCTCCACGGAATCTCGATGAGGATGGGGAGGAGCGTATCAACTAAACTAGATGATTGTAGACATCTCCCAGCTAAAGCGTCTAACCGCTAAATTATCAAACTACCCATCTCTCTACCGATCTATGTCCACCGCACGTGCCCCTTGTCTACTCGCCGTACTCCTCCTCCTCGCTGCGCCACTCAGCCTCCTCATCTCCATCTCCTCCCCAACAACTCCATGATGCTGGACCCTCTCCCCTCCCCCGAGGTGTGCCTTATCCCCAAAATCCCTCGTCGCAACAGCACCCACCCGCTGTCCCCTCTCCGCGAGCTCTTCATCGCTACTAACCGCCGTATCCTCCGCGCTCGCCATCACTCCGCTACCACCGCCTTCTCCATCCCCCTCCCCAAAATTCCCACCCACACTCACCATCGTGAACTCGCTCGCCGTCGGCCCATCCATCAGCCCTAGTTCCTCGCTCGTGAACCACTTCGGCATCGCCCATGTCCGCAGCGGCACAAGCGCAAAAATGAAGACCGGGAACCCCACTGCAGCAATCGTCTGCGTGATCGCAAACGTGGCTGCAAAACCTAGCAGCTGCAGTGACACAAAGTAGTAAAGCGCGCGCTTGCTGACGCGTCGTAGCGGGTCCGAAGCCGGCGTCAGTGCGCGGTCACGGAGAAGGAAGAGAATCTTGAGCGTGATGCCGTTTGCTTCGAGGGCTTGGACACCCATGACGAGGAAGAGGCCAGCGAGAACACCGCGCGGGATCAAGTGGATGACAATGAGGAGGGGGCCGGTCATAGTGCCTAGGGTTAGAAGGCCTTGGGCAAGGTTCGAGACTCGCTGCTCCACGACGTGGTCGATAACTGCTGTTGGATGGCCTTTGGAGTCGTTGTCTTCGGAGGCAGGGACAATCTTGGTAACGCATAGAGAGGCGGTGTGGAAAGGGGCTTGGGGGATGAGGCCGTTGGGGGCGGGGATTCCAAGGAGGCCCGAGACGCCGGTGGTGAGGCCAAGAAGGAAGAGGTCCCAGTGAAAGCCAGCAGGTTTTCGTAAGGGGAACTCGGAGCCCTGTGCTATAAGGGATGAGACGTTGTGGTCGAAGTAGAAGAGGATGGTGAGGAGGATAGCGAAAGGAATGGCGAGGAAGACGTCAGATACAGAGATATCCCAGAAGTGGATGAGCCAACCTCGGTCGGCTGTTGGGAAGAAGGCTTTTGAGGTTGGAAGGGTTTGTAGCTGGACGCCATCCATGCGTCCGATATGGACAAAACCAGTGAAGAACACGATTGTGAGCGGCGTGCCGTAGTCCTTGACGAAGACTCGTATGTAATGCTGGAACATGGTGCTTTCGCCAACGATGCCACAACCGTAGGCAAAGCCAAGCACAAGTAGAGATACCATGACGGATAGATAGAAGGCCTCATCGTAGCCCTGATGCGTGAGGACTTGGATGCCTTTCTGTATGTATATAAATGCGACGTAGAAACCGAATATATCGCAGGAGAAGCGCGTGACGTAACGTAGCCCGTTACAAGCATTCGTAAATGCAAGCGCCCAATGCATGACTAGTGACCAGAGGCAAACCCAGCACATAAAAGCGAAGAAATTCGTGCCCGTAGGGGTAATGATATCGTAAACCGTGTAATTAAACACCGTGATGGGTCCCGTAACGCCGACAATAACAAGGGGCTGCGCAGCCAGAACGGCAAAGACGATGGACCCCAGAACAGACGCTAATAACACTTCATTGACTCCGTAGCTCATATCGGTTTTCGTAAACATATCCAAAGAGAAGGCTAGGGCTGGCAAAATACTGTGGGAGAAAGTTAGCTCTACGGAGCGATTGGCAAGGCGAGGGCTATACTTACTTGGCAAAGTACATATATACTGTCGCTGGCACGACTCTATAATCCCAAGCATCTGTCCAATCGCTCCAATAAAAGGGTGCTCTCCTTCTTACATCTTCCACCATCCCCCGGAAGAGCCTGACCTTCCACCACGCAGGCGCTCTCCCACTCGCTGCGCTCGTCCTCGTCCTGTTTCGTGCAAATGACCCGTCCTGGTCAGTCGAATTGCTGCTCGAGGCCCGGGATCCAGGTCTCACGACATGCCCTGGTTCGACGGCCATTATGGCGTCTTCTCTGCCTGGAGCCGAAGAGGCTGCCATGGTGAGCGAACTCTGAGAATTGAGATCATTAACAATAGGTAGTTTAGAAGAGAGGGGCTGGGGAAATTGTGTGCGATAAGCCATCTTCTGGTACGATAGCGATACCGCACTCCAAGCTCTCCACTAGCTTTTTTTTAGCGTTATGCGGGGTAGCTTATAGGCTAATGCTTCCGCTGAGGGGTTTTTTAGGGTTGGCCAAAAGTACAATGAGTTAAAGCTAATAGAATCTCTCTTAAGCTCAAGTTTTTAGTTCCTAGCAAATTTAAGGGCGTTAATAACAAGTGATTAGGGGTCTTCGTCCTCATTATAGTTGCTATACGCAATTTTAGTTACATTAGGATCTATAGGCTCATTTGAACGCCTAGGCGACTGTTATGAACCGTCCGTTCCTAAGTTATTGAGGCACTTCACTCCTCTTTATAGTTGCTATAAACAACTTAAGCTATAATAAGAATTTATAGTCTACAATAAGCGTCCTAGCAGCTATTATGAACCACCTCTTCCTCAGACGCCAACCACCCATCTTCCCAATCCAGTCAATTGCCCCTTCTTATCCATGAGCTGTGCCTGAGGGCTCACAAATTCATCCGCACACTCCTGCATCATCCCAAAAAACCCATATTCTACCACCCACTCCGTCCTATCAGCCCACTCTGCGATCTCCCTACTAAACTTCTCAACCTGCCTCCTGTCGCGGCTAATGCTCGCGATCTCGCTGATGTTCACTGGCAAGTCTGGATACTTCCTATGTCTGTCCGTCAAATACCCTATAGCCTCAGCCGCAATAGTGCCGTAGTAATGTAGGCCGAGGAAGTCAGGCCGCTCTCTCGAATCCCGAGCCGTAACAAGAGCCATAAACGTATCCAACCAGACCGTTCCGGGGTGATCATTAGCCGCCGCTGGTCCCACAATCTTAGTCCCCTTCTCCTGCCTCAGAGGGACTATCTTCTCAAACCACAACTCACAGGCCCTCTCCGGTGTCAGATCTGCGCGCTCCGGCTCGTTGAGGAAGTGCATGATCGGGTATGGCTGGCTGAGAGCATATTCGAACTCAGGGAACTGTAGCTGCCCGACCGTGCGGAACATCGGCCGAAAGGGGACGTGCGCGGGGAGATCGGGTGGAGCCCATGTGTTCCAATTATGGCAGGCGCAAATGGGGGAATTGGTGGGAATAACGGGGAGAGGGATCGAGTCGCGAACTGAAGTCCAATCCCAAAGGAGGGTGCGCTTCTTGACGGGAGGCGGCATGCGGCTGGATGCGTGGGAGGGTGAATTGTGTCCCCGAGGTGGGGATGGCGTGAGTGCACGGGGCGTCATGCTAGAGTTTGTTGGAAAGTAATTGAGAGATCCTTGTCTGGCATATTGTCGTAATTACTGACGGATACGCGCGGTCTAGTTGCGTCCCGCCTCTTTTCTTCCGGATTTGGGGTGGCGGAGCGCCCTTTCCTACATGGAGTGATCGTTCGCGGGGTAACGTACCACACCACAGGCCGAGATTTGGTCAGCTTTATCTCCAATCACAACATATTTAAGATCCATCTCAGTGCCCAAATATATTATTTCTACATCTAAACAATTTCTTCAAGTCTAAAATTCAATCCGTCTCCGATTTAACAATTTTCACAGTTTCTATTCTTTTAACTAGTGGGGTTAGACTCTGTGACCATGAAGGTCACTCAAGTAAGCCGTCCAGAAACTGAGGCAGAACAATTACTGGCATTTACTCAATCTAACTCCTGGAATAGCTTTACATCTATCCAGTCAAATCCCTGCGCGGAATTGCATTGTCGTCCGCGACAGTAGTAGGCACAGGCTTACAATATGATCGCACATTCATGTTGCTCCGCGTGGAGGGTGGAGATAATGAGCCGAGGAAGCTCAATAATATGCACGTTTCAAGACTGACTGAGATGGCACTCTTCAAAACAGCCCTCGTGGAAACAAGTGATGGAGATGGGGATAGTCTCGAGGAGTTTACAGTCACGTATGCTGGCCCATCGAGCAGTCTGCCGCCTACGACTATAACAATACCGTTCGTACCAGATACGGAAAACTTGGAGATGGTCGACGTTGTGATGTATAACTCGCCTACTCGAGCTTATGATATGGGCGCCGAATACAACGATTGGTTTTCAGCTCAGTTCGGCTATGAGGTTGTACTCGCATATATCGGCACCATGAGGAGGAAAGTATTGGGCTCTCTCTGGCCTTCTGCCGCAGAAAGTGCTGTTGCCTCTACAGCCCGTTCAGTTTCACGGTATCTCTCATCCTACCTTCCTGCTAGCATCGTGGCGAAAGGAGAGGAATGGCGACCTCCAGGTATAACATTTGCCGATATTGCCATGTTCCTAGTTGTTACAGAGGAGTCGCTTGCGGAAACGTCATCGCGACTACCTGAAGGTATGGAGATGGATATCCGTAAGTTCCGTCCCAACATTGTCCTCAGTGGAGCTGAGGGTGCCTGGTATGAAGATTTATGGGGACAAATAAATATCGAGAATAAGGATGGTGTTGAGGTTGAGCTAGCATTGACTGCCAACTGTGCACGGTGTGCCAGTATCAACATCGACTATTCGACCGGCAAGCAGGCCCTGGGTGAGAAGGGGACAATGCTGAAGAAGTTGATGCCTGACCGCAGGGTGGATAAGGGCAACAAGTACAGTCCGATCTTTGGAAGATACGGATATTTGGGAAAGGGAGCTGGCAGCAACGTCAGCATCGGAGATGATGTAAGCGTCGTCAAACGGCTGGAAGAGCCGGCTACTTTCGGTATGTTATTTCCGACTCCACTGTACTGTATACTTGAGGGCTGATGATGAAAGACTGGAAAACGAAATAATGAGACGATCGACTTGTGGAGCAGGCGTTCAAAAACTGGAAACATTTTGAGGGTATTGTAGTAGTTAATTCGAGGGCAAAGTATGGTTATCTCCACTTGCTGTTGCAGTCGAGACACGAGGCTGAGCTATTTACGTCAGAGTTGGAGGTCGGTTAATAGAGGCCAATAACCCTCATTCTGCTAGAGAATTGCACTTATGATAGACAATGTGCAGTCATTAAACGTGTTCGTACTGAGAAAGATTGTGTATGGTGATTATATTCCATAATTATACTCTCTTTTGAGGTTGTGTCTCACAAATTCTATGCCATGCAAGTTGTTAGAGCAGGACTTCCTAGCTAGGCTTAGCGTGAGAGACGGTGCTTCTCTGAATATATCTTGGCAGTGATGCCGAAACCTTAAATAGTCGTCGAAGAGATGGGTCCAATATGAACTCGAAAATTATAAACTCAAGATGATAGCAAGGTAATAGCGGGAGGGGGGAATTTCTCGTGGTAGCAATACTGCGATATTTCTTGTTTCCTATATTACTACTTTCAACTCGTCTTCACTTCAAGTCCTTACTCAGCAGCCCAACGCACGGTGGAGGTGAACGTCTCATTCTCATTGTGGTTCGCAGATCAGATACTGGCTAAAGTTAGTTGGAATTGCATCCGAGTCCCATGAAAAGTATCGTCTGGTCCACAGTGTGCAAGTTCCTCATGTGGAATTCTCGTGGGTCTTCTCTGCCTTGAAATCATCGTCGTATGATTTGAGGACCCTTTTTCGTCACTAGCTACGGCCTGAAGGGTCATTAGTTGCACCGGCGCATTTATTGGTTGACCCTTCTAGGACCCTGTTACCCAAGCATGTTCTCGGCCCCAATGCTGAGCAAATAAATGGCAATACGCGCGCACGGGTGTGAATTCACATTTTTAGTGTTGTGGTATAGTCCGGACTTGGGATCTGCACACCAACAAGGCTTATCTATCACACGCTATATTTGCTCTGAGCTGGGGTTGCATGCATCAGTCTGGGCTAAGTTAAGCTCCACACTCCCAAGCGGCCTTCAGCAGCCATTTCGTCATGTCCCCGGGTTATTATGGGAAGCACACTCCCTTCTTCGGTGCTAATAGGTGGGAATAAGTGTTTTCTCTCCTTCGCAACCTGCGGGCCGAGTGTTTTACTTTATTTCAACCACACGTAAGAAAATCTGTCATCGTGTGGAGGTCCTCGCTACTTGCCAACTGCTGCCAGCTATTTCTGTTGTCTCATCTAATGAACCACGGCTACGAGTATGTCCTGATTCCAGCATTCTCATGCCAGGTATTACTGTGGGTCTGTCATCCGTCAGTCTTAGCTCTGCCTCGAGAGGCCTACAAAGCAGCACGATTTCCTCTTTCCTAACCTTTTCCTTTTTCCACCTTACAACATAACGTTCGTTGTATTGCTGTAACCCGGACCCTTCGTTCTCAATAATAGCTATCATGCGTTACACATTCGCTGCTGCTGCTCTCGCAGCTGCTACCCTCACCACCAGTGTGAACGGTTCTGCGATGCCGCAGGCCGGCTCGTCTGGTTGCCAGCCCAGCTTTGAGGGTAGCTTCCAGATCAAGGTTGTGTCAGGATCCACCCCGGCAACCCCCAGGATGATGAAGCGCGCCCAGGTTTGTCCCCCTCACCAAACGCCAACGAACCTACTAAGCTAAACTCTATTCAGTGCGGTTCCTCCGGAAGCCTTGTAGCCACCTTGAAAGACGGTGTTCTCACGGACGCACAGGGCCGCATTGGATCAATCGTGTCCAACCATCAATTCCAGTTCGACCCCGCTCCTGGCCAGGTAAACGCCATTACCACCAGCGGATTTTCCGTCTGCAACAACAAGCTCGGCTTGAGGGGCTCCACCAACTTCTTCCAATGCCGCTCGGGTAACTTTTTCAATCTATATGATGAGTCCATCGCCCCGCAGTGCGAGCCGATCACCATCGACATCATCAGCTGTGCCAGCGGTGGTGATCCTCCCGGTGATCCACCAGTTTCTCAGGTGGGAGATGGCCAGCCCCAGAGCGGTGCGGGACAACAGCTGGGAGATGGCCAAGTCCAGAATCCTGCTGTGGCGCAGCAGGGAGGTGCCGCAGGTGAGGCTGGAGAGGGGCAAATCCAAAGCCCCGGTGCACAGCAGGGAGGTGCCGCAGGTGAGGCTGGAGAGGGGCAAATCCAGAGCCCCGGTGCTCAGCAGGGCGGCTCTGGCACCCAGCCTGGAGCACCTAGCGGTGGAACCTCCGGCACTCAACCAGGTGCTGGGAGTGGGAGCGGAGGAGGAGCCAGTCCCAGCGGCGGTGGAGCTAGTGGCGGCGCACCAACTTGTGCTTCGTGCGCGGGAGGCTCACAGCCGAGCGGCAGTGGCGCAGGAGGAGGAGGCGGCGGCGCCTCTGGTGGTCAGCAGCCCGCTGGAAACAACGCAGGAGGAGGCGGTGCCTCTGGTGGTGGACAACCCTCTGGAAGCGGCACGGGAGGAGGCGCTGCTCAACAAATCAACGATGGTCAGCTGCAGAGCGGCGGAGGAGGCGGTGGAGCTTCCAATGAAGCTGTCGAGGGTCAAATTCAGAGTCCCGCTCGATTCTAAGGGTTTCAACGGGGTAATGAGTGTCTGGTAACGGATGGCGATGGAATAAACGTATAGGCAAAACTTTAATAGATTGTATAGAGTATAATAAAATCGAATGCTGTGCTTTTACACTTCAAGTTCTAAATATGATGGTTAGATTTCGGATATAAACGCCTTTCCTCGGGTTGTTGCTGAAGCCATAATGCGTGTTTCGGTTTCGGACCGAATATGAGAATTTTACTCTTAGTTGATTGAGATCCTAATTCTACTTACAGTCGGTATAACCCATAAGATGGTGATGAGTAACTAAATATCTTTATTTTATTTATTGTTGCTGTAAACAGTGATTGAGAACCTGCGTTTTGTTCTTGCTCGGCGTATTCTGGTGGCTGCTATGGTAGTCTCCGCTACGGATTGCCACGCACGAGTAGTTCAATAGATGTTTCTAATTGACTGTGTCTACATAAAATAAATGCTCGCGAACAGCTTGTCTAAATATTTCTATATTTACTGTGACCCTCCCAGACTCGTACAATCGTAGCCAAAATGACGCCAAACTCTTTCTTATCTACACTCCACACAGGTGGAATCTATTTGATAAGCGGCGCCTTGGCGGCCACCAGCGCGGCGGCTTTCTGGAGTTGCTCGCTCCTCATCTTGCGGATATAGCGGAAGAGCAGGACGAATAGAAGTTCCATGCTATATATACGTCAGTAACTACGCCTTAAAGTGAACAGAGTGCGTAGAATCTTACCGTTCCTTGGTCATCATGAGGAGACCCTGGACAAGAAGTCCCTTTGTGATTTGGGGACCAATCCCCTTGAACAGACCTAGGAGGCCCTCGTTCTTGACGATGAACTCCATCACCTCGACGAAGCTCTTGAAGGGCTTACCCTGGCGGGAAGGCGGGGGCTTCGACTGCAGGCCCACCTTCGCAACGATAAGTGGCTGTGTAGCAATAGTTGCTAGGGACTTCGACATAGCACCGAGAACTAAACGGAGAATTCGTTAGAAACAACCCTCTAGGCAACCAGGTGTCAGCACGAGTACTTACGGAAAGCCTCCATGGGCCTTAAGTTTGCCTTCCCCGGGTACATGACGTCCTTCAGGCGTTGGTAGGCACCATAAGTGATGGCTGGATTGACCACAAGGACCAAGCTAGCCTTGAGGCCTCTCCAAAGACCAGTCCACCCATCCTCACTGTTGATGACCTCCCTCCCAGTGTCAATCATGCCCTTCTGCTCGCCCTTTGACTGCGTCTGCTGACGCGTTGTGACGACCGCAACGGGGATCGTGAAGATCTGGGCCACAGAGCCTGCGACCGCACCGAGAGACAGCTCCACCAGCGTTCCAGGCGCGGCTGTGTCCTTTCGCGACGACATGTACAGGGTCCTCACGACGGAGTACCAGTAGAAGTATGCGAAGTTGGTCGAGGCCACGCCGATCAGGGCCCCCTGGATGCCGGCGTACAGGCCTGCGTATCCATCAGAGTCAACGATCTTGGTGATAGCGTCCCATGTCGAGTCGTAGTGTGCGGGGTCCCCCGCGGAAGGGGGAGCATCAGTTGCCTTCCGCTTGACTTGGACCTGTATACGAGTCTTGACGCTGTTGCAGAAGAGGATTAGAGTTGTTCATCGACTTAGGAGGCTTGTGGGGCACGGTGATACTCACATGTCGAGAGGGTACACCAGAGCGTTGGCAAGGACTGCACCAGTCGCGCCAGCGACCGCGAGGCCCCAAGGAGGGATAGGTGCCTCCTTTGATTGTCCAGCCATTGCAGCGGCGTGTCTTCGTTATTCTAGGTGTATATTTCCTTTTCCAAACCTGGCCCGCACTTCGAAATGTCGTGCTGTTGCCGAGGCTACGTCAGTTTGATGATACTGTTTCTTCGAATCTCAGATATGAAGAATTCGACGTGAGGTATGTCAGTGAGAGACAGGTCTGGCGGGCTAGTGGAGAGCGGAAAATCAATGGCCTCCGGGAATGTTGTTGCGATATAGGCGTGCATATTTTGGGAGGGATGCGATTGTTGCCGGCTTGTATGCGAGTATCTCGGGAGCATCCACTTAATGGTCGCTGAACCTCGGCGCAATCCTCGGAACCCGGAAGATTAAGGTGGTTTTCCAGGGTTGTCTATCTTATCATCACATGACATCAACGACACCATTACATGTGACTATCAATTTAATTCCCCCCTTTTGTCCGCGCTACACATATCTCTTCTACGGGTAGAATGTCAGATTCAATTAGCTGCCTTTCTCTTTACAAGATCTCCGCATGCTGGGTCGAGAAAAGCACAGTAAAATATGGAGGCTAGGATATCTGGTTTAGTGCACCACTTGCTTGTGTGGATCACTCAACCACCCGCATGTGGAGTACGTTATCAGCACAACAGAGAGCTAATTCGGTCTTTCCATGAAAATGTTTCTGCTATAGCTCGTGATGGCAGACATAAAGGTTGACGGATCTTAGATCGGCATAAAACTCCTCGTACATACCTCCCTGATCTGGCATATCGCCCGCGGTTTCAGCGGTGTAATCTCTATGGAAGAACGAAATATAATTAACCATCCCAGCACTGGACGCCTCAGTTCTGTCCCGCCATGAATGAAACTTCCATTCCTTGTGGTCGCATTCATCATCAGATACATCGTCGAGATTGACATTTATCTCCCGCGCCTTACGGAGGATATCCGCAAGGTAATGAAGATTAGGACTGGTGGGCGCTTTTGCAACATGAAAGATTTCAGATTGCTCTCACGTGATGTGGGGATGGCATCTCGGAAAGACTTATTCCTAGTTTGTACTTAGGAAAGTGCGGGGAAGGCCTGTCTAAATCGCGAATTGACTGGCTTCGGAATAAGTGTAACAATACAACTATTTACAAGCTGCCGAAATTAGATTTCAATTTGTAGCTTCTTAGATCCTCTAAGAAGTATTAAAGAGTTGGGTTTCCTTCGGATAATTATACAGCACTATGATGGCTCTAGTCAATGACGTAACGGGGGTTCCTGGGAGGGCTGGAATATCGGATCAGCCACTGTTGGCAAAAGATGGAAAACGAAAGTCCAAGAAGCGGGTACGGGCCTTTACTTCCGAGGATCGAGCTTCACATCGCTCTATTGAAAAGCAGAGGCGCGAAGCTCTTAATCAAAGCTTTCTTGTAGGTTCCAAGTCTGTCCCGTGATCTGTTGGTAGCCTTCTGGAGCCTGTGCTGGCTTAATATTTACTGAGAGCCGCATATCCATAAACGCGGTTATATTGGCAAGATGGACATATTTTTCAGGCACAGTGTTCGAAGGCTTACATCAGGTGATGTATTACATGTTTTTAATAGCTTCCTTCTAAGTGTTCACATAGGAACTTGCACGCCTGCTTCCACCTCTGGCCCATGCCCGTCGGCTTTCCAAATCTCTCATTGTTAACGAGAGCATCTCGTACCTTAATGAGCAACGCGCGATCCGCCTTGCTGCTGCTAGCGAAATCCGTGACCTTCTCGCGGATTACAATTCACTTATTACGCAACTAAACGCCCTCCAATATCTTCACGTTCCAGGAGAGAGCCAGCAACTACCGCACCGTATAACAACAAAGGCGCTTTCGGCGTTTATGGATGCAGAACGGGAAGAATTTGGCACCTTTCCTGGTGGATTTGGTGACAATGGCCCATACGACGATGTTGAGGGTGACCAGGGTAGAGAAATCGATTATTTCGTAACTCAACCTGATAACTCGGACTTCACTACTGTATTAGAGAACCCGACGAATGGTCTAGTGGATACCACCCCTCCTCTACCCAATTCTATACCAATGCAATTACCACTTAACACGCTCCAGACAAACACTGACGATCCTAGAACACAACAAAGGGAATTGAATCCGTTACAATACTCATCTATGCCCAATTCTCTTGCGACTGGGGATCTAACGTCTTTGAACAGCGAACTTCTCGACAATTTGCTTTCTGACAATGAATGGCCACTTGATATGTTATTCGAGCCAACTTTTCATACCAACACCGGTTCAACACAGTTATTATACAACAATAGTGTCTCCTTATCACAATTTCGTGGGCAGAACCATCCTAGGGCTGAGAACGGTGGTTTTGACTTCATACAATAACTTTCAGCCTTGGTATTCAGTTTGATCTTGCATCAGAAATGTACGTGAACGCCATTTATAATGCTAACTCTCATGCTAACCATTCTGTGCTATGTAGGAAATAGGAAGTGCTATGATGAAGCGAACCTATACAGTTGCCTTATACCTGTTTCATTGCCTCCTCAATCGCCGCCTTGCTTCGCAATTCCCCGCCTTTGAAAAGATCAAGTGCTTCAAACAGGCGGGTCTTGGTGACTGGATCCGCCTCGATAGCCTTTTCTAGCTCGGCTCCATTGTTTGCAAGGTAGTCTATGTCGGTGCTAGCCAACTTGCCATCCCAGTTCGCCGCTGCGAGTGGGTCTGTCTTTGCCAGCTTCAAGAGTCGGGCGGGGGTTGGACCTGCACCCTTGTACGCATGCATGGGCTTTGGTACGCCTTCTCCTGGCTGCTTGCTACCGTCATAGTCGAGCTTGCTGAGCTGAGTGAGTACATCAGACGAGATGGTGGCATGGTGGCAACCCATTTCACCAGCAGCCATTGCTTCCTTAGGAGAGATGAAACTAGAGCTGTTAGGAATATAACACAGTCGCAGGAAGATGGCAACGACATACCTAGCGGATTTCACCATGGGCTGTTCCTTTCCTGTCTCCTTGTAGAGACGTTTGTACGTCTCTAGTATCTGTATCATTCTTGCAGACATGGTGTGTTGTGTTGCCGGATCTTCGACATCTGGCCAGAGAGCCAGCTCGGCGTGGGCGCGCACCTCTGGGACGAACTCTGTTAGTAAGCTGTAAATATTTTAACTTGATGAAAACTAACCGTTATAGTAGGGGCTGATATACAGACATCCAGCTTGGCTTGAAGCAATTGCTTGTGGCAGTCCAAAGAGCGAAGTGCCAAGTGTTCGGATGCCATCTTTAAGCAAAATAGGACCAGCGTTCATGGCAGGGCCAGTGCAAGGAATCTTAATGCAGAATCGATCCTTGGAGATTCCAACGCTCTCGAATTCGCGCGCATATGCGCGGGCATGCTCAACAACCTTATCTGTGTCGTATGCGTGGAATGGCGATGTTTGCAACAAGACACGGCCTTGAATGTTATCGATGTTCTCGGCGCAGAGGAGGACGCTCTATGAATCGCAGAGTTAGTTTCAGAACCTGTCACCAGTGCTTGCAAACATACAATGCGTGTGAGGATAGCTTCCCAGCCCTGTTCTTTACGCTCCTTTACCGCCTTGAGAAACAGCTCCTTATTCTCGGGGATGGACATCTGCTCGTTCACCAACAACTGGTTGCTGGTTTGGTTGTGTGGCTTGAAGGGAAGGCTCTTCGCAAAGGTCGGATCCATAGAATCAACGTCGACATTTACTATGTAAAATTAGCATGTCCGTTCTCATAAAACTGTTTTGTTGTGGACGTACACTGCTCCTCCAGCTTCTCCAGCCAGGTGATAGAATTGCTGCCCATTCTGAATGACTATAGGCCAATGTAAGATTGTGTGAGGATGTGTAGGATGTGTGAGAATGGATGACTTCTTTCTTGTTACTGTTAACAGCTCGAAAGCCTCCTTATATGATAACTACCAGGTAACATCACGTGAAATCATGACTGGTTGTCACACACAGGGTAAGGCGGGGTAAGCGGGGGGGAGGAGGGAAGCACACAGGGCAAAGTGGGGTAAAGTGGGGCGTGAGGATGGAGCACACAGGGCACGACAGGGGTGGGTGGTCTGGCCTATGTGACTGGCAATTACCGTGTGTGTGGCACTCCAATTGTCACAACTCCTCTGTTATCCTTCTGGTATATTGTATCTGTGCCTGTGCAGGGCCACTCCGTACATGCATCCATTTGGAGGATAGCTCTACGCCACTCGATATCTCCCCCCGCGTTGCCTGCGCAGGTCGTCAAAGTGGGAATGACGACGCCCATTCAGCTCTTGTTGATATTGTAATCTGAAGGAACTATGATTGCTGGGATAACGAGGCGCTACAAACCCATGACCCCGGATATGCTCCGACCAAAACCTGGGGTCCCCGCACTCCATTCCTCAACCCCGCAGGCGACGACAGTCGTACCGGATTTGAAGGGAGGGTAACTGTATTCGGAATGATTATAACCAGCTTATCAAGTCCCCGCAGAGAAGTATAAAGATGGCCCGGTATTGGCCACAGGATCATCAATTTCGAGCGTGATAGCAACATCCATTCAAATTCTGGCCCACCATGTCAAATTCTCCAACACCATCGCTTGTCAAGAATGGCAAGGAAGACTTTCATCATGTCGAAGGGCTCACTTCACCTAACAGCCATATCAATGTGGGAGATGACTACGCTAACAATGTGAACGCGAAGTACGGTGTAATCCTTAATCGTTTGTAGCAACCTCGCTGACCAGTCCATAGGATTCGAAACCCCTTATTAGGAATATCAAAGCCAGATTTGTTGGCACAGGTCACGGCATTCTGCAAGGAACATGATCTGGAGGATAAAACGTCTGTCTTCCGAAAGGGATCTCTTCTGGCGCAACATCCAGAGAGCTTTGAAGACATCGAAGAGCTCGATGAAGAGGACAAAATCACGATTCGTGAAGAGAAGACTCGTGAGTTGAGTACTGCCATTCATAATAATAATTCTAAATTCAAATCTAGACAAATGGCGTTTGCCTTGGGCGCTGTACTATACCGTCGCTATCTGCTCACTTGGCTCGGCTATCCAGTACGTCTCTGCCTCTAGAAAGCAAATGCGATGACCTTTCTAACTCTGCATAGGGGCTGGGACAACACCGGCGCAAATGGAGCGAATCTATCGTTTCCAAAAGAATTTGGCATTGAGAATAACACTTGGCTTGTCGGCTTCGTCAACGCTGCGTGAGTATTGGTAACCAAACTTAACAACCGCTTATTCTAATACGAGCTTAGGCCAGGGATCTCAGGTCTTATGAGGTAAGGACAATTTCTTCTCATAACCTTGTATCACTTTCCTTTCTAATCAAAACCACTGCAACTTGTATCGCTGGGTTCCATTGCTACTGCGCAGATCTGAGCTAATATTGTTTTAGTACCTGGGTAGCCGATCCAATGAACAATTGGGTAGGTCGTCGAGGAGTGATATTCATTACTGGCCTCTTGTAAGTGCCGAAATACACGTTACGATGCAACAGCTAATGTGTTTCTCCAGCGTTATATTTCCAGTGCTCGGACAAGCCTTTACACATAACTGGTGGAGTTTACTGATTTGCCGGCTGCTTATGGGATTTGGTATGTCTATGCAGTGGCTCTCTTGTTACTAGAGATGCTTACTACTGCAGGTATGGGGATCAAGACGACAACCATCCCAATCATGACATCTGAGATTGTCCCTGCTGCCATTCGCGGAGGACTTGTCATGAGCTTCCAGCTTTTTGTTGCGTTTGGTATTCTGGTGTATGTTGCTCACCTTTCCAATAGCCATCGCTGTCCTAACAGATCATAGCGGTTTCTGCTCAAATCTCGTGTTCTATCGTATAGGCCCGCTTGCCTGGCGGTTCCAACTCGCAGCTGCCTTCGCTCCAGCGGTACCAATTGTAATCTTGATATGGTTTTGCCCTGGTATGCCCATCTGTTCACGATTTTGTTCCGAGACTGACATTTTAGAATCTCCACGTTGGCTCCTCAAGAAGCATCGCTACAAGGATTCCTTCCGATCGTTTTGCCGTCTACGCAATTCTGAGGTTATCGCGGCCCGAGATCTCGTAAGCCGACCCAGTAGTTTTACTTGATTACAGATGTTAACAAAATAATAGTACTACGCACATTGCCAATTCGTCGAGGAAGAAGAGGCATTCAAAGGCACAACGCTGGCCCAACGCGCTAAAGAGATATTCACAATACCTAGAATCCGCCGAGCAAACCTTGGTGGTGCGATCGTTATGGTGGCCCAACAATTCTCAGGAATTAACATCATGTCATTCTACTCGTCCACGATATTCAAAGAAGCTGGATCCAATACGCTAGAAACCCTCCTTGCTTCCTTTGGGTTTGGCCTTGTCAACTTCATCTTCGCCTTTCCTGCTATCTGGACAATCGATACGTTTGGCCGCCGGAATCTGCTACTGTTTACTTTCCCAAATATGGCATGGTGCTTGGTTGCCGCAGGGTGCTGCTTTCTTATCCCTGCAGAGAACAGCGCACGCCTTCCACTTATCGCTTTTTTCGTTTACTTATTTACAGCGCTATATTCACCTGGTACGTTTTCCCGTGACTCAGTGATTCATTCCTCTTTAACAGTTTTTAGGAATTGGGCCTGTTCCAAACGTTTACGCTTCGGAGTGTTTCCCATTGTCCCATCGGGAGATTGGAGTCGCCTTCTCGATATTTATCAACAATACACTTTCTAGTATCCTTGGCTTGACGTTCCCCTCAATTTTAAGTGGCATGGGCCCTACTGGAGGTGAGTAGGGGCAGTAGCAGCACATGAGTTGGTAGTTCTTGCTAATATATTCTATAGCGTTTGGCTTCTATGCTGGTCTGAACATGGTAGCCTTTGTTATCATTTTCTTCTTCCTGCCTGAAACCAAGTAAGTTTTGTCTTAGTAGCATCCAGCATTCACTAACAGTTAGTAGGCAACGTACACTTGAAGAGTTGGATTATATCTTCGGGGTCCCTACGAGACGCCACGCCGCATATCAGACTCGAACCTGGCTACCATGGTTTATTAAGCGTTACATATTATTCCAGAGTAATGCCCGCCTAGAGCCTCTCTATCATCTAGAAGGACTTTCAGGGGGGACCACTGTGGAAGTTATGGCCATCCATTAAGTGTCGCGTCTAAGTTGTCGTCTAGTGAGAATTTTTGGATGTAGAACTAAAATCGCAAACTGTAAGAGATAGTTCCCGGTAATTAGCTCATAATGAAATACTATTAAATCTATCGTAGTCTCAAAGCGACTAGTGATTAAATTATCAGGTTCTCTATTCGCCTGTACTCGACCCAGACCAGCGGCTCGGTCCAGACGTTTAAGAGCACGTGTGATGATAAATGTTTAACCAGCTATTAATCTAAATACTCCATGGTCGAGACCCGATTTCTAATCAGAACCCATAGCCTCCCATTTTCTGCTGTATTAGATATCGGTGTAGGATTGCAGGGGTTATAGGATGGGCCTAGACGACGTTGGTGACTAAAGGTACGTGTAAGTGCGCCCCACAACATAACACAACACACCCCCCAAGGTATCGTCGGAGACCTTTCGCACCTATTTAGAGTCTAGAGAAATTATCTACAAATAACATGCTTTTATCACATATTCTCTGATGCCTTTGTTACCATAGGATCCATTTGCAATCTACACTCTGCTATATTGAACATACACTGCCATGTCCCTCGAACTCTACGTTCTCGACTTTGGTGTCTATCCTCGCCGAGTACTTATTTACCTCGGTGAAAAGGGTCTCCTTGACTCAGGAATGATCAAGATTACACCAGTTGACATGCAAACTGGCGCACCCGGCAAACCTGAAGGGACAACCCCAATTCTTCGGCTTCCGGACGGCTCTTTCATCAAGCAATCCCTAGCCATACTCGAGTACTTCGAAGATATTTGTGACAACCCTCGCGGAGAATGGCAGAGGAAGCTAGCTAGCTACTCGAGACAACCTAGCATGAGAGGCGACTCGGCCGAAGACAGAGCTCGAATGAGGAGTATCCTCGGGTTATCTGACGAAGCGATGGCCCACTACGGCTTTGCCTGCCACAAGGGCTCCCGTCTATTTGAGACTCTTGAGCCCTCAAGCCCAGAGGGGGCTAAGATGGCGATGGAATGGACAAGGAAGAATCTCAAGCTGATCGAGAAGTACTACGACGGCGATGTGCGTTTCGAGACTGGAGGTGGCGCTTCAACTATTGCGGACTGCGTCCTATTTTCCCTGTTGCAGTTTTCAAACAACCTTTACAACCTCGATCTTCTGGAAGATCCCCAGCTCCCGGCTTTAAAGAGGTTTTATGATAATTTCAAGAAGAGGAAAAGCACGGAGGTGCCGAGCGATCTGTACCCGTCGCAGTACACGCAGCTAGCAAGCCAGTGGATATTTTGAGTGACTAGCAGATAGCGTGCACACTATCGGAAGGAGTGGCATGGTGGTTAGAACGGTATAGAAATTAGATGCGCTACAATCTACCAGTTCGTAAATTCAGACACAGTCGTTAAGTAAGAGAATGGGCGAGGACAGGGAAAGTTTCAAGCAGTACTTTATCGCTAGACGCTTTGAGGTCACGATATTCGATACTCGTGCTACCTAAAAGTCTAAAGAGGGACCGACTTAGCTAAGAATATATACTAACTATTTTAGCTAATAGAGCTTATGTCTTCAGTTCTATCTGTTAGTCACTAACTTACTGATTATAGCCGTGAGTAACTGAATGCCTCTAGTTACATGTTAGTGATGGATGGGCTGTTGGACCATTAGTGGTCTTATAAAACGCGTTGTGGCCAGCTCATGCCACCAAGGGACCGATCTATAGAACGGTATAATAAATCGCACCGCCTCATCCCAAATATTCTTCCTTTATTCAAACTCGCATACCCAAATCAGCCCAAACGGCATCGACACACCTTGAGTTTATTCGTTCTCAGATGGCGCCCCTGGAGACCCTCCTATCCATATTCAAGCGACGTCTAAAGCCAGATGCGCTCGAATCCTCGAGCCTCTCCAAGCTCCCCCCTGAGCTCTTAGCCCACATCGCGACATTCCTGCCTGCTGCCTCAGCTGCCTCTTTCGCTCTCTGCTGCACGCCCGTTTACGCCTTACTCGCCATCCCCTATCTGAAATGCAAACGCGGCCATCATCCCTTTAAGACGTCCGAGTTCCTAAGCCTCCTCGAGCGAGACCTTAAAGATTACATTGCATGCTACCACTGCGCCAAGTTGCACACTATCAAGTTCGATAGGAAGCACATATTAGACTCTAGCAGGTGCGACAGTAGGGTGTCCCACTTAATAGACAAATATATCGGCTTTAAATTCAGCCACGTCGTCTTTCAAATGGCGATGAAGCGACACCGACAGGGTTCATACAGCTGCTGGCCTCTCCTGAGGCTATTAGATACCGACAAATTTAGTACCAAACAACATGATTTTCGAGAGACTTCGTCGGTAAAAATAGCCAACGGCACGCTCATCGCCCGCCATAGGTCCACCTTTATCATCCACCGTGGCAATGACGGCAAGTTCTCCAAATATTGGGTCACCTTCATCTGCCCGCACTTTTCTTATGTCCGTGGAAGGGTCATACACCTGCCGAATGGCAAGGCCGAGTATCGTATGTTCCACAAGAGCAAAGGGAACGAGGTCGAATACGGGCCTGGCGTCGCGAAGTGCGACTGCTGCGCCCATGGCGGGGAAGATGATGTTAGCACCACATGCTCAGGCTTGATACAGTGTGATTACTGCGCGACGGAGTTTCGAGTCGACTCGATGGCCGTCGGGAGGCGTAAAGAAGGCCGGGCCTTCATTATTACACGCTGGAAGAATTTGGGGGAGGGAAAGTCGGTCGATGATCCCTCATGGTCGGCTCATGTTACTGAAGGGGAGGTGGTGCAGACTCACTTCGTGGCGGGGTCGATATGTGCTGCGTTTGAGGGGAAAGAAGAGGTTGAGCTTGCCTCGCTCTTGACCAGGATGGAGCGAACGCGATTGTTAAAGTTTAGATGTTGAGTACTCACGCCGCCCAAAACTATGACGAGGGTTTGTCTATACTAGTAGTATCTATAGCAACTGAGATTAAGATAAAAACGTTCAAACGAGTATATTGCGGTTGAACATCGTTTTTGAGACAAGCATTGAAGATTTTCATCGCGCCATTTCTTCGATTCATCGATCAGATGTTTTTGAGATTTTGAGACTCCCACCCCTGCTGCTTATGACGTCGTGCGGGGATCCGTTACTAGCAAGGGTCCAGCCGTTGGAACTAAGCTACTTTTGGAATAAGTGCTGACGGCTATCCGAGCGTCTCCATGTCTTCTCAGTTCGCCGCTGCTACCCGCTCTCTCCTCCGTTGTCGCAACGAAGACAGTAACAATACAGAATATACAGCACAATGGCGAGTTCGCAGATTGAGCTTCACAGATTCGAAGATTCCCACCAAACCTCTGGAGTTTGGCAGGACCAGAGCCATACGGCTTCGGATGCCGAAGCTGAATTAGAATCTCCAAATTCCCCTACCCCTCATGAATTCTCTCTGCCTCCCGTCGACGGAGGGAAGGATGCGTGGCTCTTCCTGGCAGCGTGTTTTGTTATCGAAGCTCTAGTTTGGGGTATGCCATATTAAATTTCTCTTCTTTGTGTCTGTCATTACTGGCGATAATAACACCATAGTATTCATACAATGTTGTTGCGTGTGTTCTTGTCAAAAAAACGCTCACATGGATCCATTACAGTAGGATGTGCTGACCCCCAGCGATAGGCTTCCCTTTCACCTATGGTGTTTTCCAGGATTACTATGCTACGCATGAACCATTTGCTGGATCCCGAAACATTGCAGTTATCGGAACATGCGCCATGGTCAGTAATAGCGGCTCTAGTCTGGGAAGGGTCAGTTCAAAATTAGCCCAGCTAACACCTTGAAGGGTATTATGTATCTTGATTTGCCCATTATATTTGCAGTTTTGCAGATATGGCCAAGATTCCGTCCCTACTGCACTGGCGTGGGCCTCTTCATAATGTGCCTAGCTCTGGCACTCAGTTCTTTCGCAACGACAACTACCCACCTCATAGCCAGCCAGGGCATTTTCTATGCTATAGGAGGCAGCCTTGCATATTCTCCATGCATAATTTATATGGACGAGTGGTTTGTGAAAAGGAAAGGGTTGGCATTCGGGATTATGTGGGTATGTGTGCTCGATCTCTTCGATATATTGAAACTGTACCTAACGGCTTCACTGTAGGCAGGCACTGGCCTTGCAGGGGTTATTTTACCACTTGCTATGCAAGTTTTCCTTGAGAAGTATGGATACAAACTCACCCTTCGAGCTTGGGCCGTTGCTTTGTTCGTCTTCACGGCTCCCCTACTCTACTTCGTGAAGCCTCGTGTGCCTCTATCTCAAAGCACCCAATCGCGCCGCATCGATTTCAGCTTTCTCAACACGAAGATATTTGGCATTCTACAGGCTTGCAATGTCATCGAGGCGCTTGGGTTCTTTCTTCCGTCTATTTATCTTCCCAGTTATGCGCGCAATATCGGAGCATCAAGCGTTGAAAGTGCGCTTACAGTGGTGATCTTCAACGTCGCCTCCGTCTTCGGTTGTATTGCGATGGGCTCCATCGTCGACAAGTATCACGTTACAACCTGTATTGTGATATCAACCATTGGATCTACCATTGGCATCTTTGTCATCTGGGGCTTTTCAGTGTCTCTCGCACCCCTTTACGTCTTTTGCATAATCTACGGCTTATTTGCCGGTAGCTTCACTAGCACATATCCGGGAATTATGCGCGCCGTCCAGAAGAAGAAGAATTCAGCTGAACCGGTAATGGTCTTTGCTTGTCTTGCGGCAGGGAGAGGGATTGGAAACGTTGTCTCGGGCCCATTGAGCGAGATACTTATTCGAGGTATGCCTTGGAAAGGTCAGGGAGGTTTCGGATATGGCAGTGGATACGGCCCTCTTATCGTGTTCACCGGAGTCACAGCCTTCTTTGGAGGCGCCAGTGTACTTGGCCGACGTGTCGGGTGGGTATGAAATGGCGACTTCGTTATTGGTGAAACCCGAAATGCGTTTGGAACCATGGGATGCATACTTGACATCGGCGCTCGCGATCGTCAACTGTGAGTCTCCCCACATAATGCAGCTATGCGGGTCGGTCAACTTTTGCACCGACATATTGGTTGATATGTTTCCATATTGAATTTGTAAACATGTATATAGGTTGCACATATCTGTCGGCTGGATATGCATAGCTTGATACAATTCGGGGAGGTGGAAGGATTAGAACCAATATGTAGAGTTATAGCAGTTTCTATGATTTAAAAGACAGACATGTCTATAAAAACCATATGTCTCTCGCGGATGACCAGGTTTATGAGACAAAATATGCTAATTGGGATCATAAAAGAAGAACAATAAGGGTATATACTGTTGGGTTAGTTACAGGTACAGTAGGGGTGCTGAGTCAGCAAGAACCCCGACGCACAGAAATACTCCAGGCTAACGGTCGCCGAAAATGGCGGGGATGAGAAGCTCTTAACAAACAAGCTCCCGACGGTTACAACAACCACCGTCAACCAACACCTGCGCCCGACCTCCCCGGATGCTACATGACCAAATTCATGGTCGTTGTTGAATCTTGGGGACGTCACTGCATTTGTCACACCCGATATCACCACCAACGAGGTCCCATTCGATAATCCGGAGAGGCACCCAAACTATTTGACGATGGCCGCCGAGGCTGCGAAGAACCTACAGGGCAACCGCACCCGTCCAATGTCTATTGTTCCTGCTATCCCCCTGCCATACGTGCAGAAGCGTAAGCTGGCAGGAGCTCCACGCAAAGAGGAGACAGAAGTCGCGTCTGATGCTACTGCTGATAGCCGCACTTCAACTTCAAACGATTCGTCGGCGACAGTTGAGGCGTGCCACTCGACTGATACTAATGGCACTTCGGATCAAGAAACAAAGCAGAAGGTCGACACTGTATACTCTGCAGCCTCCCCTTTGACTTTTGAAGTAGAAGAGAATCAAGCATTGGACCTTCCTGACAACAATCTACGCGCCCTGGGACAGGAACACACTGAACACGAGGTTACCACGGAAGGATATGATTCTCACGGTAAGCAAGGAATATAAATCTTGATATAAGCAATTGCTTCGCACACAAATGCTGATTAAGTAATAGTAGCTCAGCCAGGCCAAACTACACAGGAGGATAAAACTCAGGTTGAGAAAGTGACACGTCAAGTAGATCCTGTTCCAACTTCATCCGACAAGCAACCTAGCGCCTCGAAATCCTCCTACAATATGCCTCCAGCACAATTTGTCCCTGGTCAGCATACTCTGCCAAACCGACCAGCTCTTGACACTGAAGCTCCGACATACACAAAGTTCCAAGTGTCTGGCGGGCCTCACCCAATGCACCATACTCATCCCAGCCAAGGAAGCATGGTGTTCGGTGGCTATTCTGATTCGAACAACTCCTCGCCAGCGCCGCCTCTTTCGTCTGCAGGAATGTCTCAATATCCATACCCGCCGCCACCACCTACTAATGGCCATATGCATCACCTTTCCAACGGCTTCCAAGTTCCACCACCTCCCGGATTTGGCTTCCAGCAGCAGCATGGTGGCCATATTGTGCACAGTCCAGCGATGGACGGCTTTTCCCGCCGGCACCCACCACCTTTCCCACACCCGGAAGGATACTCACCCTCAGCTACTCCTGGCATAAACGACAATCGCCGACAGCAATTTTATGACCCGTCAACCTCTCGTAGCCTTCGCTCTCATTCATCGGCTCCTCATGAGCATGATCCTCGGCCCACCCAGTTTCCCAATCCAAACGCTACTTCTCGGGCGACCAACGGAAGCAATGGCCATACAGATGATGGCAAGCTTTACTACCAACATCAGATGAGTGGCCGCGGTGGTTCGGGCCTACACGGCGTTGTTCCACATCCATCCGTGGATAACCTTGATGGACTACTAGGCTATATTCAAGGCCAGTTTGCTGATCCTACCTTCGCCGATTATACGCTGGAAGTACGATACACGGATGACCGTGCCAAACCAATGCGTATTCCAGGACACAACCTGTTGTTTGCCAGAAGCCCAACATTAAAACGTCTCATGATAGCCCAGGCCAACGACGGAAGCAGCGAAAGCTCGTCTCGAACAATTTTAATCGAGACTGCTGACCGATTCCTGAGCTCAGATGGTTTCTGGATCGCATTGCAGCGTCTCTACGGCGCACCTCTTCATAGCCTAGATACCCCACCAACTCCCGGCCGAAGCATAGAAGCCCAGAATTTGGCAACTTCGAATCCTGCTAGCTTCCATAGGTTTGATTTGGCCCTTGGCTACGCTGCTGCTGGCCATATCCTTCAAATCCCTCCAGTCTTGAGCCGAGGTATCGAAGTTGCATGCCATCTTGTCAACTGGCTGACACTAGAGAAAGCCCTCAATTTTGCACTCGATGGAGGCCTCAGCTCGCAGTGGACTTTGGACAATAACTTCAACGGAATTTGTCCGAGCACGTACGGGCCAGCTGTCGACATGCTCATTCACAGTGCTCTCGGCTTCTTGATCGCCAACTTTCCGCCTCACCTGGATTTTGACGTGACTGCTTCTGAGCCAGCATTCAATAGCCGCCTTCCTGTTCTCAGCAAGGCCAAAGTCTCGAAACACAACCCCCGGTTAAGCTCAATCAAGTTCGGCGATCATCCTATGGAAGAGCCTATTCTCCCCGCTCTCAAGAATGCAAACCCTGCATCTCTTATTTCCGGGATACTTATCAACCTGCCATTCCAGCTGCTGAAATACGTGCTGGAAGCACCATCTCTTGGGAGCCATGATTGGGCGACGTCTACTATGCGCCAAACTGTTATGCACGAAGTCATCAACGAGCGCGAGAAGCGTCGCATTCGCGTCCTAAATGATAGGAGTGCTTCTAACGACGTACGCATGTCGAACTCGAAGGAATGGCAGACCGTTGGTTGGCAAGAGGGTGTCGAAACTGAGGCACCTCGCGAAATGCCTACCCTGACCAGGACCTGGGTTGATTTCAAGCTCCCAGAGTGAAATAACCAAAGGCCATACACAACACAGACTTCGACTTGAAGATTATTACTACGACAGACTACCGCGCCATGCGTTTACCAAAAGCGTTTTTGCATTCGTCTTCAGCGTTATACCGGTCTTGCATATAAGGACCATGTTCGATACGCGCTTTATGATACCAGCCATCATTGTGAGAAAAGGGAGGGCCAACAGGTGGCTCGTGGGGATGCATAGAGGTACGATTGGGGCGGGGAAAAGTAGTTGCCGGAAGGGAAGCGCCCTAAATAAGCATTATGGCCGAGGGGGAGGCCCTTAATTGAGTGATGGGCGTAAAAATAGGAAGCCAGTAGGTAGCCAAACACGCAGGACTGGAATCATAGGAATTAATTCAATGCGATGGTCTTCAAGTATCGTACTTTTCATATTCGTAGTACACCGAGAAGAGTTGGTGAAATGTTGTAGGCGATTGGATTTAGTTAGGGGTAGAGCCGCGAGCCGTTGACATCACAGCCAAGATTTATCCGTGCACCCACGACCTACGATGCTGCCAGTCTGGCACCAAGACCCAAAACACGCTGAGGTTCAATTGCGTTCAACCTCAACTTCAACACTTCATCATGCGGCACTTAACGGCTCTCCTGTTGCTCAGCAATGCAGCAAGCTCCATCGCCGCGTCCGAGCCGGCTCGGCCTCGTGGTGTGGGACCTGATTGTACGTCTTGAGCCCCAATCCCCCTCCACCTGCCCTCACACCAAGTAGAACGCCAGGGCATGATTAAAGCTAACACATTATCTCTACGACTAGTCGCGAAGCATTACAAGGGCTCCAAGGACACATTCGCCTGCATCACAGCTCCCTCGGTCGTAATCCCCTTCTCGAGCGTCAACGACGACTACTGCGACTGCCCCGACGGTTCAGACGAGCCAGGCACATCAGCTTGCACGTACCTCTCCTCGCTATCGCCCATCCAGCCCATCCCCGGCACATCCAGCGGAACCAGCAACACGACTCTGGCTCTTCCCGGCTACTACTGCAAGAACAAGGGCCACCAGCCGGGCTACATCCCATCCAGCTACGTCAACGACGGGGTGTGCGATTACGACCTTTGCTGCGATGGTAGCGATGAGTGGGCTGGTGTCGGCGGAGTGGTGTGCGAGGATAGGTGTGCGGCAATGGGCAAGGAGTGGCGGAAGAAGGAGGATGAGCGCGTTAGGAGCGCGAGGGCTTCGCTGCTGAAGCGCGGCGAGCTGCTGAAGCAGGCTGAGACGCTCAGAATTGGGATCCAACAGCGGATTGATCAGTTGGAGGGCGAAGTCGTGACACTGCAAACAAAGGAGGAGGAGGCGAGACGGCGACTTGAGGATGTCGAGTGGTCGGAGCGAAGCAAGGTTATTAAGGGCGCGAGTGAGAAGGCGTCGAGAGTTACGGTTTTGGCCAAGTTGGCTAAGGCAAGAGTGGAGGAGTTGAGGAACAGCTTAACAAGCTTGATTGAGAAGAGGAATGCGGCAAATTCGAAGGTTCAAAAGCTTGAATCGATTCTGGAAGCCTTTAAGGTGGAGTACAACCCGAACTTCAACGATGAAGGAGTGAAGCGCGCTGTCAAGGCTTGGGAGGATTATGTGGCCGAGAAGGATACCAACTCTGATTTCGATGCTAGCGGGTTTGAGAAGGACCTAGAGGAGATTGGAAAGCCAGACAGCGAGGAGCAGGGTATCAACTGGGCAGAGTGGGAGAAGGAGGAGGAGGAAAGCGATGTTGAAGCTCGTAAGTTGACACCGCCTACCACACGTAATATGACACAGCAAGACTAATTCTTTTACTCTACAGTCTACAGCTTCGAAGCCTATCTTCCCCCATCCCTCCGCACCTGGGTCCACGACAGAGTGAGGTCCTTCCGCCGCACTCTTGTCGATAATGGTCTCCTTGCGGACACCACTGGCCCCGCCGACAGCGAATCCCGCGCTGTTACCGAAGCCCGCAACGCATACAACAACATCAAGAGCGACGGAGAGTCAAGACGATCGGAGCTCGAGGACAAGAAGAACGACCTCAAAGCCGACTACGGGCCACAGGACGTCTTCCGCGCCCTCAAGGGTAAATGCGTCGACATCGATTCTGGCGAGTACACCTACGAGTTGTGCTGGATGGATAAGAGCACGCAGAAATCAAAGAAGAATGGCGGGAGCACGCAACTGGGCACCTTTAGGAGGTTTGATACCGTCGAGGTTGATGAGGATGTTGGTGCTGATGGCCGGGGTCTCGGGGTTGGAGAGAGACTCTCGATGGTATTTGAGGATGGAGCGCAGTGCTGGAATGGGCCGAAGAGAAGCACCATTGTTGTTATGGCGTGTAGAGAGAAGGATGAGGTGTGGCGGGTGGTCGAGGCGGAGAAGTGTGTTTACAGGATGGAAGTCGGTACACCTGCTGTTTGCGAGGATAGCGCTGGCGAGCAGAGAAAGCCAGTTAAGGACGAGCTATAGTTAGGAGGGGAGCTGAATTATTTGGTAGTATAGACAGTATAAAAGATGGGCAATTGGCGTGTACCACGAATGAAGTATTAAAATACAGTTGAATTTTTGGGGAATATATTTCGTAATTGCTATATTAATTGAACCAGTGGCTGTAAATTTATATTGTCAGCGTAGTGGGTATTCTGACCAAAGGCACAAATAAATCATTTCTAGCAACTACAATTAAAGTAAAAACTATCAACCCCCAAAGCACATCGAATTGTTTTCCCAGCTCCTGGTTAGGTCTCGCAGTTATCACGGGCGTATCTCACGAACTCGATTACGAACCATTTCCTCAGCCTTGCCGAATCTCGGACAGCCTCGTCCGACACCCGCATTTTAGCTCGGATACGACTTAGTAATACCCATCTCCAGCTCCCTCCCAGGGACCCGAAAGCAGCCCATCATCGAGACCCTTCACCAACCCTCACCCGCGCCTCTCCACTCTCCCTCATAACCGCACACACAATGGCGACACACATCCTACCGAAAATGTCTCTACGGCGCTGCACAGCAGCAGCCACGGCCTCGACGGCCCCCGCAGCGCGAACTTTCTTCCAGCTCGCTCACCAACGCGGCGGCCCTCCAATGCTCGACTTCCTCCTCCCGAGCATACCTACCATCGCCCCGCGCAGCATTGCGCGACAGGCACCGCGCTCGCTCTCGAAGCTGTCTAGTTCGCGCTCCTTCACGGCGTCAGCACTGCGCGCAGCGACCGCGATTTACAACCCGCGGAAGGATGACGATGGGAATGATATGACCATTGAGATTACTCCTCGAGCAGCTAATGTAAGTTTCCGCCCAGAATCAACCTATCTGTTGCAAACGACACAGAAAAGGAGAACAAGAAACTATACTAACACCCACCCAGCGCCTCAGCCAAATCATAGCCCGCGACCAAAACCCCCGCCTCGCCCTCCGCATCACCGTCGAATCCGGCGGCTGCCACGGTTTCCAATACCAAATGTCACTCACCAACGTCCCCGCGATCGATGCCTCGACCTCTCAGCCCGTGGCGATCGAGGACGCGGTAGCGAATGACAAGAACGCGCCTGCGCTGGATGAGGATGATACGTTGTTTGAAGGGGAACAGGGGGCGAAGGTGGTGATGGATGGGCCGAGCTTGGAGCTGTTGAAGGGGAGTAAGGTGGACTTCACGACGGAGTTGATTGGGAGCCAGTTTAAGATTGCGGATAATCCGTTGGCGACGAGTAGTTGTGGGTGTGGGACGAGTTTTGATGTTAAGATGTGAGGAGGGGGGAAGGGTAGAGGGGTGGGGGAAGAGAGGGGGATAGTTGGTACTGAGTTGGGAGCTCTAAGGGTGGGAGTTGGGTATGGCCTTGTGTACTCTATGTAGCAGCTGGGACGGGAAGAAGGGGTGAAAAGAGGGGCGGAATTGTATTATTTAAAAACTTGCGAAGAAAGCATGGGTAGAGAAGAGAGAGAGAGAGAGAAAAGGGACGGAAATCGGAAATCACGCTACTACATCGCTGAAAATTTAAAAAATTTGATATCATAAAAAAGTCATTTTTATACTGAAGTTGAATCGAGATCAGTATTGCCGTGGTTACGCCATTCATGCTAAAATATAGCTAAGAAGCAAGCAAGACTCCCATCCCGGTTCCTGACACACACATCACCATGCAGCGAACTATTGTTTTATATTTTCTAGTTCATCTGTCTGATGAGAGCGTTGATCTTGTCCTCGCGGTTACCCAGGTCACCTCCCTCGACGAAGTGGCGGAATTTGCGAGTGCGGAAGCCACCGGTAGGGTTGGAGAGCTTGAATGGCCACAGGAAGTTGGAAGCCTGCTTGAAGTTGGGTCCGACGGTGTAGATCTCGTGGATGAGATCCTCCATGCAGACGATGCCGTACTTGCCGAGGTTGGCCTCGACGATGGCGTTGTCGGTGAGAGCAATGCGCTGCTTGTCGACCTTTCCGTATCCGCGCTTGTAGATGAGCTCGCGGACGGTCTTGAGGTTGGCGTAACCGTAGGCGATCCATGGCTCGACGATCTTGAGCATCTCGAGGGTGGCCTTGGTCAGGCGGATGAAAACACCGTTGTTGATCTGGAGAAGACGGAGGAGTTGGAGGATCTTGCGGGGCTTTGGTGCAATCTTGTTGATACTGTGAAATTTTCGTTAGGACTCGTTCTCGCGCGTGAGATGATGGATGCAATTGCTTACCCCTTGATACGGACAACGAAGACAAGCTTGTCCTCAGCAGGCACGTAGTAAGAGCCATCCTGCTTGGAGAGACGAGCAAGACGGATCTTCTCGCGCTCAGCATCGCGGTACTCCTTAACGTACTTCTCGGCACGCTTGAAGATGACGCCGCGCTTCTCCTTCTGGGCCTATATGATGCTTGAGTTAGCAAACGTGTGATCGAAGACCGAGTATCGAAATAGCACAACGAAAGCAGACGGCATGGTTCGACGATAGATCAGACCCGAAAGATGGTTAATTGGCGACAACATCGACACTGTGTGCCTAGTCGCAAAGATGGTGTTATGCATCATATAATCGCCGACCATGCCTGAAATGCTTCGTATATTTTGTGTGGAAAAATTCAAGAGCGTACCTTCTTCTTCTTCTCAAGCTCGGCGGAGCGCTCCTCGCGGGCCTTCTCCTGCGACTTGCGCTTCTTCAGGAGCGTCTCCGGGACGAGGATCTGCTCCTGGGTCGGCGTGGAGAGATTGTCGGAAGGCATTGTTGCGGTTGTCGAGGTGGAGTTGTGGTGGTGAAGGTTTTCGAGATCAAGCCGAAAACCTGAGCAATGGTCTCAGTGGGCCGGTGACTAAGCAGTAATCTGAGGCCGCAACTTCCTATGTGTACTGTTGGTCTCGCTTACGCCACGGGGTTCCGTAACCCTATGAGAGAAAAGATAGTTTGTTGTGGCGTCTGTGAAAGCGAAAGTGTGGCGCAGGGCGCTAATGCCGATAAGATAAGGACCATGCATGCGAGGCGCAGGCACCCATACCACATCACGTTCTCATACAAACCAAACACAATTCTTAAAAGTGATACTAATGTGAGCGAGCAAAGAAAACTTCCGACCTCAAAAATGGGCATCTACGCCATCGGCTCCAACGGCTCCGGCCAACTAGGAATAGGCCACGAAGAAGACGTCTCCGTCCCCAAAGACGCCCAATTCCACGCCTCTTTCCCCCCCACCTCCGGCGGGCCTATGACCATCCGCGGCGGCGGAAACCACACCCTCCTCCTCACCCCCACCGGCATGCTGCTCAGCTCCGGCGCCATCACCCACGGCGCGCGCGGTCGCTATTTTCTGCCGCCTACTACGACGAGGAGTTTCAGTCCGGTGTTATTGTCGTTCTCCGCCTCCGCTGAGGCAGAGGCACAGGTCCCGCCCGACTCGGATGAGCTGTGGGGACCGGACGCTTTTAAATCTGCGGAGGCGGATATTAAAGCTAACCCGAAAGTCACGCACTGCGCAGCGATGTGGGAATCCTCCGTCGTCGTCGCTGCCGATGCGGCGGGGAAAGCACGGGATGTATATACCTTCGGCATGGGCCAAAAAGGGGAGCTCGGACAAGGACCCCTAATCATCCGCTCCCCACGCCCCGAACTCCTTCCCAATTTTCCGCCACCAGACACCGAAATCGTCGACCTCGCAGCGTGTATGGGCCACGTGATCGCCGTCCTCGACAACGGGGACGTATACGGCTGGGGCAACGGACGGAAGGGACAGCTTGGGGAACTGGCGGAGGTGGTGCATGAGCCGAGGAAGATAGAGGGTATTACTTTCCCTGTTACGCGCGCGGTTTGCGGGAGGGAGTTTACGTATTTACTTGGTGCTAAGGGGGGAGGGGAGAGCGCGTTTCTTGGAAAGGATAAATGGGATGTTAAACCCCCTGCTGATGCGGATATCAAGGGCTGGATTGACGTCGGGGCGGGATGGGGAAATATCGTTCTCCTAAAAGACAACGGAAACGTGCTCTCATGGGGCCGAAACGACCACGGCCAATGCGCACCCCCCGACTTACCACCGGTAGACAAGATAGCAGTAGGCAGCGAGCACACCCTCGCACTTACGCGCGACGGAGACGTTCTGGCCTGGGGATGGGGGGAGCATGGGAATTGTGGGCCGGGGAAGGAGGATGTGAGGGTTAAGGATAATGTGGTTGCGAGTTCGAAGCATTTGCCTGAGGGGAGTAGTATTGTTTCTATTGGGGCTGGGTGCGCGACGAGTTGGGTTTGTGTTCTTGATGGGTGATTTGGGGGGGGGGGGGGGGGTTATAGACGCTGTGGGGATATGAAGGCACGATAGGCGCTGTGAATACCCGAAGTAATGATGGATTTCGTGAACTACCCCTTGCGTCTGGGTGACTGTCATTCAAAAGCTCTTTGTCAATGTCTTGCGCGACACAGGAACGGTTTCGTTGCCCCTGAGTGAGTGCATTGTTAAAGATATATATTTTCACCCTGCTAAAATCTACGCTTCAGTGTCTAAGTATATCAGCCACGCACACAAGCTCTCTCTCACAGCAACGTCTTCTTAATCCCATAACCCCCCCTCCCCATCAATTCGTAACGACCTTCTCAACCCCCCCTCCCCCACCCCCCACCTTCCCCTCCCTCACACTCCCCAACGCCTTCTCAAACTCATCCATAAACCTCCACACATCAACCGCATTATTATAAATCGGCGCCGGCGCAACCCTTATCACATCCGGCATCCTCTCATCCACAATCACCCCTCCCTTGACCAACTCCTCCATAACCCCCTCCAACAGTCCCTCTTCGAGCTGTACACTCAGTTGTGCGCCGCGCTCCTCCGGGTTGGAGGGGGTGATGATCTTGAAACCTCCTGATTTCTTTTGCAGTGCGAGGAGACGATCTTCGAGGTAGGCGGTGAGCCCCAAACTCTTCTTGCGGAGCTCAGCGATGCTGGTTAGGTTGAACACCTCAAGACTCGCGCAGACGGTCGTCAGGTCGTTCGTGCTGGGGTTGGAGACTTGGAAACCGCCCGCGCCGGGGATGGGGGAGAAGTCATTTGTCATCGCAAAACGCGTTTTCTTATCACTTCCCCACCAGCCTGCGAGACGGGGGTGGAATTCCTTCTCCTCCGTCTCCTTCTTTTCGCCGTTGGTTGCGCCGTTTGAAGAGGTGGTGGTGGTGGTGACGCGGCTGTTTCTCTCGTGTACGAACATCCCACCGATTGCTCCAGGGCCGGAGTTAAGGTATTTGTACGTACACCACGCCGCAGCATCGACGTTCCAGTCGTGCAGCTGCAGTGGTACATTCCCGACGGCATGGGCGAGATCCCAGACCACGAAAATGCCCTTCGCCTGCGCGTAAGCAGTGATAGTCTTGATATCCAGCAACTGCCCAGTATAAAACTGGATTCCCGGCAGCAGCAGGACAGCGGTGGTGGAGGCGTGTTCATCGATCGTGGCGAGGATGTGGGAGGTTGGTAGCAAGGATGTGCCGGTGGGGGGATCGATTGTGATCATCGAGGTGGAGGGGTGGAGGTTGTGATGGCGGATTTGGGATTCCACCGCGAACTAAGGGGGCGGGTTAGTATATTCGAGTATGGAAGATAAAATAGGGGTAAGGGGGGGTACTCACGTGGTCACTAGGAAACGCCTTACTCTCAATAATAATCTTATGTCTCCCCTCCTTCTGCGGCCTATAAAACGCCGAAAGAATAAAATGTAAATTCGCCGTCAACGTCTCCATCACCGCGATCTCCGCCGGCGCCGCGCCCACAATCGGCGCCATAGCCTTCGCCGCCGCATCATCGGCGTGCAGCCATGCTGGGAGGGGGGAATCGGTCAGGGCCTTGAAATGGCCTTGTACGCCCTGCGTGGCCCAGGTGGAGAGGTATTGCTGGAGACGCTGGGAGACGCGACGCGGTTGGAGGCCGAGGGAGTTGCCGCAGAGGTAGACGCTTTCGTCGTCATGTGATGGAGGGGTGAGGTCTAGGTGGGTGTGTGAGTAAGCGCGATACTACAGTAAGAGGGGTGAAGTGAGATGAGGAACCGTGTCCGAGTAAGACGAATTTCGTGCAGGCAGGCCAATGGAGGAGCAAGGGGAGCGCAAAGCACATGACATGATGAAAAATCCCTCTACTCACCCTTCCCCGGCAGCGTCTCACGCGCCAGATCCGCCTTGGAGGGGATGAAGAACTCAGCGCGGAGGTGCTTGAGTGGATCCTGGGCCGTCAGGTACTCGGCGTACTCCCTGCTGTCATGGGCTGCTGTGGCTTGGCCGTTGGTGGTAGGCGTGGATTCGGCCATTGTTTAGTATTATGTTGTGTTATACGGGGATGGCGGATGGGTGGTTGCACGGAGTCGGGTGTGAGGTTGCACTGCTGGTGGTGAGGCTGGTGGTTTGGATATCGCGATTGGTATGAGTCGTCTCGCTTATGGGGGGGCGTGAATATAGTTGGGGATAGTAGATAAGTTGATGGATAGAGTGAATGGGTTTTAGAATTGGGAGCTTTTTGGATATCGAAAGTTATGAAGCTGAGATTGCTACGAACTGACAGAGTGGCTCTCAAAACACACTTTATGTTCCTTCCCCAGACATAGAAACCCACCCTCTTTCACCTATCTACCTACCCCTCCTCTCAATCGATAAGACTTGCCCCGCAATTCTGCCCTCACCGCGTCCAAACTCGGCGGCATCGCGCCCAATTCTGGTGCGCGATCACGCTTAGAATCCGGCAATACTACAAGCCCGATCGCTTGCAATCATTCAAGGGGGGATAAAGGACGTGGCTGGGGTATGGTATGCTGCTTTGTTTCGTTGCGACGCGACGCGATATATACCGTGAATATGCGCTGCCGCAGAGCGCGGAAGCGGAATGCCCCTCCGTTAGCAGCAGGTGATGTCAGGCTTCGGATCGGGAGCCGGATTGAGGGGTGGAATGTCTGTGGTATGCATGATTTGGTAAGCGAAGCGAGGCGAAGCAGGTCACGGGGTGTGGTAACCACGGCGTTGAAGGGGAGGAGGAGAGGTTTGGTTGGGGGTTGGGGGGTTTATTGGAGGGTTTTGAGAGTTTGTTGGGGAGAGATCGGGGAGGTGATTGATATATGTGACGGCTCATTCGGAGGCATCCAACGTGTCCCCTATCCCCCTCTCGTCGAAATGGCGAAATGGCGAAATGGTGGGGGAGGGGGGAGAAGAGCCAAGGTAAAACGGCAGAGTACAGAAATACGGTAAAGCCATCCCTCCATCTCCTCCCATCCCGTGATAATACAACTTACGGAGTACAGTACGGCACAGGTACCGGGCCCGTGCAGGCCCCAACGATCGGCCGAAACGGAAAGAATAAAAAAAACAGAGATCCGTTGTTCCCGCTATGGCGTTTCCTGGGGGTAATAGAAACGGGGATTGCTTGGACAGTGCTTGGAGGCTTGGACGTCCCGTGACTCTGTGGAGCAGCGGTTTGACAAATTTGAGCGGGGGAGGGGCTGGAGAGTCGGGGACGTACTGGCGTCGATGGAGGGCCGGGGCGCGCGATTTGTTTTTCCAGAAGAGGGCTAAGGAGGGAAATCGCTCTTGGCTTGGGGGAAAAAGGTACGCGGTAGGGAGGGGTGGATTGGGATATTCTTGGTATTAAGTAGTATGGTACGAGTAGGGTTTGTATATGCGTTTATACTGGAGATATTACATGAGTTAACCGGAAGTACATTCCCTTCTCAGACAATTGCGGTTGCGGTAAATAAAGTAAACGAAAATTTAAAAAATCTAAATAAAAAACCGCGTATCAAATCAAACACCAATGTCAAACAGCAGGTCAGCAGTTCCTCTATTTTACGTTATTCCCACGGTGTCTCCTTCCCTAATCGGGTGTAGGGTCAGGGAAGTTGCGGCAAGGCAAGGCCAAGAGGGAGCACGAGTAATAAGGTGAGCGAGGCGCGGGTCACGCTTCGCTGATTCTGAGATGACTGAGATGACTGAGATGAGACGCTGGGATGAGACTTGAGAGACCCCGGATGAGCCCAGACTGTGGGGTAAAAAGGGGCGGGATTAGTCAGTCTATTTTTTGTTATGGCAAAGACGGTGAGGAATGTTATGTGTATGTTTATGTATGTTTTGTGTGTGTTATGTATAGTATTTGTACAGTTCGGTCTGATATATGTTTCGGATTCGTGCTGGGAGATCGATATTGCTCAGATCAGTCTAGATCAATTCGATACACGAGAGAGGAAGGTCAGTCAGTACCTGAGCACGTCGTATATACCGCGTTACATATATACGTAATACACACTGCACAAGAAACAACATCTTACCTCACCACCATGCATCCCCATCCTATGTCGCCATAATTCCCCATCCCCTCGGCCTCTCGTGCATCGTGAGATCCTGTCTGTACCTCGCATCACGGTGAGTAAACCCAGCACATCACATCACATACCACCACACACCTGCCGCCCTATCCCCACGGAGCAACGTGCCCAGAACAAGCGAACCAGACGGTTGGGGAAGCGGATGGAGGGGGGCATCTGGCTGGACCGACCCACCGATCGGGCAGGTCATGGGCTCAGTGGGCTGGGGTGATACCCGTTACACTCATCTCGTTCTCAATCAACCTCACCTCACTTGACGCCATTCCTTCACCACTCATCGCCGCACGCACGCACGCCTCTCACCTTCACCTCTCACCGTACACGCGTAGTCATCTGTAGTCAGCCACTCAGTATCCCGTACGCTCAGTCATAGCACACACGCCGAGCGCAGCACCAGCCCATCCCATCTCCCCGCGGGCGAATAACACGCAAGTACCGGAGCAACGGTGTACAGTACAGTACTCTTACCGCGCGCCTTACCGCATTTCCCCAAGTCACGCACCTCCCTCCATCCCCATCGCTCTCCATTCCCGCCCCACCCCGCTCCGCCCCAGACCCTCAGCTTGCGGCGAAAAGTCTGCAAAGGCCTCAATTGTATGCCTTCAATAGCCGTATCCCTGTCGATGGTCTTCCATCTTCACCCCTTCCTTACCTAACGGCTGCCACGCGTTGACACAGCGATGGGGTGAGGCGGTGGTTGTTCTTGGTAAGGAGGGCGTGGTTCTTGGTACTTAGTTTCGTGCGTGATATTCGCCAGTGGAGAGATGTCACGTCTACCTCCACACACTCTCCACATAGTTGATGCCACTGTTGATGCGACTTGGCGATGCGTGCGTGGTGGTGGCAACCACAGTCTGGTCTGGCCAACCCCACCATCCACCATGAATCCCGCCAGCCACCCGACCAGGTACGATGTCTGGGCGAGGCCACCACACACACACACAGACACGCGCCCCAGACGCTGGCAACATCCTTGTCGCTTCGTGTACTTTTTTCTTACTCCAACTCTTCTATGCCGGATGGGGGGAGCGATGTGGGCAGTTGGGGAAGTTTCTATTGTTAGAGCGTGGCGGTAGTGGTGGTGGAGGGCGGTAATAGGTGGTAGAGGGGAGGTAGTTGCTGGTAGTCGCGGGTGGTGACAAGTAGTAATGGGGTTGTATGGACGCAGAAGAGGCGCAGAGGGGTGAGGTATGAGTACGGTATACAGTGGTATACACAGCCAGCCAGTCCATCGCGGTCTTTTTTTTGTTTTGTTATGTTATGTTATGTTATGTTTATGTCCCTCACCGGGGCTTGGATTGGGACTCGAAAAAGTCGTCTCATCATCCCTGGCGTATTTTTGTCACAAACTAAGAGTAGAATTCCTCATCTGACCTGATGATCAGATTCTTTTGGGAGTATTTTTGTATTTTCTACTACCCCAAAAATAGGGGAAGGTGATATTGGTAACGATGGGAACGAACAGAATGGATACCTCCCCAGGTGTCGTGGGGTACTTGGCAGACTCAACTTTGGGCGGCTGACTTCACTTGAAATTGGCGTATTGGGGTATGTCTTGCACGTTCGGCGTGTACTTGTCTTAACGCCCTGTAAGTAGCTCCTTCTCTCTTCTTCGGCCTCTCTTCTCTGGGTCTCCTCTTCTCTTCTCTTCTCCTTCGTGTCCGTGTCTCTACGCCGCCGTTTCGTTTCCCCACTTTTTTCTCTTCTGACGTGACTTGTGACTCTCGTAAGTTTCGTAACTTTTTTCGTGACATCGTGACCTTCTTTTGTGGTCATGGTCATGGTCATCGACGACCACACGCTTGGTGTTGCTTGGGTCTGCTTGGGTCTCCATGGTCTGGGCTTGCTTGGGGGCTTGCTCGCCTGGCTTGTCTGGCTCATCTGGCTCATCTGGCTTGACTGTACTTTGCCTAGATGTTACCCTTTCTGGCTTCTTTCCACTCTCGCCGCCTCCGCGTCACCAGTCACTACTACCACGATTACCCTCGACTATCCATTCGTACCCATACTACCCATACAAATCCATACTCTACCCATACTAACTACCCATACTACTACCCTTACTACTCCCCATAATACTACTACTAACTAAAAACTAAACTACACTCAAAACTACCGCCTCTACTTTTACTAACTACCACAAACAAACCACAAATACTTCTATACCTCCAATACCGTACCAAAGTACCCTTGTCCAAAGTACACGGCATCTCCTCCCTATCGTCTTTCTTCAATCTACTATTGCTTCTCCCTCTAATCCCCATTTCGTATATAATAACTTCTCCAGACCCCAGCTTCTTCCCGCTTTTTAGGATACATTCCATCCCATCATACGATTTCACTTTCCCTTTCACTTTCACAGTGAACTTTACCGCCTACATTACACTACTACCCCATCATCACGTGAATCGATAAGCTTCTACTCTCCCCCACTCTCTCCCGCACCATCTCCAAATCGACACTACCACAACTACTGCCAACTTCTCCAATTTACGTGGGGAAAATATTACCAGGACTTTCTACAACTCCTACAACTCTTCACCTACGACTCACCTTTCATCAATCGAGATTTGTTAGAGACATCACTTTGCTGTGAGTATTATCCAATCCTTCAACAACACATATCCGCGCATGGCTTTGTGTGCCTGTTGTCTGTTGTCCCTTGCCTTGCCTTCCGCCTTGCTGACGATAACGATTGTTGCTATTTAGCTCTACCTTTCCGATAAGAAACTCTTCCCCTCCTACATCACCAAACAACAACGGTGGTGTTCAATTGGACAGCGAGGTAATCACCTCTTCAAGCAAGGTATGTTTGAGTTTTCCTATTTTCACTATTTTCACATTCCTTGTGTGTCGCCTCCGAATTTCAAGGCGGGTAGCTCCTACACGCCACCACCGCGAAACAAATAATACCCCGCCATACGCGACCTTATCAGTGCCAACGCTGATGTTTGAAACCTTTCAGATTCCTCGCCATAGATCAGCATAACTCATCATGACTGCTACGTCGACACCTTCCAGCGAGTCTGGGATCGCGAATAAGTTGCTCGAACATGTCATCAGGACACCCGGTCGGATACCTTCTCCGCAGCCAGCTCACTTGAGCCTCAACAGCTCAAATGGACACAGAGTCCTTCGCTCAGCGACCGTTGGATACATTGCACCTCCGTTTGAGGGCAAGGAGGCCCAGATCAATGAAGGTGAATACTTCCCACACTACAAACAAGATACACAAACTAACAGACTGCTTTAGTCAAGAGATTGATCACTGAGGGCTCCTGGATCCCCGCGGACCACATCGATGCCCAAGTCGAGTGGTTCTACAAGGACCTAGGCATCGACGATGTCTACTTCCAGACCGAGACACCCGAGGCCATCAAGAGCCACATCACCTCTCTCTACGCCGCCAAGGTCGCTGCATCCGCTCGCGAAGATAAGCGCCAGGAGATCAGACTTGACATGGAGGCCACCGACCATGCCATCTACATCGACACCAGCGAGCCCGGTATCAGCAACACCGGCGGCCCAAGGTATGAGCAGAGACTCGAGGCCAAGTACCTCGATGGCGGCGACAAGAACAGGAGATTCAGAGTCGAGACTTTCCGCTCGCCCGCCAAGATCCACCCATCGTCCGCCGCGACGATGCGCTGCTACTTCGTCTACCAGTGCCAGTTCGTCGACTCGAATCCAGACCCGCTGGACACCAGGCTCCACGTCATTGGTGACCGCGGCTTCTTGGCCAAGGCCACCAAGAACACCATGCAAATCTACCAGAACATCATTGAGATGGCTGTTGCACGCACAGGTCCCGTTATTGAGGCCTTCGACATTGAGGCTTCCCAAGAGAAGCGCCTGGTTGTTGCCTTCCGCCAGCGCAGAGCCATGGGGCTTTTCTGCGCCCTGAGTGATCTGTACCATTACTACGGTGTCACCAGCTCCAGGAAGTACGTCGAGCAGTTCTCCAACGGCATTACTGTTATCTCGATCTACCTGAAGCCCACTGCCAGCGCCCTCGAGCCCGGCTCCAAGTACCCTCCCATTGACACCTCGATCCGCCACATCGTTCGCGAGATCTCTCTTCTGTACTGTATCCCACAGAACAAGTTTCAGAACATGTTCGCTGTTGGCCGTTTGAGCCTTCAGGAGACCATCTACGGTCACTGCGTGTGGGTGTTCGTGCAGCACTTCCTCAACAGACTGGGATCCGAGTACGCCTCGTTGGTTTCGGCTTTGGACTCCACGAACGGAGCCCACGCTGAGGTTCTATCCAACATCAAGCGCCGTCTCCGTACCGAGACTTTCACCGCTGCTTATATCCTGGAGATTATTGGACAATACCCAGATCTCGTCAGATCTCTCTACTCGAGCTTCGCCGACACTCACTTCCACGCCGGCCTCGCGAATGAGGAGTCCATCCCCACTACCCCAGTCGATGTTCTCGGCGACAAGGCCCTCGAGGACCTCATTTCCAGGACTGTCAACAACGAGCACGAGCAGCTTGTCATGGATGCTTTCCGCACCTTCAACAAGTCCGTCCTGAAGACCAACTTCTTCACCCCCACCAAGGTCGCCCTGAGCTTCCGCATGGACCCATCGTTCTTACCAGCGATTGAGTACCCGCAGCCATTGTATGGCATGTTCCTCGTCATCTCCTCCGAGGCTCGTGGCTTCCATCTCCGCTTCCGCGACATCTCCCGTGGCGGTATCCGTATCGTCAAGTCGAGGAATCGCGAGGCGTTCGCCATCAACGCGAGGAGAATGTTCGACGAGAACTATGGCCTGGCCAACACCCAGCAGAGGAAGAACAAGGATATCCCCGAGGGTGGATCCAAGGGTGTCATCCTTCTTGACCCCCAACAGCAGGACAAGGGTAGCGTGGCTTTCGAGAAGTACATTGACTCGATCATGGATCTTCTCCTGCCACCCGTCAGCCCAGGTATCAAGGACCCCATTGTCGACCTCTACGGCAAGCAGGAGATCCTGTTCATGGGCCCTGATGAGAACACCGCTGAGCTGGTCGACTGGGCCACCGAGCACGCCCGCAAGCGTGGTGCCCCATGGTGGAAGTCTTTCTTCACTGGCAAGAGCCCCAAGCTTGGTGGAATTCCCCACGACCACTACGGTATGACCACCCTCTCGGTCCGCGAGTACGTCACAGGTATCTACCGCAAGTTGAACCTCGACCCCTCCACTGTCCGCAAGATGCAGACCGGTGGCCCTGACGGCGATCTCGGCTCCAACGAGATCCTCCTCAGCAACGAGAAGTACACCTCCATCGTCGACGGTGCCGGTGTCCTCGTAGACCCCAACGGAATCAACCACGCCGAGCTCCTCCGCCTCGCCAAGAAGCGCGTCATGATCTCGGAGTTCGATATCACCAAGCTCTCCAAGGACGGCTATCGCATCCTTCTCGACGAGACCGATGTCACCCTCCCCAGCGGCGAAGTCATCCCCAACGGCATGACTTTCCGCAACACCTTCCACCTCCGCCACACCGGCCTGACCGACATCTTCGTCCCCTGCGGTGGCCGCCCCGAGTCCATCGACCTCGTCAGCTGCAACAAGCTGATCCAAGACGGCAAGTCCCTCATCCCCTACATCGTCGAGGGCGCCAACCTCTTCATCGCCCAGGACGCCAAGCTCCGCCTCGAAGCGGCTGGCTGCATCCTCTACAAGGACGCCTCCGCCAACAAGGGTGGTGTCACCTCCTCCTCCCTCGAGGTCCTCGCTTCCCTCTCCTTCGACGACGAGGGATTCCTCAAGCACATGTGCGTCGGTGCTGACGGCGAGGCGCCCGCTTTCTACAAGGCCTACGTCGCTGAGGTGCAGGAGGTCATCAAGCGCAACGCGCGTCTCGAGTTCGAGGCCATCTGGCGCGAGAACGCCGAGACTGGCGTGGCCCGCTCGGTTCTCAGTGATACTCTCAGTATCGCGATTACCAAGCTTGATGAGGAGTTGCAGAACACGGAGCTCTGGCACAACGAGCCTCTGCGCCGCTCGGTGCTCAAGGATGCCCTGCCCAAGTTGCTGCTGGATAAGATTGGCCTCGATGCGATTATTGAGCGCGTGCCCGATAACTACTTGAGGTCTATCTTTGGCAGCTACTTGGCCTCGAGATTCGTTTATGAGTTTGGTACTTCGACTAGCCAGTTTGCTTTCTTTGATTTGTAAGTTTTACTCCCTCCCATATCTACTCTTCTAGATCATAATACTAACAATTACAATAGCATGTCGAAGCGCTTGGCGAAGTTGGAGGCATACTAAGCACCTCTCCATGGGATACTCCCAATTAATTAACTGTTTTTTGGGCATTCACACACACAACACAAAAAAGGGATTTTGGCGTCTGGCAAAGGGAAAGGAACGGAAAAACGTGACCCATATGAGGGTGGATAGGATGGCCATTAAGGTCGGTTGGTAGACAAAACATGATTGTTACTCCTGGTAGCTTGGTTCCGTGCCGCCCAGGGTATACATCTGTCTTAATATATTACTATTATTATCATAATTGTCTAGCTGTGGTATATCGTGTCTGTGCTCTGTCTATATGTGTTTATATATGATATGATATGTTATATATCGTGAATCCCCGTTCCAAAATTCACGCGTCCCCCCTTCCCCCCCCCAACCACACACACTCGACATCTCCTCCCAACCTCGCGGATTCCCAGACCGTTGGGGGTTCACACAGGTCACTATGCATCAGACCTCAGACCGCGTCTCATCAGTCGTGTATCCTCAATGTCTGTACTGTATAACCTCACCTCTCGACACAACGGTATACAACAGTGTATGCACGCACGCACCCCGCACCGCGCGCCCCAGCACCCGGAATTTCCTTTCTCTCTCTCTCTCGCTACTCGCTACTCGGGTAGTTACACCACAGAGAGCACAAAAATGTGACAGTCCTGTAACTGTGATCTACCTCGCTGCGGTACAGCGCGAGGTGAGACATTACGATAAACGAGCTGTGAGGAGAGGAGGGGAGGACGCGAGACAGCGGCGGCAGGCGGGCAGGGTGGAGAGAGGGAGGGAGTGAAACACGGAAGCAGGGCACACCGCTTGTTCTGCAGAATTATACTCTACTCTACTCTTAGGGAGGTGAGGTGAGGGATGGCTTGGGCTGGCCAGATTGGGGCTTGAGGAGGTTGGGGAACTCGATAGCTTGGGCTGGGGTGCTCACTCACCAGACTATAGTTTTGCCCGAGTAGAGAGTCCACACGTCGCTCTGATATATTGACTCGACTTCTATATGCCGAAGTCGTCGACGCACAGCTCACTAACCCACATAAACAACGCCCAGGTGGACCCAGACGTGGTGGACCTCCACTGGCGGCACCGTGCACAGCGCGCATGTCCTCTACTCCACCATAGCATACAGCACAACACCGCAGCGGATCAGGCGGCTGAGAGGGCGCGAATGGTAGGTTATGTGTCGTGCATGTGTAGGAGGGGAGGTTGGGGATGGATGGGTGGTGGGGGATGCGTGGTGTGGTGGTTGTGCAGCAGCTGTCTGGTCTGTGAGCTGTATGTGGTGGTTGTGCAGATGCCGTCTGTGGTGGTCGTGCAGGATAGGGAGGGAGATGTATGTGGGTGAGCGGGTTCATGTCGTGCGGGACGGACGGGATGGGAGGGAGGGTTTGGGGGAGACGGATGCTGGCGCTGCGAGAGATGCCGGGAACGGATGCGTCAGACATTCCCATCCCCATCTCTACCGCCGTATGGTTGAATAGAGGGTGTGTTTTCCCCGCCCGAGAAAGCTGACACGTCGACTTGGATGCCGACTTGGATGTTGATGGATGGATAGGGATCCTAAGAGGGCTCCTTTAATCTCTCCTCCCTCGCCCATGCGATATATCCCCTGCTCTAGACAGCTGCATCCCCTGCTACCGTCAGTGTATACCCTGCTACCGGCGCAATAGTAGCGGCTGGCGTGTATGTCTTCCCTCCCCTTCCAGGAACAGCCACATTATCCGAGAGCAGGCGATCGGCGCTTTGGGAGCTGGGATCGGCGTGGGTGCCCGGTTATCGCGAGATGCGCTATAGCGTGGCTTCGTTTGCGTGAGCGTTTGTGTTGTTGTTGTGGCAGTGGTTATGCAGATCTGGATTGCCCTCAATGTCTCGTGGTTATGGGCGTGTTTGTCGTCTCGCAGCTGACATCTGTCTCCGATCAGCTCGCCTTGTCCTGTCGTGTCTCGCTCATGTCTCTCTTCCCCTCAAATTATTTGTGAAATCGCGAAAATGCACAATTTCTCAGGGTTCTATTGGACCCTGGACACACCTGGACAATGACAATAGCCGTGGAGCAACAGAGTGTGATTGAGACTGTGGCACCTGCATATTTGTTGCTCTGATCCCTACCTCAACTCCACTACCACTCTGCTAACTTCTGTGCGCCATTCCCTCTGCCACGCTGTGGGCGTCGTCGAGCTATTTTCCATGCTGGTAGCTGGTGCCACTGTTAATCTCTCCAGGCGATAGACGGGCAATAACAAAATAACCACTTTGATCCCTCGTCCGTTTGAGAGTCCTGGTAACGATTGGTACGACGGTATTCCATGCTTTATACTGTTTGTGCATGCGATACTGACACAATTGTAACATAACTGTGCCTTCAACCGACTTGAATCAACCTGTCTCGTACTTGTAGCTCTGTTTGTGGATGGCGCGGGTGCCCTTTAAACTAGTTCAACTTCCCCTCCGCACAGTAGTTGTATTAGTAGTTAGGCCTCGACCCGTCACCAATTGCCGTCATCTTCTCCATTGTTACTGTCGCTGTCATCTGTCATTGTCCTTGTCGTCGTCGTTGTTAATGATAATATACTACCAATCTGCTGCTTCTCGCCAGTGACTGTAGGCCTGACAGCTCACTCTCAGCTCCTGCTGGTATGCGCCCTCCTCCAGCTGATGCATGACTACGCACGTGTTGCCCGCTCGCCTCTCCATGAATAATATCGGCTTCCCTGTATTGCTTCTTCTCGAGAGACCATGGATTGCGACGAACCACACTATCCTGACAAATCGAGCAACCTTCACGCCCACCGACTCGACCATACTCCCAGCAAGCTTCCCGCCTTCAGGTTTGCCGATTTACAACGATCACACACGCTACCCGACTCCTCCCTGACTGCTCCTGCTACTACTCCGCGTTCCCACATCAACCGATCCGTCTCCGACACAGCTGTACAGCGCATCACGACAAAGTCGCAGACCACATCGCCGCGCGAACAGGAACGCGCACTAGCTAATTCTACCGAACCTCGTACCACCAGCTACCCGCCCAACAGCTCCTCCAAGGTCCAGGAACCGAGAAGAGGCCGAAGGCCGCCCGCATCGCGTAGCAGCAATGGTATCGAGACGCACACCGGCCCACCACCTGCTCTGAGTACACAGCACTCGTTCCCACCCGAATCGCCTGTCCGGCCGCCGAACACATCAACGACACAGTGGGCATTGGCCCAGCAGAAACTCACTCTAGGAAACCTGCAGTCTACCCTGCCGGCTGCGGGCCCAGAACCCACAAAGGATAGTAGAACGCCACAAAGGAAGAAGACTGTGAGCTTGCCGACGACAGAAACTCGGCCGCGGATACCGCCTATTCGATCGTTCAGATCGTCTGCGACTCGCACATCGCTAGGGATGGATAGCAGGCCTTACTACCAGTATGACGGAGCGGATGACCGCGAGGACCGCGACCAGACTTTAAGGGCTTTGGAGGGTTACGAGGATAATAGCAGGAGAGATACGTTTTCGAGGGAGCAAGAGTATCGTGATCAGACTCGCAACAATGGCGGGACGGAGGATCTGTTTCTCGACCTTGCGCTGGACGACTTATCGCACGGCTACCCGCAAGACCAGCCCACCACCACAACTAATAGGCGCACTGTAAGTTGGCCCGATGCTTCCATTCACCCCTGTCCTGATATCGCGCGGCGTTTCACACGTTGCTGGCACGTTCCCGTTTCAAGTCCCCTGTCTAGCTATCTCCTTGAATATCCGCACGAGCCTCAAAACCCTCACTTTCTTCAACGACTTCCCCACTAATAAACATGTAGTCCCGTATCGCGCTCCCCAATAATCGCTCGTCGCTACCACCACTCACAAATTCATATCCGAATCCGATGCCTCGTCGCGGCTCCGATTTGCAGAGCGTGTCGACTTCTTACTCCTCAAGAGGAAACGAGGGAACACCGCCGAGTCAACGAACAGATCGCCAAGGTTATAATGCTTACTCACACGGCCGCGCTGCTTCGAGTCCAGCGAGTCCGTTAGACCTTAATAAGTCACGATACCCGCCGTCGGCGACCAGAACAACGCCGGTGACCCCCAGGGTTTTCAATACTCGAGAGCCCACATATGACGCGCAGTCTTCTGCTTCTGGAAGGAGGCCGTCTATACCTGAGTCCACCGGAGGCTCGCAGGTACGAGGGCACACATATCGCCAATCGAACTTGTCATCCTTCTCTACCCCACGAATCTATAATTCTTCCCCGCTTGTAGGAAGAATGGCTGAGCCGGAAATCACCCCAGAGCCAGCCACGGTTACAGGGAGCACTGACGATGGAACGGCATCTACTACAGCACCGTCGACTGTCTGGGACGAACTGGACGACTTGAAGTCGAGGATACGAAAACTGGAATTGACCGGTAAGCCACCGGCGACTTCAGGCGCCGCTGTCTCGCGCGCCACTGGGGAGAGACCCCCGACTGCCACGACCACGGCTACTACGATATCGACGTCACCGAAGAGAGGGCGGGGAGCGAGCACGTCTATTGTGGATAATAGTGGCGATGCTGCTCACGCCGGCGAGGCCCATCCTTTATTACATGCAGCTCTTGCGAAGTCGAAAACAGTTTTGACCCCGGACTTATACAAGGCACTGGAGAATGCAGCATCAGATGCCCTTGGTGTTGCCTCGATGGTCGGTAGTGTCGGCCAACCGATTTCCAGCGGCCACTCCGTGATTGGGCCTAATGGGGGAAGTATAGCGGATCGACAGCTTCGAAGGAAGGCAGAGAGCATGTGCAGAAGCTTGACAGAGCTCTGCATTGCGTTGTCTGATACCACATCCCAGCTTGGAGCAGCTACTCCAGTCAGGCCAATGAGCCGAGGCAAGGAGCTCCAGGCCCAAGTTGAGGAGATGGAACCCTCTCCCCGCCAGATCATTGCATCAAACGATGCATTGGCTAGAGCAAAGCAAAGCCCGAGTCGCGCGCTCAGCAGAATGGAGGCAAGACGAAGCAGTTTACTCGCCACCAGCGCCCTCCCAAGCCCGCGCTTTACTATCCCAGACAACGCCATCCCGAGCCCACGCTTCACCCCTGCCGAGACCACAACACCTACCCAATCCTCCTCCCTAGCCGGTCGCCGCACCTCGATCATGCTCCGCCGCCAGCGCGCCGGGACCGAAGAGCGCGAGACCGACGACGGCGGCGGCGACGTCAAGCCCAGGGCGCCGTCACGGGCAACGACGGAGATTGGGTTTGCGAGGAACTCGCCTAGGGAGTATACGAGTCAGCAGCCGCTGCCGGAACGGGCACCGTCGACGATCTCGAACTTGCCGGCGAGGAGACAGTATTTCAGTAATCTGTCGCCGTCGAGTACGATTCCGACCTTGTCTTCAGCTAGGAGGTATCTCGATCGCTCGACGCCGGAGAGGGATACGAGTAGTGTTGCTGGGAGGCTTGCGGAGGAGAGGGGGCAGAGGCTGCCGGTGAGCGTTACGCAGAGTATGGATGCGGGGATTAATAGGACGAGGAGCATGGTTAACCCAAGCGGAAGGGTGAGGGCGAGGAGTAGTGTTGCTGGCGGCGCGGTGGCGCAGACACCTTGATTTTTTACTTTGTTTTAGTTGCGGATGAGCGATGGAGGGGGTGATGTATAAACCATTGTTGCTACATAGCATACTCAAGGGACGGGGCGGGTGTACGATAGGAGTGATGGAGTTTTCTGGGAGGGGCGGGACGGACAGGGTCGACGGGTGGGGTTTGCTTTTACTTTTGAGCGGGGAAACTCAACGCCGTATCATGCTCGGTCATCATCATGAGCACTTTGGCTTCGAGATGAGCTGTTTTCCAAGATAGCATTGCTTTCACGCATGGCTGGGAAAAGAACGAGACGGACGAGATATGCGAGGCATGAACTACGATTATTGGAGGCTTATACCCTGGACGATGTATGGATGGAGCTGGTTGCTTTACTAGGGGGGGGTAAATGAGCTACTACTGGCTAGATCACCGATGAGGTGGGTTTTTTCCTGAGATGTACTTCTAGCTTGTGGCCTGAGACGAGGGTCGGAGATTATTGCAGATACATTTTGTTGAGCTATGGCTGTGCTGGCTGTTCTTGGTGGTGATATGTGATTGTGATTGTGATTGTGAAGTCTTTTTGCTTCTAATGCAGCGAGCCGGTGTCTATGTAGTGACTGTGTAACTCTGGAGGGTTAATAGAGTCAATAAACTAAAATCCACAGAATAGACTCTTCAGTATACCCTGGGACTTCTTTCGTTCGATAATATCTGCTTAATGTCTACTATTTGCGCAGCTTCGGTGACGATGACTCCCGCCGTTGTAAGCGAGCGCGCCATTCCCATAAACCTCCCACCACTGCAAAACTTATATCAAGCCCCAAACACATATTTCCTTCCCTCCCAAAAATATACCATATCTCAAATCCGCCATGTCCTCAACAGGCGAGCAGGCCCTCGCCGACCAGCACCAAGATGCGCCGCCCCCGCAGAGCCGCAAGTCAGGCGCCGGCGGTGGTAGTGGAGGTGGGGCATCGCGGGGCGGAAAAGGTCGCAGCGGCGGCGGCGGCGGGCAGAGCAGGGAAGTGCAGGTCTCGAAGGCGCTGAGTAAGCTGCTGAGACACGATGCTGTGAAGGCGGGGTTGGAGCTTGATGATGAGGGGTTTGCGGGGGTGGGGGAGGTGGTGAGTTTGTGCTTTTCTTTTCTTCATCGTGGGGGGAGGAGGAGAGGTTGAAAACGGAGGGGTCATGTGATGGATATTTTGATGCTGTTGATGGGATATCCTTGTTCTTGGAGGGCTGTTGATGGGCAAGGCGGGTTTTGAAGTGCTTTGCTGTACTGCTGGTGGTGCTTGTTTTGCTTCACGGATTGTTCTCTAGAAACCACACAACATCAGCTGACCCCCTCACAGCTCCAATGGAACCGCCTCAAGTCCCTCAAAGTAACCTTCGCCGACATCCTCACCGCCGTCAGCGACAACAGCAAGCAGCGCTTCGCCCTAAAACCCAACCCTCGGCTCGTCCCACTCCCGGAACCCACCTCCACCATCCCCTCCGACTGGCTCATCCGCGCCAACCAAGGGCACAGCATCGCCGTCGACTCCTCTGCGCTGCTGACCCCAATCACACTGGAAGCGGATAACGTCCCCCCTGTGGTCGTACACGGGACGTATTACGCTTTCTACCCCTCCATTGTGGCCAGCGGGGGATTGAAAAAGATGAGCCGCAACCACATACACTTCTCCACTGGCCTACCGGAGGATAAGGGCGGGGTGATAAGCGGGATGCGGAATGATGCGGAGGTGCTTATTTATGTGGATGTGAGAAAGAGTCTTGAGGAAGGGGGGACAAGTTGGTGGGTTAGTGATAATGGGGTTGTACTAAGTGAGGGGGATGGGGAGGGGGTGGTGGGGACGGGGGTGTGGAAGAGGGTTGAGGGGAGGAAAAAGGAGGAGGTAGGGGTTTTGTGGGAAGAGGGAAAAGAGGTGGCGGAGTTGCCGGAGGAGTTTAGGGGTAGGAAGGGGCCGGGGGGGAAGGGGATGAATAGGGGGGAGGTGGGTGGTGGGAGGGGGAAGGGAAAGGGAAAGGGGAGGGGGAGGGGAAAGGGGAGGGAAGAGAAAGGAGAAGAGGCTGGTGAGGGGGTTGCGTGTCCGTTAGAACAGGAGGATACGCCGGAATGAATAAATGGGGCTTATTCGTGTGTCTATGAACTCACGATAATTCTTATCGGTGACTTGATTCCAAGCTTGGACCTAGAGATAGGATGCGGGGTTGACTCCGAGTCTTCCCTATCGATTACGATGAAGCTAGTATTTACCCCTCCAACATGTGGCTCAAGAGGAATGTGTGGACGAATATCAAAGGCAAAGCAGTATCAATATTTAATGGGGAAAGTCTACAAAGCTTAGGCAATTCACATAGGTCATCATCAGAATTTGAAGTTGCGAAGAACACGTTCGTGCTTGTATTGGATCTTGTACTGCTAGCTACTGCCTCTCCCTAACCCGCCAGGAAATCTGATTTCCAGTTCCTGGCAAAATACCCCGCTGGCTGCCCAACGGAAAACCAAAGGATAATATTCAAACACATCCCCCAATTATTCGTCAGAGGTTTGGTGTTTGAAAAGAGTCGAAGAGGTCGAACGAAAGCGATCAAGTGTGTGGACAAGCAAGAATGCAGAAGCCGTTCGTGATTCGTAAACTTATGAGATTATTCTGATCATAGCCGCGTGATGACGAGATTAGGACGATTCTCGTAGGGTTCGAAAAGGACGTCGTTTCCATAAGAAGTCGAGCCAGTAGGTCGGCTGCCTCGAGTTGTCGAATGTCAATGTCGAGTTGTTTGAATCGTTGGATGACCGGGCGCCAAGAGCAATCGCTCACGGCGCCCGCAAAAGATCGTTCATCTCTGAGCTATATCAGATAAGAAAATAATTCCAGTCGTAAAATGCTTTGTTGGAAGGAAAGTGAGTTCAAATAAAAGTCGCTGGGATCAAGAGCCGCCCAACCAAGTTAGCCTTGCGGCAAGCCAGATCTCTCTCAAACCCATGCAGAACACCAGGGATCACGACTTGGGAGGTATTCGGTGATAAGCCTACTCCTGGGCGTTGCCCTGGCTGCGGCGCATCTTCTCGCCCTCGAGGTTCTCGTACAGGAGGTAAAGTGCGGTCTCGTTGGCCTTGGCGCTGCCCATGATGGTGAACATTCTCTCGCCAGTGTCATCATGAGGAGCCTTGGCAATAGAGATCCTGGCGCCGGAGGTCTTGCGGATCTCGCTGATCTTGCTTCCACCACGGCCGATAATGCATCCAACCATGTCGGAAGGAATGCTGATGTTCTGTGTCTGGATCTCCTCTCCGTTCTCGTCGTGTGTTGGGACGCCACGGCCGGCAGTCTCGCCATCAGAGCGGCGGTTGAAGGTCCTTGGTGCCTCCTGGCTGAAATCGGCTCCGTTGCCGGTGCGCATCACACGTGGGCTGCTGTATTCGCGGCCCTCGTTGCGAACGCCGCCTTGTCCGCCACCGGTCTGGGTGCGGACAACTGGGTTGTAGAGGACAGTGCCGGTTCCGCGCTCCCAATCATCGATCAGGCACTTGCAGATCTCCCAGATCGCCTTCTGGATACCCTCTGGGGTTCCCTGGACCTCGACAATTCGCTCGGTGGACTGGGGAAGCATCTCCTTCTGGGCAACCATCCTGACGCCGGAGACGTCCTGGATGTGCTTGATCTTAAGACCCTGGCGGCCAATGATCGTGCCCATCTGGTTGTGAGAGATGAGAAGCTTGATGGCTAAAACGATTACAACGTTAGTAGGTGCTATTGAGAAGATAACAAACGCGGGGTTGAGACGTACGATGAGTGCCGGTGGTTGAGACAAGTCCACCCATGCCCATCATTGGGGCGCCCTCCAGAAGGGCCTTGGCGACAATCGCGTAGGCCTTTGAGATGGCATCGCATCCACCAGTGATGGTCAGGATACGGTCGTGCACACCCTGGACGACCTTGCTGACACCAGCTTTCACACCAGTCTCGTCACGGAGGTCTGCGACGTTCTTTCCGGCCTTTCCGATAATAACACCGGCCTCCTTGGAAGAGACAATCGCGCGGAGGGTCAATTGAGCAATGGCGTAGTCCTCCTCGGTCTTTGGGGCTGGCTCGCCATCTGGTCCGAGGCGCTCACCATCAACGTTGAGGCGATCCATCGCGTCAACGACATCTTCAGCGCCGGACTGGTCGCGGGTATCCTGTTGAGACATCTTGAATTGGTGATGTGGGTTTGTTTGAGGTGGGAAGGTATATTGTCGAGTTGGTAGCAGGAGGGAGGATCTACACAATTCAAGTCAGCCATCTAGTGCCCACCTTACATTGAAGCTTAATAAAGCAATGACACGGCGCGATAATTTGCAAGCAACAGGTGAATGTGGGAATCATCCACTGTATATCGCGTAGGAGTGAGACTCACTTAAGAGGTCGATCTTAGGTCGTAGGAAGTATGTTGGAGAAAGGTGGCGAGGGGGGTACAGTGCGATAAAGTTATTGGGGGGATCGGGAGGCGGAGAAGGTGGGTGATGAGAGGAGGAAGTATGAAGAGGTGGAGAGGTGAGGAGGGAGGAGGAGTGACAGAGAGTGAAGCTGCCCGTGAGGATGATGAGTTTCTTTGTTGAGAGGTAAGGAAGAGGAAGGGTATCGCAAGCAGAAATCGAGTGGAGAAAGAAGGCGGTAGCTTTTGGGCTTTGAGCGCTCTCGCTTAGCGCGAAGGGACCTCGTTCTTTTGTGGTGGTTGAAATAAAATTTTACTAGTAAGAGAAAGGCGGGGTCAGATATTGGAGTACGTACCAGGAGGTGGCACCAACTTGGACTGGGACGGACCACTTTCACACTTTCACACTACAAATAAATACACTACTGAGATCACCACTACACTACTGGAATTACTACTATAACAACTATAACTACGGAGATATTCGTGCATATATGTGGTTATATGTGGTTGTAATTCATTCTCCTAGACGCTGTTGATCCTAGGCTCTGTTGATTCTGTTGGCTACTGTTAGTTGGCTGCTCGCCGCTGTTTGGCTTCTTCACTTCTACCCTATAATATCCACACAATGCAACGACGCGGAAGAGCTCTTTCTGTATTGGGTGGTGCTTGCTTCCCTTGTTCCCGCTCGAAATGCCGTATGAGCTATGGACGAGCCGTTGCACGCTTGCCAAAAGAATCGCCCTGCATGAGCTTGCCCCCGGAGCCTGCAGGTAATGTCCGCGGCCAAGCGTTGTGAGACACTGTGAAGGGTCAGAGGCCCCCCGGTCAGCTCACTTCACATCACATAACCCTAGAAGAGTAACGCTGTGCTGCTCCAGTCGATGTTGGCAGTGTGCTCTCTGCCACTGTCGCCTAACCATGAAGCTCCCATTATTGGGTGTTGTAATCACGTTCATGCAGTGTAGATAGGTCTGGGCTCTCATGTCAATATGATTACTTGTACAGTGCAACATCGTGTACAGGGGGCATAGCCTGTCTATTCTACCTCCATAGTTCCAAGCTCAAAAGCTAAATTTCACCCGCCGTGGATATCAATCGTGTATCATTTTATCACGTGTCGGTCCTTTTCATGGCCTCAAGGCCAAAGTCACCCTTGCTCCCAGCACGTTTAGGAGACGCCGGTGAATTTACGTCATCCTCGTCAGCATCATCACCGAAGAGAAATGCGCTTCTCTCCCTGGATGTGCTTGAACCAGGTTTGCGACCAGATGATAAAAATGGCGACGAGCTCTTCATCAATGCGGGTTGGTCGGATGGGACCGAGTGCTCGTCTGGCCCCAGCATCCACGCGAACGACGACTGAGCCAGTGTCGACCGAGCAGGAATCCCAGTTGCTGGCTGCCCTGGCTTGCCTGGTCCTGCATCGAGACCTTCCAAAGGCTGGCTGACTGAAGTCCTTGGTCTCCTAGGAATAGTCCTGCCGAGTGTAGGGGAGGACCCCGCAGTTGGCGGAGGGGTTTCTCCCGACAAATTTGTTGTTTCAATGTCCTTCAGTGGGCTAATTGGAGTAGCTACATTGCTTGCTTGAACTTGACGTTTTTCTTCGGGTTCAATCGTTGCGGTAACTCGGGCATCTGGTGCAGCACGCGGAGTGTCCGGTTCTAGCGGTAGGCTAGAGTCCTCCAGTCGAAGCATTATGAATCTAAGCTTCTCGATTCCGTTATTGATAGATATCGCCTTGGTTGATGCATCCTCAGTCGAGTCGGATGCTTTCTGGATCTCTTCTATTGTGCCATTTAGTAATAGTGCCAGTGTCTTGTTTCGTACCTCCAAATCAGCCAGTGATTTCCCAGTCTCTGTCACCACTTCATCTACCGACAGCGCATTGCTACGAGGGAACCTGCGAGGAGACCCGGGTCCGGGTGAGAGCCCTTGCATGTTCCTCTTTACCTCATCAACGGCATCCCGCACAACCTGGTTAATTCCAAGCCTTTCTCCACGGTCGAAAACACCCTTGGCAGCCCCCTGTAGAAGGGCCTCAACGCCGCCTTGGTCTTGCAAGAATCTAGCAGGTGAAGGTAGAGGCGATTTGCGCCCCGCAAATCTGCTCTCAGCACGATGCGGCTTTGCCCGTCCAGCGGGGGTAGCAGGCACAGGGCGTGATGATGGCGGAACTGGAGCTCGTCCAGTATATTTGTTTATAAGTTTCGCCCCAGCAGGTTGATTGAGGTTCTCTCTCAGGTAAATAGCATCCTCGACGAAGGTTTGAGGACCGTAAGGAGGTGTCGGATGGGGATATTTCAACAGTAATGTAAGCGCCACAGAGTAGTCTGCATCGAGCACTATATACGATTAGCTTCATTCGACTTCATTATTTCAAATTCCATCTTACACTGCCATCTAATCCTCAGTAGCATCGAAACACAAATCATGTCTATAAGCTCTAGGTCGGGGTCTTCTGCAAATAGCCTATCCCATAACGCCAGTAAATCCTCGAAAGGAAACTCTCTGCCAAAAAGCAGTCTGATCCACCGTCTTATGCAAATCAGTAGGTTACTCGACCAGTAATAACTCATCAAACACTTACATGATAAATATTTGAGGCAAGATTTCTATCTGAGTCAAGTGCAAGGCTAGTTCAGGGTCGACTTGGGCAAGCAGTACTTCATGTATTTGCTTGCTCCTCTGGACTATTGGGGAAGATCCATATTGAGAGCTGGATGTAGACCCTGCATTAAGCCTCTTATCAGGCTCACCGAGTTCGTAAAACGACTTTGCTGTCCTCATGATTAAGTTGAATAGGGTGAAAGAATCATGCTCTATGAAGCTTGCATCCAGTGTAGTGAACATTAAACGGTCGCCATCATCCGAAAGTACTGACCCCTCTGGGGCAATTGGCGCCAGTGCATCTCTTTGCATAGCCAGTAAAATTGGTGCAGCAAGTTCGTGCATACCTTGCCGATACCCTATATCCTGATTGATTTTGCAGTATATAAACAGGATGTGCAGAAGTGTCTTCTGGGTCTCGGGGAGTCGAAAATATGGCTCGTCAGGCATGCATCTTTCGACATCTTGAGTGATTTCGACGCAAAGTTGCTCATCTCTACGGAGAGTATTCCAGGGAGACTTCTGGAAGTTAGCCGCGAACGAGAGAGTGGGGAGTATAGTTTTGAGTCTGGGGATCACGGCATTTATCGTACATTGTCATCATCATTAAGAGGATCGATAGTAGAATCAAGGTCGCCTGGTCGTTCAATGAATCTCAGAAAATGAGATTTCAGCGCACTGTACGCAGCCCTCGAGTCCTCACTGGTCGCCGCCCATGTGTTACGATCAACACTCTGAAACAATAAGAAAGCCTAACCACATCGTTACCAGTGTACATCTAAAGGGCATACAGCTATCATCCATACTTTCCAACAAACAGAGCGCAAGCCAGATTCGCATATGCTATCAGCGTCGGCCTTAACTAGGCTCTTGAGGCCACCAACTTTAGAGGCTCCCTCTGTGGTCTTTTGCCACCTCTGCCTGTCAAGGGTCAAAAAGTGAGACTCACGTTCTGATGGTATTAACTGACCTCGATTCCTCCAAAGACCTCATTACTGCAACTCTGGGAGGCTGGTAACTCCCAAGGTTGCTCAAGCTTCCAAGGTCGTTGATGAGCTTCGTGACGTGATGACTGTGGGGCGCGGTATCCTTCCGCGATAACCCTCGCCGGGGTCCAATATCAACAACATCTTGGACAATTTACATCTCAAGATTCGACCAAAAACTACCCCACTTCTCCACAGAAGGCTTTGAGTTCCGATTGAGTAGAAGGTTCCTTCTGCTGAAGTTTCCACTCGATATTTACCCCACCACCCCGAAGAGAGCCGCAACGTTCCGGGCCTTGAAGATCTATACTGGGGGCGCCACACCATCCACATCCTCTCATCGCAAGGAGCCAGCGATGTCTGCTGATCTTCTTGCCGAGTTCGACTCATACTATGTAGCCCCGCAGAAAGGCAATTCGAAAAATGCGAGTGATGGCAGCAGTAAGCCATCCTCTGGCCTGAATGATTTGTCGTTTTTTAGCTCGAACCCTGCCACTTCGGCGCAACCCAGCCACACTGCCCAATACAGCTCCCAAAGCACCGACATATCCGATTTTAATACGTTCAGTGGCTTCGATGCGGGGGGTTCTAGGGAGGCGAGCAGGCAAGAGACACAGGACGATGGTGATGGTTGGGGAGATTTTGAGAGCCCAATCGCTGAGCCGGAGGCGGTCAAAGGCACCAATACACAAGGATCTACGGACCTGTTTGGCAGTGGCATGCATAGCATAGGGTCGGGGCATGGACAAGTAACAGACGAGTCAAGATACGGTGCCGCAAGGGTTACGACAATTCCACAGGGCAACTTCTTACCCAATACATCCAACGTAGCCCCGTCGTCCGCTGCTGGATTCCATACCAAGTATACGCCAAATCCAAAGCCGAGTTCCGCAAGTTCTATGCCAGCATCTGTATTTCCTAAAGATCCAAATGTGTTATTTGATGCCGACAATGTCTCGGATGACGATGACTTCGGAGACTTTGAGACTGTGGTTACACCACCACAGAAACAATGGCAAGGTGGATATACAAACGACAATTCTATATTAGCTGGATTTAATGATGCTAAAAACCCGCTACCTTCATCCTCCAAGTCTCGTCCATTGAACCCCTCTCTTGCTACGGAGATACCACAATCAGCCTCATTGCACGAAGTTATCCCATTCGCAGGGCTGGACCTCAACGGGGGCAGTACTGGCGCCACGAAGCAACGAGATACAACTGCGCCTTCGGGCCCGGCACGTCCTCGGACAGGTGCTGAATCCTTTCATGGTTCGTTTGGGAAACCAGATATGCAACGAGAAAGCAAGGCCAACAAGAGCATACAGTCTCCTCCAATGGTAAAAGAGGACACCTCTAAGCATACCAGTGGTAATTCCTGGGACTGGGATGCAGTCGAGGTTGCGCCTACCCACGAAATAGTGCAGCCAACAAAGGAAGATTCGTGGGCTTGGGACGTGGCAGAGACCCAGCCAAAGGAAGATCAAACCTCTTCTCCAAGCGCTCCACCGCCCACCAATATCCCTCCGCCTTCAGTGCTACTGACTGTATTTCCCCAGCTCCTCGATCTCTCGCAGTCAAGCCTCTTTCAACCAGTGTCAAGCCAGCCATTTTCTCTCAAGAACAGGATACTGTCCGACCCAACAACTATCAATTTCATAAGAGCTTACATTCTCCTGGCAACCGTTGCAGGACGAATTATAGCAGGCCGTAAGTACCGCTGGAAACGCGATACACATTTATCACAGGCTATGAAGATCGGGCCCGCTGCAGCTGGAGGAAAGGGTGGCATGAAGCTCGTGGGAGTCGACAAAGCTGAGATAAGCCGCGAGGACCGAGAGGCAAACGAGTTTATTCGAACATGGCAGGATCAAGTGGGCCGTCTCCGTTCAGCTGTTGCCATTGCCAATTCCAGCATCCGAGATACCTCGGGGCATATAATAGTGCCTGAGATCAGCGGATCAATGCCGGTGCGCACAGCGACTGCGGCAGAAGGCGCTGTTACTGCTCCGAAACCCTGTTTCATTTGTGGCCTAAAGCGGGATGAACGGATTTCCAAAGTCGACGTTCAAGTGGAGGACAGCTTCGGGGAGTGGTGGGTTGAGCATTGGGGCCATAAAGCTTGTAGGAACTTTTGGATGGAACATGATAGCAAATTAAAACACAATTGATTATTTACTTTCATGGTGGAGCGTCTTCTGTGGATTTTGATGTGCTGCTCATGTGTTCTCTGTGTTTCAAGAAATCCAGACGATGTTGTAGTGGATAGACCCTACCATTGTTCACAGGCTCTCGGCTGTCCTCTGTCGATTGTATCCATTGATAAATCTGGTTTCGTCTATCGATGCTTTTGGTAGATGGGTAGGCTTTTTGGATTCTGTCCAGAGGAACACCTTAGTAAGTGCTTCGATAGCGCTCTCGCTGACGCCGACGCTGTAGGCTTCGGAAATGCAGCTCCCATGGCTAGTAAGATTATGAGTTCTTCATCTTCGTCCATAGTGAGGAGGAGGGCAACTGGCAGGCAGTTGTAATAAAGACGCGACGCGACGGCAGAGGCCAAATTTACTAAGTACCACGAGGCTTCACTCCACGGCAATGATGTATGGTCACGTGCAGAATATAAGGTTGTCTTAAACGAGCCTAGTCAGGGCTTCTCGATCCCACAGTTCGATAATCGCTTCGCGAACTTCGTGATTTTGCGACGATTACGACCGACACCAGCAAATCCATTTCAGCTCCGATTCGATAATCAACATCGGTCAAAATGGCGAGTAAGTTTGAGGATGCTTCTTCTCCCAGGTATACACTAATGGCGAACCTCTCTAGAATCCAAGAACTCGTCCCAGCACAACCAGTCGAAGAAGGCTCACCGTAACGGGTATGGACCACCATGACACCACAATCCAAAATCGATCGCCTACGCAAATCGAACAATTATTCCGCCGGACAGTTGCTAATATGTGTGTGCCGATAGTATCAAGAAGCCAAAGACCTCCAGATACCCTTCCCTCAAGGGTACCGACCCCAAGTTCAGAAGAAACCACAAGCATGCCCTGCACGGAACAATGAAGGCACTGGTTCGTCTCGCCACTACTCGATGTGTATCGGATAAATACTGACTCTTTCCAATAGAAGGCGGCCAGGGAGGAATCTGCATAAAGTGGTGTTAGGTCTCTCGGGGAACAGGGCGTGGTAGATTTTGATGAGGGCTTGTGGGCTGCGGTCTGCCAGTTGTATCCGGACTGTTATAATGCGCAAATCGGCGAAATAGCTCGGGGGCACAGAATTGAACACGATCCAAATAACGACTTCAATGATCATGCATAGTGACATCTCAATTGCTATCTACTGTGGAAACCCTTGTGTATACAGCTCTCCTAGACTTCATTCCTGAGAACATCTTACGTTTCAAATCGAGTTTAACAACTAACGAATTTCCCTCACTAGCTGTGAAAGCTCAATGCTGCCATGGATGCTCGGATGTAACAATAAACGCCACATATTAGCTGTTGGGGTCTGGCCCATGGGACGACATGGGATATGGTATTCGGATGGAACCGAGAAGGCATCATGTTAACCAACCCAGTTAATATATGAAGCCTTTCTCTCGCCTCGGCTTCCACTTCGGAGAGCGTAGACATACCAGTTCTGAAAACACGGTTGCATCTCCAAGTCGATGCGAATGCCACAAATTTACTGAAAGAGCCAGGAATGTATTGTATCTAGCTAAGTGCCTGCAATAACTTAATAGTATACAACCTGTTATATCTTGAGTAAAACTTCCAATACGGTGTTGACCAGTACAATAATTCAGGGGTATATATATAACAGACGCCTTTCATGATCCCAGTATTCCTGCCTGTAGCTTGCCTGGTCCAGTGCTACGGTATCAGTCGTCGAAGATACCACGAATCTAAATATGTCAGCAACGCAAAGGGCGCTATTCTCAGGAAGGGTTCTCTGACCTGGGATACTCGTTGAGTAGGTGCTACATTTGAAGGGCTTGCGCTTCGTTTCCGGGCCATTGATCCATGTATACTGTTGACCGCAGGGTAGCTCTCTTGGGGCCCACGAGACGATGCCTTGAGTTGTCCATCCTAAATTTAAGTCAGCATAGTCACAAGACACGCAACATTTTGAAGCAATCGTCCTCACAGTGTCAGTGCCAGCATCCCATCCAAGTAACTCCTCGTCTTCGCCTCCGTACCCTGAAGGGTTCCACCTTCGATCCTCTTCGTCATCTGGGACAAACAAGGAATCCGAATCAATGCTTGGCTGTGGTAACGGAGGTGAATGGCGTAGAGCACGAGCTCGATGACCCAGCAGTGTGGCTGGCGGTGGCCCAGAGCGAGGAGGAGGTTGCATGGATGCCGCGGGTAGTTGCACAACATTGGCGACAGGTGGATCTTCTGTATGTTGTCTTGAAGGTGCTGAGGTTGAATTCCTCATAATTGTATTTGGCAAAGGAACAGCCGAAGTAGCTTTATAGTCACCTATAGTCATTAGGATAAACTCGCTCGTCACGCCCTCGTCGCCATATTTCAGCTGCATTGGCTTTGACGGATACGAATAGGCTGCTGAGACCTCAGTATCTAAGCTACCGGCATGCTGGACGATAGCCTTGAAATCTTTGACGCTTATGATAATGTGCAACATATCTTCGACATTAAACTGGCTGAATTCCGTGGTATCAATGGCGATCGACGTATGTAATGGTTGTTTGAGTACTTCTAAGATCGCGTTAGCAACGAGTCAATGTTGATTGTAGGAGCTTCGCACCCTTCCCCGCAACTATTTTCTCGGTGTAGCTCGTGAATATTGCTCGCCCATCCTTTGCATAGATATCTAGCTGTTCAGTCTTTGGCCCGAAATGGTCAATGAACTCTCTCAACACGCAGGATGGTATTGACCAGTGGCTCTTGGACATTTCTGGCTTAAAAAGAGCATGCATCGACGAAGATGACTCAAAGGTCAATTGGTATGTTTTGATGACACCTAGTCTACAGTTACTTTCAAATCCTACGAGTGTTGAGGCCTACTTTCTTACCATGCCTACATATCATTTGAGCGACGAAGCGGCTCTTGACCCCTCCAGCTCCGTCCTCTACGCTCACCTCGCATCTCTCGATGCCGGTATCCTTTTCACGGAGAGGATCTGCTGATCGGCCCTTGAATATGGATGCCAAAGCCTAAAAAAATAAGTAATAGTTCTACATATGTAATGCAGATGCCGTCTACCTTGTTGTATAGCCTACAGGTGAACTTCCCCCTCGTGGAACCCGAGGTTCGAGGGGGGTTATATATAAATTTAGAGAAAAACTTGTTGGTGGCGAATGTGAAGGACGCATATCCCGTCCTTGTAGTGTTCAAAGCTGTCAACACAAGCTTCATAGAATCAGCAATCATAACGATACACTCTTTGCTTTCAGGGAACTCACGTGATCTCGTGTTGCTTCCAAGGAAACAGATTCATTGAACTTTCCCAGGCATATAAGAGCATCATGCATCTTCCCCACAGCCTCGGGGCTCAGAGTGAAGGTTAAGACAGCCATGAGATGAGTGTCAATAACAGGACGTAACCCTCCTGTTTTGAGGTTGACGAAGGTCGTTCCTCGAATATACTTCGGTAGACGCGTGAATTCCAAGGTGGGTCTTTCCTTGATAAGATAACGCGACAACCTCCAGCACAATACACGTCTGCCTTGTGGTATGATTTTAACGATTAAAAATTCTTCAAGAATACAGATTTTGAAAGAAAATCCAATCTGGAATTATACGTTAAGTTGTTTAGAATACGATTTATCCACGAGGGGTAGTGTTGTCTTCTGAGACCTTTTGAGGTCTGTTGTTGACAATGGCCTCTCTTCCGCCTGATATTATGAACATGATATGTGAAGAGCTGGCAAACCGTCGCGATTTCGGGACCCTCTTTCATCTTTGTCTGTCAGGGAAACAGATGGCAGGAGGTGCATTATGGTGGCTGTATAGGTAAGACTATGGCTTCACAGTGTCAGCACCATTCAAGTCACCGAACGTTGGTTTGAAAGCAACAGTGTAACCTGTTTACATTATGAACGGTGCCATACACATCACTAATATTATCTCTGCATGATCTATCGCTGACTCATAACAGAATTCATACGCATGCGTCCATTAGAGGCGGGGAAAGCAATGAAGATGAAATGTCGAGAACAGGTGAATTTAAAGAGACGAGCATTGCCGCACGTGTAGCCCAGATGAAGTTGACAGTATCCAAATGGGCCTTGCAGTGGAGATCAATTATTTTGTCAAGTCTTGGTGGGACTGTTTACCCATATTGCCTCTACATACAATCTCTTGACCTTCGGAACTTGGTTGACCTCCTTGAGGATAATATTTTTCAGGACAACTTTCAAGATACGTTCTTCTCGTCGCTCCCGCCGTTCAGCGAGACGCAAATTAATACCAGAATCCTGAGGAGCAAAGGAAAAAAGCGCACGCCGATTAATATTCGACTTTTCATAAATTTGGTGGGAGATTCCATATCCAAATCCGTTGGGGACTCGGCCAATATGCTAGGCACTGTGGCGGCGCTGAATGCCATCGATCTCTCTGGGAATATAGACCCGGTTGAATTTCCTACTTGGATTGGAAGGCTCTCAAGGCTCGAATCTATGGCATTATGGGATGGCACCGTTCTTAATAGACATGCCGGCGACGTTATTCAGAAACGCTGCCAAAGCTTCAAGAGTCTGAGTATCTACACTTGTCATGGAGAGAAGGTCGATCTTAATTTGGCTGGTTTCCTCGATGCTTTACCAAAGAATACGTTGAAATCTCTTCACGTATTCAGTTATAATGATATCGCCGGCGAAACATTCCAGGCACTGAACCAGCAGCACAGGGAGTCCCTCGTCGACCTTACCCTTGGTAATCTGAAAGGCCCAGCGATCAGGTCCCTATCGGTGCTCAAAGGCCTCACCGCACTCATAAATCTCGACTTAGATGATGCTGAGGGACGCATTAATCTAGAATCAACAGCAAATGATAGTTTCCTCGAGTTAATCGGCTGGGTTACTGGGTGCGTGCAACTAAAAACCATTCGACTTAATAGGTTTGTGGACGGCCCCGCCATTATGAGGGCCCTATGTTTGAACGACAAAATACGATTGAATAGCATCACCCTCAGAGGTTATACCTTTGCCTATAATCAGGAGCTGCATCGATCTCTGGCCAATCAAACTGAATTGGAGTCTTTGGAGCTGAGGGCAGAAACAGAGGAAGATGACGATGACAATATTCGTGAAGATATTGATACCCTAGTCTCTTCTCTCAGTTCACTAAAGGAGCTTCGATACCTTAATATACTCGATACTTCCAATAGCTTCCAAAGCCTTCAAGTCGAACTCCTCGCAGTTTCACTACCAAAGGTATGTTCGTTGCGTTGACCCCTGACTGTGCCGAGGTTTCGTTTATCATGCTATTATATAATTACCTTCTTTTTCTCTTGCTAATATATTTCTAATAGCTTGAAGATTTATCAGTCAGCGGTCATACTATGGGTGATGAGGTTTGGGGGGCTATCTCACAGCTACACCAACTTCGAAGCCTATCATTTCACTCCATGACGACTTTCACATTTGATGGGATAATGAAGTACCTGTCTAATCTACGGCAAAGTAATTATGGTATTCACTTGTATATCATGAACGCCACTGCTGAGAGCCGGTTGAGCCCTCAGGAGCAGACAATCATTAAGCAGACAATCGAAAATATGGTCAATGGGCGATTCTCCTTCGTCCAGTACAGGGAGATTGAATCCGATTACGATTCCGAATCGGACTGATAACATGAATCTTTCCGCCAGTGTACCGTTAACAGGCCACAATGAGGGGTAATACATGTTGTCCGCTCTGTCCATGCGTATTGCACTGCATTATCAACGCCCTTCGATATCGCGTGTACTATACATTGGGGGAATGCTCAAGTGGGGGTTCATATCAAGGGTAACAAAAGTATCCGTTATGTACAGGTGGGGAAAGGCTATTGGGTTTTAGGGTATAATAAGGCCGGCTCATTGTACTTTATTTCTTGTTTGGAGTCTCAATATCCGAAAGACAGCGATCTGAAACTTTCCAATGATGTTGGTGAGTATTATTGCTCTTATGTTATAGTTGGTTTGCGTGACTAATGGTACTCAACCCCACTATACATCCGTCTACATGTGGTGGACCCCGCCATCACAATTATTGACCTAACTAAATTTCCCCAACTGTTTAAGTCGTCGCTCATGCCACTACGTGATTAACAAGACTTGTAAATCTCCCACCCAAAATGGCCCAAGGACGAATTCTGGTGATTGCCGGGTCGGATAGCTCTGGCGGGGCGTAAGTCTCGGGGCAGATCTACGTTATCACAAATGCTTACAATCAATTTAGTGGGCTCGAGGCCGACCAGAAAGTCATTGCAGCCCATGGATGTTATGCTATGACTGCCACGGCCGCTCTCACTGCTCAGAATACCACAGGCGTCTTTGGTATTCAAGCAACGCCTTCGGATTTTGTGCGCAAGCAAATTGATGCTTGTCTCGATGATATTCCAGTCGATGTCGTGAAAATAGGTAATTTACCCGGGATATATCCTGTGCTCTCTCAGCTGTCCGACACTCCGGTGGGTATGGCAATAACTAATAATTTCAGGAATGCTGGCTTCTGCCGAAACGGTTCTGGTTGTAGCTGATGCTCTCCGTCGGCATAAAGTTAAGAAAACCGTCATTGATCCTGTATGAGTCTCCCCCGTTGCAACGATGGTATTATTCTGACAATAATGAGGTAATGGTGTCGACCAGTGGCTCTCACCTCCTGCCTGAGGACGCCATTAAAATAATGAGAGAACAGCTGCTACCTTTGGCTACAATTCTTACACCAAATGTACCAGAAGCAATGCTTCTGCTCAGTGATGCCGGGATACATGCTGAGGCCCCTACGTCTGTGGATGACCTGGTGAATATAGCCAAGACCGTTCAATCTCTCGGTCCTGAGTTTGTCCTCCTTAAAGGCGGCCATTTACCGCTTCAGAGCAATGGTGTCATGGCTTCGATCGAATCAGAGAAAGAAATGGTAGTTGATGTGTTGTATGGGGCCGGTGCATTCATTCGGATCGACAGTGTTTATCAGGAGTCAAAAAATACCCACGGCACTGGCTGCTCTTTGGCCTGTGAGTCCAAACACCCCTCTATCTACATACGGGGCATAATTTAACTCTGTTAGCGGCAATTGCCTCGAATATTGCAAATGGTTTCGATATCAACAGGGCTGTAAAAGCTGCCTGCAGGTATGTGGAGGCGGGTATCAGGACTGCGAGAGATATTGGAGCTGGAAATGGCCCTATAAACCATTTTCACTCAGTTTACGCCTTGCCCTTTGCACCGTATGTCAACCCCCGCTCAGGACATTGCGCATCTTCTCACTGTTATAGGGGCCGGTTTATCGAGTACCTTCTTGACAGGCCCGACGTAAAGGTGGCATGGCAAAAGCATACGGAACATCGCTTTTTGGAGCGTCTTGCTGACGGCACACTTCCTGTGGAATTATTTAAGAATTATTTAATTCAAGACTATCTATACCTAGTAAGCAGTATCGGTGGTTTTTGTACGCTTTACTCATCAACCCCAGGTTCAATATGCCAGAGCAACCGCCCTGGCTGGCTATAAAGCTAAAACATTGGATGAAATCGCCGCGGTACGTACGATTGTGTAACAAGTATAACTGCCATCTTTCTGACCTACTCAAAAGTCGGCCACGGTGGTTACTCATATTATCCATGAGATGAATCTGCATGTCGAGTACTGCGAGGCATTTGGTGTCTCCAAAGAGCAAATACTTGCCACCGAAGAAGATGAAGGTGAGTATCAGCTATTCGGCAATATATTTTACGCATCACTAATGATTTATGAAAGCTTGTACTGCATATACAAGGTAATGAATATTCCACAATCCAATGCTCTGTCACTAATGTTTGACAGATATGTTCTCGATGTTGGCCATTCGGAAGACTGGTTCGCACTTCAGATTGCAATGGCACCATGCTTAATCGGCTATGGTGTTATTGCTCGGAGGCTCTACGATGACCCATTGACGAAGCGCGAAGGCAACATTTACTGGAAATGGATAGAGAATTACGTGGCTGATGATTTCGCTGAAGCTGTTAAAGTTGGGTCAGGTAAGTAATTGACTTCGTACCAGGTAAGACCATGCTCATTCGTGATAGATACTATTGAGAAGCACGCACTTCTACTGTCTCCCAGCCGGCTGGAGGAGCTGGTCAAGATATTCATCCATGCAACTAATGTAAGCTTTCCTCTGTCTCCAGAACCTATGAACGATGTCACTGATTATCTGAAGATGGAAACCGGTTTCTGGAATATGGGAGAAGGACAGAAATAAATATATATATATATATGTAGAATAGATGAATCTGTTGTATTTCTCGGAATACTGGGCTGAGAATAGAAAACATGTACTCGTGCTGCCTGAAAGCCTGCAGAGCATGTATAAATGAGCATTGATAGCTGGAATTAAAGTTGAGGAAACTTATTAATTTATATTAATTTTCAGTAGTTAGCTTTTTAAAAATCTCCAATAGTTCCCAAGTTATTGAAAGCTCATAATCTATTTATAGTTACTATAACTATAAAACTTGACCAACATTATATTTTGTATGCTGTTTCTTCGCCCCCCGACCAACTTTTGGACGGTGGGGTGAGGTAGTGTGGTAAAATTATCGTATGCGCCTTTTTTTATCACCGTTGTTGTACCTCCACATCACGTGACCACGTATCAACCAAAGTAGAAACTTCGACCCTAGGCCCAAAATAGGGTAGTCCCTTCCGAAAAATAATTTTTGATTCCTTTCTCCCCAACTGAGTACTTCAGTTCGATCCCCCCCATCATTCTTTCCATCAAACACAATCAACAACTCCCTCTCACCTTATCGACAAGACTTGCAGCTCCAAACATCACAACAGAGCAGCTTCATTCATACTATTTCGGAACGCGATTCACTCGCATTTCATCGTCAACGAGTCTTAAGATGTCGTACGGAGGCGGATCTTACGGTGGTGGTGGCGGTCGCGGAGGTGGAGGAGGTGGAGGTGGAGGTTACTCAGGGTACGATAAATATGCAAGCCGCGATAACTACTCCAGTGGCTACTCCTATGGGTATGGAAAACCTATGGTCTAGAAATTGTTGTGAAGTTGAACGCACCTGGTGTTCGCCCTGTTCCATGGCTTCCTTGCCAGCCTTGTCTGGACCCCCACAAAGGGACCATGGCATAGGATGCAACACGAATGCTTTCCTGTCACATCTCATATAATATACTGGGGCAACTGCTAACTTTCTACAGTGGAGGCGGCGGCTACGGCGGCGGCGGTGGTGGTGGTGGTTACGGAGGTGGTGGTGGTGGTGGTGTGAACGGTTACTCCGGAGGTGGCGGATACTCTGGAGGTGGTGGTGGTGGATACGGCGGCGGCCGCGGCGGTGGTTTCGGTGGTGGCGGTGGAGACCGCATGTCCAACCTTGGTGATGGCCTCCAGAAGCAAAGCTGGGGTACGTTAATGTCTAATCCTATCCGATTTCGTTGCTAACAGACCCCCTAGACCTCGACACCATGCCGAAATTCGAGAAGTCTTTCTACAAGGAGGACCCTCTAGTCACCAACCGCTCGGATGCCGATGTGGCCAAGTTCAGAGCTCTCCACAACATTGCTATCACCGGAACCAATGTTCCCAAGCCAGTCGAGACATTCGACGAGGCTGGCTTCCCCGCCTACGTTATCAACGAGGTTAAGGCCCAGGGATTCCCTGCTCCTACCGCCATTCAATCACAGGGCTGGCCTATGGCCCTTTCTGGACGTGATGTCGTTGGTATTGCCGAGACTGGTTCAGGAAAGACGCTCACATACTGCTTGCCCGCAATTGTTCACATCAACGCCCAGCCGCTATTGGCACCCGGAGATGGCCCTATCGTCCTCGTCCTTGCGCCAACCCGTGAGCTTGCTGTCCAGATTCAGCAAGAAATCACCAAGTTTGGAAAGTCTTCTCGCATTCGCAACACCTGCGTCTACGGAGGTGTCCCCAAGGGTGGACAAATCCGCGATCTCGCCAAGGGTGTCGAGGTTTGCATTGCTACTCCAGGTCGTCTCATCGATATGCTCGAGTCTGGCAAGACCAACCTCCGCCGTGTCACCTACCTTGTTCTCGATGAGGCTGACCGCATGTTGGACATGGGTTTCGAGCCACAAATTCGCAAGATCCTTGGTCAAATCAGACCTGATAAGCAGACTTGCATGTGGTCCGCAACATGGCCAAAGGAGGTCCGCGCTCTTGCGTCTGACTACCTGAACGACTTCATCCAGGTCAACATTGGTTCTCTTGAACTCTCTGCCAACCACCGCATTACTCAAATCGTCGAGGTTGTTTCGGAGTTCGAGAAGCGTGATAAGATGACCAAGCATCTCGAGAAGATCATGGAGAACAAGGAGAACAAGATCCTGATTTTCACTGGTACTAAGCGTGTTGCTGACGATATTACCCGATTCCTTCGCCAGGACGGTTGGCCCGCACTCTGTAAGTTTACTTCAAAATGTATTAGCCCACCTCGTACTAACAGTTACCTAGCCATCCACGGAGACAAGCAGCAAAACGAGAGAGATTGGGTCCTGAACGAGTTCAAGACCGGCAAGAGCCCCATCATGGTTGCTACTGACGTAGCTTCGCGTGGTATTGGTATGATTAGAACCCCCTCCCCAACCGACCCCCCATCCTCCCCCACCCCCTATGCAATGCCCAGTCCATCTCAATGGTGCTATACTCTCAACGCTTCGGTGCTTTTCATATTGCGTAACCTTACCAGGGCATTTTTCGTCTCACGGTTCTCTATTAAGGGGAAGCTTGGATCTGTGGTGCAGCATTTCTTCTGCTACACTAGTGGTTTCGTTTACTATGTATCGTGAGGATACATAGGCGGAATTGGCATTTCTTGACCTCGTTCAAGCCCTGTCTCCAAGAGTCCCAGTCCAGAGGACCAGGATGTGTGAATCAACCGCCCCGGTACAGAATCGCAATTGTCAGCTCAAATCTGACGCAGAGAGAGTATTGAATGCATGCCAACGTGCAGCTTCACTTGTCGACAACTGGAACATTGCTATACCATCTGTTTGCTCTTGCTAACCAATGTACAAAGATGTCCGCAACATTACTCATGTGTTTAACTATGATTACCCAAACAACTCCGAGGATTACATCCATCGTATCGGCCGAACTGGACGTGCCGGACAAATGGGAACCGCAATTACCCTCTTCACCACTGACAGTGAGTCCCCAATCTAAGAGCCTCTTATGGAGCCTTCACTGACAAATATATAGACCAGAAGCAGGCTCGTGATCTCGTAAATGTTCTCACTGAGGCTAAGCAGCAAATTGACCCCCGTCTCATTGAGATGACCCGCTACGGCGGTGGCGGTGGTGGTGGCCGCTACGGTGGAGGTGGATACCGTGGAGGCCGCGGTGGTGGCGGACGTGGTGGTAAGTCAAATTCCTTTGCTCCCTTTCGTTCCATCACTGATGGGACTAACGAAGGTGGTCGTTGGTAGGTGGTGGCTCCTCTTCTAACGCTGCCCCTCTAGGTGGGAACCGGCGTTGGTAGATGTCGATGTTGCATCCCAGCAACTAAACTCGCGAGACCGGCTATCGACACTCGACGATTAATTTTGCGCATTTGATATGGGTTGTTCTGGCGTTTTTTTGCACATTGGTTGGGCGAGATAGATTGCTTTGGGGGGGTTGCTGTCTTCGTATATCTGGGGATAAAAGCATGGGGATTTCCTTATTTTACAGTATTATAGAAAGGGGATGTGTACGAGGCATTACATCCGTAGATTGCGTCTTGGAGGCTTCTCTTCGATCCGACCCGGATGCCTATTGCTCGTTCGTCAGTTTGTGGAGCATTTTCATAGCCGCAAGAAGACCTAGATTGCATGAGCTTCGCTGTAGAAGAATCAAATAAAAATATGATTTCAAATTAACATAAATACGAGTGATCCAAATGAATAATCAACCCAAAATAATCAACTCTACTACTTTAGTAAAGCATCATTTTCCCCCAGTCCAGCCAGGTTTCCCCAGACCCAGCCAGGTCCCTGCTGCGGTGGCGCGTGGTCCCCTGGTGCTAAGGTATGGAGAGCATCATTCTTGTACTACGGTAATCCGTTCGTCGTCGATGCACCAGCCCAGTCCAGTCCAGTCCAGTGTCACTACCTTGCCGCGATGCCTACCTGGTTGTCTGCACTAAATTGGTGTTGTCGCTCTGCATGTTGACAGGTGGTGGTGGGTGGTGGTAGGTGGTGTACGGTACGAGGGAGTGGTGGTGAGTGACAGGCCACTGCTACTACTGATAGTATAAATCCAGTAATGAAAATGTATGTACTCGGTACGGTGACACACGGTAGACTAGCACTGATTATAGTGAAAAAATACAAAGATCTTCTCTTTTCCCAGTGGTGGTGGGTGTGTCGCATGGTGTCGCATGGCTGGCGGGCATCATTTTAGAGGCACTATGCTACTATCTAGTATTCCGTGGCCGCTACCAAGCCGGTGGGAGAGGCTATCTCCCCTTTCTCCCTAGCTAGTCGATTTCTGCCAGTGATGTTTTAGGGCGGAGAGGTTATAATGACTTCAGCCCGTTGACAGGTTGCAGCCATCTTTTCCTAGCATCGTTTATATATAAATATAAATAAACAGTGTGGTGTTCGCTGCCTTGTCTTTCTTGAACAAACACAACGCGCGCTGCGAAAATCGATGAGGGCAGGCACCTACCTACCTACCTACCTGTACCTTCACTTGAGCTCGGAATTGCCACGACAGGAAGGACAGATCGACAAACGTAAGAGATACGTGGTTCTGCCGTCTTTGCCGGGTTTGCCGTTCAAATCTCTTGCTCATTTCTTCAAGCCGCTTCTGCTCGTCAGGGAGGGTGGGGGTTTTGAGTGGGGGGTAGGATGGGGAGGGGAGGAACGAGGGACAGGGTACTCCATACGGAACACGCTGTTGACATGGGCAGGGAATATGGACATGGGGCGTACAATGGGTACTATACTACTTACAATAGAAGGTGGACAAAAAAAAGTTGACGAACAATAACAGCGAAGCCATAGGATTGACTGTCATGGCGGCACAAGTTTGGTTACGTGAATGGTGACGGTGCATTATCTCCCTTGGTTCATCTCCTCTCCGAACCAAGACGGGCGAGACCTGAGGGACGGCGGCGGAAAGTCGACGCGAGCAAGTCGACTCGAGCAAGTCCAGACGCACATCTGGGATCATCTTTGGGGCTCGTCTCGCTCGAGTCAGAAGCGATTTGCATTTTATGAACGGCTGTGGCGGATGCGAATTCGGCTTCACCGCCACTTTAAGGTGAATTTCAATTGTCAGTATGGTAGGAGGTGCAGGCCGTTCCCATATTATTTTTCCCCATCCACATGTTAACAGAGAGTAACACTGACAGTACAAGATCATACCCCGTACAGTACATACAATACTATAGTACTGTACCACCACCGGTACTGTACATGTACTTGGCTTGGCAGAGTACCCTTTTTTTTTCTCTGCTTACAATTCGATTCGAGATCCGTTCTTCACTTTACCACCAACCACCACTCAAAATCAAATCTATACAACCGAGGCTCCTCCCTGCCGCGTTCAGTCGTACTCGCACTCGCTCACGCACGCGCTCGTAGTATCCGTGCTGTAACGAGTACAGAGTCTAGTATTGGGTGGAGCCACCGAGTCATGACCAGTGGACATTAATGAATCCGCAGATTCCCCGACGCGTCGAAGATCCTTGCCGCACTCAACGACACATGCGACGTGGGATTCGAATTTCTTGGGAAAAGGCAAGGGAAGGGGTGGGAAGGAGGGAAGGGCAAATACGTTTCGTTACCAAAGTTCAGACACAAGACAAGACAAGACAAAACAAGACAAGAAGAAAGGCCCTTCTCCCCTACCCTACCCTACTCTTTCCCCCCACTGCCACGGAGCACACAGTGAGCCTGGGGGAGGGGCATGAGCAAGCCACCCCAGCCACGTCGTGGGAACAGGGCATCACTACGGAGCGTAGACCTCCTCCCGCTTTCTGCGCATTTCCACTATCTCTGCCGCCGGGAATACGGTGCTGGATGTGTGTTGTGGAGGTTGTGGAGGCACACGATGCTGTATCTCACCTGCCGTTTTCGCTCACGTGCTTGGAAGGTCCTGTCACCCCCCCTGGCATCACGGCCCTCTCCCTTGCCCGAGCTGACGACGACGCGGTCTGCTGGGTGCATCACAATCATTGCGAACGAGATGAGGTTGTTTTGCAAGCCTGCATTCATGATACAAAACACAATCAATATCTGAAAAGAAGGGAGCGAAGGATTTAATTGCTGGACCCAGTCGTCCCTTACTCCCTCCTCCGCTTACCCAGCGTCGGAGCTCCCCGCCAAAGGCATTTTATTCCCATGTGTCGTCCCTTCCGGGGCCCTTGCCTGCGAGCGTCATGCTCAGGCTTGCCCAATCTCGCCTGGCTACGCCACATGCGATTAGCAAGGCCCATCTGCATTGCATCCCCCTTCGTCATCCCACACCAAAACGAAGCCACGCGGTGCCTAGTTGCATCCGCCGAAGCCATTAGCGTGCATCTTATTTATTGTTGGTGTGTCAGACTGCAGGCGGTACAGTGCTTACCACTCCGCCAAATGCGACCATCGGAGAGTAACTGCTAGTGCTGGGGTGTGGTACTGCGTAGTGGCAGCACCAGCGCGCGGCAGCACCAGCAACAGCACCAGCGGCAACACCAGTGTGGTGCCAGGTCCTGGTAGTGCTGGGTAGGGTGGCAGTTGACATTCTGGCTAATGTTCTGATCTGCGCCAGCTGGAGACCAGCACGGCCACCAACACAAGTTTGACCGCCGCCACAGAGAGCTAAGGTGCTATGGCCACGATCTGCCTGCCAGCGCATGTGCTAAGAGCGGCTTCCTCTCATGGCGATGGGACAGACACAGGGGACAGGCAGCAGAACCACGAAGCTTCTTGATGCTCCTTGCTCCAATGGTTCACGGCAAATGTTCGCGGTAGCTCGCCCTTGGGATTGCGGATTGCCCTTGGCTTGGATGCCCTTGGATGAGAGAGAGCAAGTATCTTGTGTACCTCAAACCCCGAGCTCGTCCACTTTGTACTTTATGAGTACGCCAACACCCCTAGCCACCTCGCCATTATTACTGTATTATGTGCTGATCTTCAGAGGTACCTTTCGCGTATGTGCGGAGAGCCACCGGACATTATACTTTGCATTACCCATCTCCACGATTGACACAAGGGGGGGGGGCAACCAGAGATGGTCCTAATATCCTAATTCCGCCATTTTCAGCACAGTCCCCCAGCCACCGCGCCCCTAGCGCACCATCGAAAGCGCACTAGAGGCGGGCAATGAAGCGACGCTTGTCCCGAAGAGGGTGTTGATACGTACGTCGCGAAGTTGGGTACCCATGAAGTAATGAAGTACGTGGGCAGAACTGGCTGTAACTGTGCTCTGTCCCCCGACTTTTTGTATGCACCTGTATGGCACACACATTTTCCCTCGAACGGACCGATCAGGAGGGAGGGAGAGAGAGTGGCGGGCGAAGGGAAGGGCGTAGAGTTGCAGTAACAGCGCGCAGAACAGAACGGCACAGTCAAATTGTTCGAAACCAGGGTTAGATCAGATTAGTTACCGAAACGGGGTGCGGCACAGCGTAATTGAAGAAAGCCACAGCTTTTTAAACCCGGCTCGGAGATTATCCGGTAGCGTGGAAGGTCCCCACGAAGCAGAATCCGACAGTAGCGCGCTGTACGTGTGTTTTAGCAGCTGGGAGTACGGGGAATTGTTGCTGGGAATTCGCTGCTGGGAATACAGTAAGTACACTGGGAGTGGTACTGGGGGGGTGGAGGGGAGTGAGGTAGAGCTGCCTAAGGAAAGGTTGGTGGTGGTGGGTGTGGGATGGTTGTGTGGGAATGGGGATGGGAGGAGGGGGGGAGCCATGAGTGTCCCATAAATTTTGCATGACAAAAACACGCCCCCGAAAGGTGCTCCACGGGCGATCATCCATCCATCCCGCAACCACAATCCCTTGGACAACCCCACCGATGAGACACGCAAAGTACAGTCATTGTACATTACTAATGCAGGAAGGGTTGGCAGGAAGTATATTGTAAGGGTGTGTGATGCAGCAAACACCGTAGTACTTTGGTGGGCTGCTTGGCGGCGGACTGGGAAGGAAGTTACTTGCAGTAGTTTCCAGTAGTACTTAGGGCTCAACGACTGGTACTTCACGGCCCATCACTGCCGAGGCCGAGATAAAAGAAGAGTGAGCACTACGCACTTCGCACTACGAACGGAGACTAAGGTTCGACACCAACGGAGTTGCTTGCTTGGATATTCAATTAGGAAGTATCGGGCGCCTCGGAGGCTTTGTGGCCTCCTTTCTTGTTTTCTATCCCATCTCTAATGAGCGAAAGGGGCGGGAATTATGGGCGTTGTGTGGCCAATGAGAGAAATGAGATTTTTGTGAGGGGTAAGGCAAATGCCATGGATTATCACCGCACGGATCATGGTGAGGTTTTTGGTTATTTCCGTCATTTTTGTGGGAGTGATTTCCGCGTTTGTTTTGTCGACCCACTCATTTTACGCAGCCGAGTGGGAGATGATGGAGACAGCTGAGAGGAGGGCGGCGTGTGAGGAGAGAGAGAGATGGGCAGAGAGAGAGGGTGGGGGGTATTTGTACTGTACATATACTCTACAACATACATAAATATTTACATACAATACTGTACAATATATATATTATTTCTATGGTTCTGGTTGGGTATCGTGTGTTATTTGACACCATTGGCGATGACGGTGAATCATCCCATCGGCAGCTCTGCGGGCTTCGGATCTTCCAGAACAGGGTGATCCCAGTGCGCATCATCGTTTAGAGTTCAATCAGTCGTTAGAGAGCCGCGCACTAAGGCCGTCGACGGTGTCGTTTCTTACTACAGTAGTACTATAGCACTATAGTATAGTACTATAGTATAACACACACACACACACACAGTAATTTTAGTCCGAGATGACCTGAGGCTACGACGCACCGGGCCAAGTTACAGCGAGACGCAGGAGGCTAGGACGGAAGCGGTGCTAGTAAGTTGGCCGGTGCTGGTCAGTGGTGGGTGGTCGGTAGCAGAGCATGGGGGAGGGAATCGGCTATTCTGTTTCGGTCAATTATTCCTCCGTCAGGAAACACAGAGGTATCTCGACAGCTCGCGACTACTGAAGTCGCTACGGAGATAGGCTGTATGGGTACTTCGCTGTACTTCCGACGGCCGAGAGGCTAAATGCAAGATGGGAAGCAGACCCAAAGACCCCACGCCCACAATAAAATACCATAGTAGAGTAGAGTAGAGTCTACGTACATACGTAGTTGAAGTACATACATTTATCTTACCTCCGTACGCTAATGGAAACTCCGCTTCCACTCTTTTTCCTCGTCGGCGGTCCTTCCTTCATCCTTCCCTCACCCACCCATTACTTACCCACACTATCCCATCCCCCCCAGTACCGAACTAATACTTTCCGCTGTAGTACAAGCAATCCTCACCTTTCACTCCCACTCCCACCTTGCTCGCTCTCCCACTAAAATTTCCCATCCCACAATCGAAGCACAACGCGATACACGGACGCTACGCCAAAACCCACGCCCGCGCCCACGCCCGCCCAGACTACGCGACATACTACTGCCGGGAGGGGAGTGCGCGCCGAGTATAGTCCCAAGTCACTCCAGCGCCACCACCCACACTCACTTACGCCCACTTACGCCCACTTACCACTCTCTCATAAGGGCAGAGGCGGTAGTGAAGTCAGACGTATGTGCGTTGTGTGTGAGAGAGGTACTCTGCTTGTAACTGGCAATCTTGTATCGGTTTCTGGAAAGACATAAATCTTAGTATCTACGTAGTTGTGTCTGGGTGTAGCGGAGGTGCTTCCATCAATCACATCATCTACCGACCGCGCATCTTGACCCTGCCCAGCTGCCCTGTCTCTCTGTACTGTACTGGTGGGTTTGTGTCTTGCCCTTGCCTGCAAACAATCCTTGGAAAAGGAAGCAGAGGAAGCTGAGGAGAAACAGACGTAGAAGAAGTGGTACTGTTGCTAGAAACAGCAAATCAGACCTGCAAGCATCGGGCTCTAAGGTCTCCGCGTCTCTGCAGCTCTAGTATACTGCTGTACAGGATCGTGCTGTACCTCTCATCTCTGTCTACTACTATAGTAACTAGTACTACTACTCTGCATTCGCATCTGCACCACTACGACACACTACGACACTACCACTATTACAGAACCACAGAAACCACACTACTACTGTACTCAAAAAGAATACTCGTACGGTACGACGGGTGGTACTTACAAACTCGCCGCTGGGTACTCGCACATAGAGCGAAGAGTCAAGTACTCTACTCCACTTCGAAAAAGTTACTCGATCTTGACAGTACAGACAAGACACAGATAGACAGACCAGATCTGAACTGCCTACACCTGCCGACGGTCATAGTCAACCCCCAATAAACTCTCCACCCAAAGAAACCAAAGAGGGCGAGAGAAAAAAAAAGGCCTGAAGCAGAAGGCGAACACCGGATTCTCCGTTCTGCCCTCTCTCTTGCGCCTTCCCCCACACCCCCCCACCGCCCGGCCGTGGCAATCCCATACACAAAAAACAACAAACAGAAACTTTGCCCCCCGAAGTCCGAATCCTTCTTTCCTTCTACTCTCCCCAACCAGGAAACAAAACTCCATCCCACTCACTCCTTCCTCCACCCAAAAACATCTAAACTACGAAACGAACGAGTACTAGTTAGTACACGCCAAAAAGCCAATATCACACCACTCAACGGAAGCTACGTACGAACTACTACGAACTAAACTACGAAGTACGAGTACTCATACTTACATATACTACGTATATCACTTTTCTCCACTTGGTCAAAAAACTCCACACTACTACTCGAACGACACTACTTCAACGACACTACTCGCACTACTCGACGGAGACTACTTGCAACTTACATCACGCTACACCATACACGCCGCACTAATACTCAACTACTGCTCACACCACACTACTCTACATACTCTACATACTCGACATACCATACCACACTACACCATCACGCACCACACCACACACACCACCACCACACACCACACCACCCTCACATCTCCCCACCCCGCCGCCCCGAATAAAAAGCCGCCTAACCCACGAACCCGGCTGCTAAACCCGCTAATCTTCTTCTTGGCCTCTGGTCAATCTTTACCGGTGGCTTTCCTAGTCAGGGCTGCAATCGACGGCTTTGCGCAAATACCAACCACCCACGTCCCGCCGCCGGCTTCTTATACCCATCTAAATCTTAGACTTGGAACCATCCCTCTTACCGTCTTACCTGCCTGCCTGCCTACCACCAAACTACGAAAACCCCGGGCTTGCTCAAGAATCTCTTTCATATACACACCCACAAAGATCGAACTTGAATAGCTGTGGAGGAGCTTCTCTCGACGCGACTGTTTTAGCACGTCCTTGGTGTCTATACAGCATCTCATCTAGTAATTCATATCCCCCGCTACCACTCGGCGCATACTCCACGAAATACGTTGAAACGCGCGACCAAGAACAGACAAAAGCACCGCCGTTGTCAAGATAGCCTCGAGCACCAAACCTCGGCGCATTTGCGAAGAACCGTCCACCGCTCTATGGAACGTGGCGCATCCGAATTCTCGCGGTCAGGTTTGAATACGCCCTATACACCAACGTTTAACGACGCGTCCGTCGACTCCCCCGCCGAACACCAGTCCCCCGCGAGCTATCCCGCTCAAGAAGTCCGACCCGTCAACTACTCGGCCTCTGCGACGCCCACGTCCGCGCGTTCAAGTTCTTTCCCAGAACATATCCAACGTCAATACTATCCATCAAGCAACCATAGCGGTAGCAGTGGAGGTATGGCGCAACCAACAAGTCCGTCTCTGCCTCTGCAAGATGGCGCTTCAAACCATCATGCTCAGCAAATCAAGTCTGACCAGGATGTTCCTATAGATCCATCAATCGCTGCGTCGAGCCCAACATATCCTCCCCACGGCGGCCCTTATTCTGCATACCCACCGCAACAAGAGATGTCGCACGGCTATCCTCAGCACCCAGGTGGCCCGATGTACGCCCAGCAACCCCGCCCCGACTGGGCAGGCTACGGCCAGCACCCACAACATGGCATGCCTGCCCCATACCCGTCATCTGGTGTGAGTGCCCCAAACTCAGCTGCCCCGTCAGGACCCCGCCCAGGACAAGTAAGTATTCGTATTTTTATGCTTCCATGCCGCCATTTGTGCCGCGGTCCTCGCGCGCAAACTGTTCGCAGGGTTGCCTGTCATGGCCGTTTTCTTGCGAGCCCAGCAACAACTGGGTATCACTTGGATGCGGCTTGACTCGCGTTCGGCGCATGAAATGATCCGAGGCAATGGCATTTGACATGCGATTAATTTCATGACCTGTTGGGCTCGTTCGACTACTTCTCATTTACAGACATACGATAATTGAAACGCAACTGACTGTGTACAGCACCCTCTCTCCCAGGTCTACTCTTTCGTCCCGATTCCCGGTGCACAACAGCACAAGCGCCCCAGGAGACGTTATGAAGAAATTGAGCGCATGTACAAGTGCGGATGGAATGGCTGCGAGAAGGCCTACGGCACACTTAATCATTTGAATGCTCACGTTACTATGCAATCGCATGGCCAAAAGCGCACTCCAGAAGGTATGTTTGAGTCCATTATTTCGTTGCCCCACGTTATGCGTGGTTTGGTTACACCATCTTCCCGCCGTTGGGGGCCGGAATTCGAGATGGCGCGCGCAGTCCTATTATTTCCCCTTGTCAGAGCTTAAGCCGATGCTTGTCTCGTATGGTGGTGTCAGGGCTGTATATTTTAGCCTCGTGGGCAGGGTGCCATGCGTTGGCGCCGAACTATGGCATGCAAGCGTCCGGTCCTGCGCTAGCTAGCATCGGCTACCCAGACGTCTGGGACTTGGCAGATCACGTTACTTTCACAACTTAAACATGCAAACCATCCACTAACATTGTTTCTCTCACAGAGTTCAAGGAGATCAGAAAGGAATGGAAGGCACGCAAGAAGGAGGAAGACGCACAGCGCAAGGCTGAGGACGACCGTGCCCGTGCCGCCCAAGTCCCCAACCCAGCCGACGGACAAAACCCGAACGACAGCAACCAGCCTCCTCCTGGATACCAACAACCTGGACGCGCTCAGGTCCAGCTTCCACCGATCGGCTACCAGCCTGGTGCACAAGTTCCTGGCCAATACCAGGCCCCATCCGGCGGTGTCCAGCAGCTTCAGGAGTACAGTAATAGCCACATGTACTCCGGATACCCAGCTTCTCCCTACGGGGCCCCAAGCCAGATGTATAGCCAACGTCATTAGCCCTTACCCCTCTTCGATTTGGAACCCCAAGCTGATCCGCTGTCTCACAGATAACGGTGCCCCAGCTCCAAAATACGAGCAACACTAAACGATGTCTCACGATCTTACAAAGACTGCAGCAAAACTGGCATATGGCCGCTCGTCCCAGAGCGGCAGGAGGAACGGGATTACTTAGTTATGGAAGTGCTACTGTATCATATGGGTCACTGATCGCATTTTTTCATCGGTGTCTATTATGACCCCTCTAGACGGACGTACGTTGGGACAAAGAAAGAAGATTCTGGTGGTTCTAGCCTCTTCCCTGTTTTTTACGAGACCATTGATCGATCGTTTTTTTATCATGTCATGATTACGGCGCAACATCATCTCCTAATTCTTGTCTTTTTGGGGGTGGTGTGGCATCGTAGACCTGCTGCTGCTGCTGCTGCTGTTGCAAATTATTTCGCACACGCACACACGCGGTCAATCAATTATTTGAGTTTACTGTTTTCCAGTTTTTGTTTTTTGCTTGTTTTTGATTTTACCGGCGCATGAATGAATAGTCAACTATACACAGACAGAAACGAAGACAATTGAGGCACCCCCATCATCGTTTCCGAGGCGCTCACCGTCGTCGTCTCCGCTTTCATTACTTCCGCACGGGCTTTCACAACCCTGTTGCGACCGTGGCGGCGGACGGCGATGTGTTTTCGACCTCTTGTTTTTTGATCCCTGACAACCTTTGTCGACAATTGCACACACCAGGGTGGTGGTGGACTCTCTTGTCTTTCGCGCTGCGCTGGGATTGGGAATTGTTCTGTCTTGTTCAGTGTTGAGTTCTTTATTAATGGCGCGAATCGCTACGCGGACGAACGCATGCACGCACGCACGCGGCTTCTTATGGTATATATTTTTTAGATTGGGGCCTTGCAAAAGAACTGTGGTTTTGAGGGTGTGTGGGTGGATTGTTGTGTTGAGGTTGTGCTGCTGTGCGTGTATGTCGTGTGTGGGGGAGGAAGGGGGAATGGGCGAACTTGTTTTTGTTGTTTGTAAACTTAGGCAACAGAATACTTGCGACGATTCGCGTGCACCATTAATGGAGTTTTACATTACACTGAATTATATGAATGGCTGTGAATGTGAATGTGAATGTGATATATTCTCTTGACGTGACGTATATACAACAACAACTATCTCCCCCCCTTCTTCACTCCACCCCCTCCAACACAAACCCCGGCGACCAATACTCCCACTCCCCACACTGGCTATCAACCCACAACATACTCTCCGCCACCAAATCATCAATCGCCGTCTTCGCCCTCGCCCTCGACCACTTGAGATTCAGCACCAGCGTCGACAGCGTCACGTACCCCATTATCTGGGCCGCAGAGAGGACGTCGCTCTGGTCCGTGTTGAGCTCTTTGGGGACGGAGCGGATGTATTGTTTCGACCCGATTTTAGGGGTGGAGTAGGAGGAGCCGAGGGGGGTGAGGGAGAGGACTGCGCGGAGGATGTCGTCGCTGGGAGGAGATAGGTTAGTGTGTGTGCTTTTGTAGGGCTAGAATGTTCAGGGCGTCGATGATGGGGGTATCTTCAACGGCCAGAGCGTTGCCTCGGCGTTTGTGCGGTGACAGTGCCGTCTGGGTTGCTACCCGTTTCACGTCACTGACGAAGCTGGTGCACCGCAAGCAGGCTCACTGGCAACAACATGTAAGGAAGGGGGGAATAGCAACATACTCCGTAATCTCCGGCGCCCCCTCCATCCTCCCCTTCATAATCCTCTGCCTACACTCCTTAACCGGTATCATCCCCCCATTCTCCTCCCTCGTCTGCCCACAAACCTCCACCACCCTAACTGCCAACTCGAAATAAAAATCATTCACACTCCCCCCCAAAAGCTGACTCCAGAGACTCCCCCCCTCCTTCCCACCCCCACTACTGCTAGCTAGAGGATCAACCCCGATCGCCGCGCACATGCGCCCGAACTCGGCGCGGAAGGTAGGGTTCGATCGGATGTCCTTGGCGTGCGTTTGGGCGAATTGCTGGAGCAGCGAGCGGAAGACGGAGAGTTGGGTTGAGAGGGAGCTGGCGTGCGTGGTGCGCAGGTTGGAGCCGTGGGAGGCGAATTGCGCGGAGGTGAGGCGCGAGCGGTCGAATGCCGCGAGGCCTACCGCTTTACGTGACATGATGGTGATGGGGAGACATGGGTACGAAATTGCTGGCGTAGCAATGTTTATGTACCGACGTTCATGGTTGCTTGATTTCGAGATTGTAGTGATTTGAGGGGGGAAGCTTTAGTCGCAATGAGGGGGGGAACGGGAGTCGTCACCGATACGCGGAGCTAGCGATAAAGGGCAAGGTGGTGCGATAAGGGTCACGTGCCCCACGCTTGGCGCGTTGGAACGGACTTTTGCATTAGCGCGGAATGGGCAAGGTAAGCGAAGCCCACAATCGAACAATTCGGGAGAAATTCAACACCTACCGCCCTCGACGACAACCTTCACGACTCCGACGACGAATCCTCGAGTTCACGCCAATCGCAACCATGGCCTCGACATCTCAGAGCGTTCAGTGCTTCGGCAAGAAGAAGACGGCCACCGCGGTCGCACACTGCAAGGTCAGTGCCCGAAAGCTTCGATGTTGTTGTGTGGTGGAATGGGAATACTGACGAGTTTTTGTGTGTATATAGGCCGGAAAGGGTCTTGTTAAGGTTAACGGAAAGCCGCTCAACCTGATCCAGCCAGAGATCCTCCGCTTCAAGGTAAATTCGCCCTCGCCCGGTCCCTGGAGAAACGAGAATGAGATGGGGGAATTTTGAGGTTCTGGAAGAAACGGTTTCTGACATCCTTCGCCCGCAGCTTTACGAGCCTCTCCTGATTGTCGGCCTCGACAAGTTCGCTGGCGTCGACATCCGCGTCCGCGTCACCGGTGGTGGACACACTTCCCAAATCTACGCCATCCGTCAAGCCATCGCCAAGTCCCTCGTCGCCTACTACCAGAAGTTCGTCGATGAGTACGCAAAGAACCAACTGAAGGCCGCCTTCGTCGCATACGACCGTACCCTTCTTGTCGCCGACCCGCGCCGCACAGAGCCAAAGGTATGCCGATTCCGATTCCGCCGCAGCAGGATTGCTGTCCGAGGATATTTTGCTAACGTTTTGTGTGTTACTAGAAATTCGGTGGTCCAGGAGCCCGTGCCAGATACCAAAAGTCTTACCGTTAAAATACCTGTATTGTTGCGTGTGGAGATGGGGTATTTTACGGGAATGGTGGTGCTGGGATGCATTGCTCATGGTGTTGGCTTGTGGCTGAGATGGGCGTAGGATTCCATGCAAAAAGAAATGCAAAGATTCTACGATTGAAACTATGTGCCGCTGAAGATAGTGCTCGCCGGGATATTATCACAACTACCACACGTTCGTCAATCAGCTGTGTCATTCGCCTTGTGAATCCTCGCTCTGGGAGATGGATGTGTGTGTTACAACAGTGATTTGCGGAATGTACGAAGTTCAGATGTTTGTGTCCTTCAATGATGGCAGTGTGTGCATAGCGTGTATATTTTGACATTGGCTGCCCATTTATTTCCCCATGCTCCCCGTTCGAATTCCAAAACAGTCTCCTGAAAATATCTCAACCCGAAAGGATTCCAACACTTGGTCAAGTATACGGTTATACCCAGTCGCAGCCATAAACTCTCCCCAGGTTCCCGGCAAGACAATAGCAATCCAGTAATCTTCCATTCCAACGCCAGTACCATCCTTCCTTTATGCCAGAACCCGTTCCGTTATATAAACACATAATGTGGCATTGTCCACTTCTATACCGTAAATAACCCCAAAAGACGCACCGTATGCAACTCCAAGGTAGTCATTCCCACGCAACGAAACCCGCTTCAACCACCAATAAAATCACTTCCACCTCATGAATCCCTCTTCAACCAATCCGGATCATCCGTAATCCTCCACGGCGTTATGCCAGTTGGGTTCTTTGCCCTGCTCTGGCTCGTATGTTCAAAGAGTTGGCGGCTCTGCGGGTTCTCCATGATTTCCCGGAACTGCTTTACCTCGGAGTTGGCCGTCAACGCAGCTTGACTGAGCTGTTGGAAGAGGATTTCAGCTGTTTTCGTGGTGTTAGTCCACCTGACGCACGGTTTGGATTGGGGGACTCACGAGACGCTTGCTTGGTGGCTAGGGATGCGACGAGATTTGGGATCGTTGAGCGGAGTTGGCGGAGCTATATCATGTGAGCCACAGTACAGAACAGCTGGGGGGTGGTTGCGTACCTGAATATACATCTCCTTCAGGGTCTTTTCCGCCTCCTGAAGATGTTCACCATCCCACTCTTGCTGCGAAGTTGGTCCAGGCTGTCCTTGGTTTGCAATTACGGACTCATTGATGCCATCAACCCCATTATTCGCCATCGCGATAATCTGGAAAATAAAGTGAATGCAAGAAGTCGCCTAACCTTTCACAAAACAAGCGCACCATGCAGATGCTCTTGTCATGCTGCGATTAACGTGAAAGTCACGGGATAGATTTGTTCGGGAATCTGGTCTTGGATCGGCGGCTAGTGCTAGTCCAGGTTCGGTGGTCAAGGCAAGGAGCCGCTCATACCACACCGAATGCCTAAATCGACGACGTTTGATAGCTGGAAGGTTTGAATGTGGTGCACTTTATATTGTATTCGTATTTATATTTTAGTACAGTGATCAGTTTCTATATTTAATTTAGAAACAGTAGATATTGCAAAGCAAGCACTAATTCAATCTATGACCCGTATTTTTGGCATTATGAGCTAAAAGGCGTCGAGGCAAATACAGCACCTGCCATTTTCTCAGGATCGTAATTTGCACAATACTCTACCTTTGACATGCCAGCGACCTATAATGCCACCCATATCTTCAAAGACGATGCCATGAGAATATAATTTATATCCCGAGATACTACAAGGACGACTTGGGTCACGGGACTACTATATATATAAATCTCGAGCCTTCACGCCCGATAGGCCTCGATTGCGCCTTTCACCGTTACTGCTACTCTGCAACCCTCGGAATATGGCCTCAAATAACAAGGATTCGTCATCTCAGAATGAGTCGAATCACCGCCAGCAACACTTGACTCGGCCGATAGCGCTGCCGTTGCGGCCGCTGCCGAGATCAGGTAGGAGTCCAGGAACAGGAACTGCGCCTCGCGCGGATGCCTCAACCGGGGATTTGAGTGGCTCTCCCATGAACTCGCTCCAGTTACATGCTGGCAACTCACGGGAAGAATATGGGTCATCACAGTACCTTCAGGCAGGAGACGTCGTGATCATTGCTGGCGTACCGCCAGGCTCCTTCATTGGCTATGACACAGTCGGCTTAAATATTGAAAAGAATCACCACTTCGGAGGGGTTCGCGAATTACCTCCTGGGCCACATTTTGTCTATGGCGGTTCCATGTCTGAGATATCGACTCGGAATGGGTTCTGGATTATCTCAAACCAAAGACAGCCTGGAGAACCGGGGGAGGTTTTCGTTAAGAAGTGGGATAGAAACACAGAGACTCTGGAGGATGAGGACAGTGCTGTTGAAACCAGGAGGCAAAAAGACAATATACATTCAAGCTACGGCACATTACTGCCATACGATGTACGAGCTGCCCAAACGCCGGAACTTTCAAAATCGAGGGGAAATCCAGCGGAAGCACATGGTGATGATCCCAGGACCTGGCAAGATCTTACATTCGCGATCAAAGGTCCTATGCTCAGCAGGGTAATCGGTGGCACCTGGAATAACTGGAAAGTGACGTCCATGGACGAACCCAAGTCGACGGATACCAAACCAGCCGACAACCAACACCAAATGGCAATGGGCATAGTTCCCGCTCCAAATCCTGTCGATGTTGCTATTGCCGAGGAAAAGAAGCTCGGGTTTATTTTCCCGGCTGGATCTAAAACTTACTCGGAGACGGCGATAGGTCGAGCTCGAAGTGAGCAAGCCATGGATAGTTCGTCGCATGTGAGGGGTGTTATAGCGGAGAGCTGTACTTCAGATGGACCGAACGATGTGCTTGGGGAGTTGCAGTTCTGCTATTTGACCGGAGTCTTGCTTAGCAATCTTTGTTGCATGGAACAATGGGGCCATGTGGTCAAAATACTCTTCAAGGCATTCAGATTCGCCGTGGAAGAGGCTCACTTCTTTGCTAAAGTTATTGAAGTCTTCCACTCGCAGCTGGTCTATGACGATGAATACCTCCAAGGCAGCATATTCGACCACAGCAACCACTTACAAGATGAGTTGAAGGTAGAATTGACAATTTTCAAATCACGACTTACTGAGCAGCTATCTTCAAAACCTGACGGTTTGAGCAGGGAGGAGAACGAGTTAAAAGCGGCCTTTGGAAGACTGGAATCTTGGCTGTCGAAATGGGGCTGGGACCTGGGGGGTAACTATCTTAGAGTTGGTAAGATCCAGCTCGAGGATGGTGAATACGTGGATGCAGAAATGGAAGACCTGGAGGCCGAGGATGAAAGGGGTGAATATGCGCCGGTTATGGTTGAACTGGATGAGGGCGGGAGGGAAAAGGGCACGATTGGGTGGTAGTGAGGGCGAGAAGTATTTCTCATTGTGCCATACTGTGCAGCATCCACATACAAAACACCACCCTTTGAAAGAATATCTTATCTTACTTTGAGGAATGCAATACCCCGGTCCTGTCATATTTTGTATGGACCATACGAAATCTCTATCTCTACATATGAATATCAGACTTGCGTGAATGTTGTCTCCAGTTCAGAGACATTTCATGGCGGGGTCCTTCCGTGGCGGGGTTGTGCCCAGGGGTCGAGCCGCAGGACAGCTGAATGCAATCATTTTGAATTCAAGGAGTCCCAAAAGAAACTACCAATGGCCCCATTAAGGTATTATTGAAACGGATTAGGTTAGAGTTACAGCCACACAAGCATCGTCTTTTATCACTTATCACAGCATATTTGGAGCAAACGTGTACTTGAGCATGGGTTCGATTCTTTCTACTGATGTGCTCTACTGTCGCGTGGCAACATAGCAGTATTGAAGACCAGGCAATTAGAGCCGTTCTCCGCGTGATTGTCAAATCTGCACAAAAACCCAAATATCCACAGAAGCCATCGTCTAAAGACGACGACCACGGCGACCACCCTTGCGGCGGGTAGAATCGGAAGGAGTTGGGGTAACATCCTCGATTCTGCCAATCTTCATGCCAGAGCGGGCAAGAGCACGGAGGGCAGACTGGGCACCTGGGCCGGGGGTCTTGGTTCCGTTACCTAAATTTTGTTAGCGCCTGTCCTGGAGCAAAAGATTTTATGGTGAGAATTACCTCCGGTAGCACGGATCTTGATGTGGAGGGCGTTGATGCCGAGCTCCTTGCAGCGGATGGCGACATCCTGAGCAGCCAACATGGCAGCGTAAGGAGAGGACTCATCACGATCGGCCTTGACCTTCATGCCACCAGTGACACGGGTGATGGTTTCGCGACCACTGCAAATCCAAGTTAGTCCCCATTCTTTCGACCAGATTCGCCCAGATTTCAGGAGTATGGGCTCTCCACGGGTTTACGAACCTGAGATCGGTGACGTGCACGAAGGTGTCGTTGAAAGAAGCGAAGATGCGAGCAACGCCGAAGACAAGCTCACCTACGGAGATCGTTAGTGGGGGTTTCTCGACAGAATTGATTCCAACGTACCATCTCTGACCTGAGGGCCGAGGGAGATGTTCTCTTGCGCGGGGCGCGCGACTTTCTTTGGAGGCATGTTGGCGGTTGTTTTGGCGTTGGGAGATTTTGACAATGTTTCAACAAACTAGGCCATCAAATTCTTGAAGTTGTTGTGTGCGCCGCGAACTTTAAGCGACCTAAATCGACACTAAGCCAGAACAGGTTACCCATATCGGTCCGTATTTATTTCAGATTTTGTCTGCTTCCTCCTCCAACTTTCTTTACTATCAATAAATTCTCTGACTGCGACATTTTCACACTCCCTACCGTGCATCACCAGTCACAGATGTGAGCCGCTCACTAACCTTTTCATTGGGTAACTTCCATGAGATTGAACTACAGAGAATAGCGACAACGCCGAAGCCGCAGCCATGGAGAACTTTGTCGTTGGCATCATTGGCATGGGGGATATGGGGAAGATGTACGCAAGGCAGCTCAGCGATGCAGGATGGAGGTAATTTACCAATCCCTGCCGTTGGGCAACCAACAAGATGGTAAGATTCAATTTTTTCTTCTCGCGACACCCCCCACATAATGATGACTTGAGTGCATTTGGCTCGACGCATCGTCTTCACCCAGCCCGACTGCCTTTCTGGCACCGGGATTGGGGGTCGACTTTCACTGATGAATAATCTCAGCTACCTTATTTTTATTTGTCTGAATCAACTTATTGAACACTTGTTTCTCTATTTCACATGGAAGGACTCAAGCTAACAGTATATCAGCATCAGGCACAACTTCGCATATAATGCCGAACACTTCGTGAGTTTGGGGTAAACAGTACTAACAAGGCCATTGCAGAGTCAATGCTTGTGATAGAGAAGAAAAATATCTGGATCTAGTGGATGAATTCTCCAGTAGAGTATATATATCTGTACATAGAATTCTTGCACATCGTGCTGAGTACCCAATAGAAACAAGTTGAGATACTACCCAACGGCCACTTGGTCTCGAGAGCGAGCGATTATATCATTTACAATGTTGAGGCCGCCTCCATTGACAAAGTTGTGGCACTGTATGGGCCATGTATGTGTCTCTTTGCCGTGATTGATTCGACAGGGGACTCGTGAGGCTAACATTATATAGCAACAAAACAAGGCGCTATTGTTGGTGGACAGACTTCTTGTAAATCCCCGGAGATTGCGGCGTTCGAGGCCCACCTGCCAAAAGACGTTGATATCGTCTCTTGCCATTCTTTGCACGGACCTAATGTTGATCCCAAGGGCCAGCCGTTGGTTAGTTGCACAATGCGAGAAGCCATCGTTGCGTATGCTGATGATGATATAGGTCTTGATAAAACATCGTGCCTCTCAGGCCAATTTCGACCGAGTCGAGAAAGTCCTTTCTTGTCTTGGCTCGCAGCATGTATATCTCAGTGCTACAGAACATGACCGCATCACCGCAGACACGCAAGCAGTGACTCACGCTGCATTCCTGTCCATGGGGAAAGCATGGCATGCTAACGCCCAGTTTCCATGGGAAATCGCGCGTTACGTTGGAGGCATCGAAAATGTCAAGATCAACTTGACTCTCCGTATCTATTCGCAAAAATGGCACGTGTACGCAGGACTAGCAATACTGAACCCATATGCCAAAGAACAAATACGCCAATATTCTCAGTCCGTCACTGATTTGTTCAAGCTGATGCTGGGAGGGAACAGGGAAGAATTTGAAAGGCGTATCAGAGCTGCTGGCGCTGCTGTTTTCGATGCACAGAAGTCGCATCACGGGATCCTCCTCGAAGACGAAGTCCTTGATAGGTTCTCACTTGGGAAGAAACCGGACGAACCGACCCCAAATAACCATCTTAGTCTTCTGGCCATGGTTGACTGCTGGTCGAGGATGGGTATCGTCCCATACGATCATATGATCTGTTCTACTCCCCTGTTCCGGCTATGGCTGGGTGTCACCGAATATCTATTTCGCAAGCCCGCATTACTAGACGATGTTATTCGAATTGCTATTGAGGACAACACATTCAGATCCGACGACCTCGAATTTACATTTGCTGCACGTGGGTGGTCTGACTGTGTGACCTTTGGAGATTTTGAGTCATACAAGGACCGATTCGAAAGCACCAGGAAATTCTTTGAGCCTAGGTTTGCTGATGCTACAAAGGTCGGTAACGAAATGATGAAGACGATATTAATGAATACTATGAGGGAATGATCGTAGATGGGGTTATCATCTGGTGGGGGTAGGAGCAGAATGAGGATTTAGTGGCACTCAACTCAGCGCCTGTCCTAATGGTTTATGCACTGTATAATTGCCAGTCATTACTTAGCATGAGTAATACTATAGCATGCGCAAATCATGAATCATTTTTGAGCCAGTCATCTCCCAACTAAATATAAACCCAACTATGGTTTTCAGTTTGCGGTGCCAATATCTTACCCATTCGCCTCGCGCTAAATCCGATCTCCCCACCCCGCCAATGAATGGATGCCTTAGGGCATGGAAAGATCTCTCGCTTCCATAAAAATTAGCGCGGGGACCCAACCTCAATTTCTTACTCTCAAAACCGCGACGACATCTGTGCGCGCTCTGCATCTACGTACCTACAACGTCAAAGGAAGCGCCCTTGTACTCAACAAGATGAGTTCAAAATTCTTCCGTACCGGAGACGACACCTCCAGCGAGAGCAGCTCCGAGGAAGAGGAGGAGCTCTACTCTGAATCGGAAGAGGAGGAGCAAGAGGCGTCCGAGTCCGGCTCCGAAAAAGAAGATGAGGAGGAGAGCGAATCCGAGGATGAGAAGGCCGGCGGCAAGAAGACCGGTGCCATGGCCTTCTTCCGTGGTGCCGGATCTGATGAGGACGAGAGCACCGACGACGAGCAAGTCCACGTTGTGAAGAGCGCCAAAGACAAGCGTTTGGAGGAGCTGGAGGCGACATCTAAGGCCATCGAGAACGGAAAGAAGATCAACGACTGGGGTTCTATCTCCGCAGGTATGTTAAATTATTACGGCTATAAAAGTTCGCGTTTGCTGATCATATTTGTACTTTAGAGTTCGATAAGATCAACCGCCAGGTTGTCAAGCTTCTTCAATCCGGAAGCATGCCCAAGCTGTACATTAAGGCCATTGCCGAGCTCGAGGACTTCATGAACGAGACGATCGCGAAGCAGAAGGTTACTGCGAAGAAGATGAACGCCACAAATGCCCGTGGTCTCAACGCGGTCAAGCAACGTATCAAGAAGAACAACAAGGACTACCAAAAGGATGTCGATGCTTACAGAGCCGACAAGGATGCCTTCATGGAGTCGGAGGAGGAGGAAGAGGTGGTGGTCGTTAAGAAGCCCGGAAAGGCTGCTGTCAGCTTCGCATTAGATGAGGAGCCAGGAGCAGACGATGGGTTCCATACCGTTGGAAAGGGCGGCCGCACCTTACAATTCACACCCGAGAGCATCTTGAAGCATCTGCGAAGCATCATGGAGTCCAGAGGAAAGAAGAACACCGACCGCACAGAACAGATCAAGATCATGGAGAAGCTTTACGAAGTCGCCACAACACCGTACCAGAAAATCCGCGTCCTTCTTACCTTGATTTCGACTCGTTTCGATCTATCGACTGGTGCACAGACCTTCATGTCGCAGGAGCAATGGAAGGCCGCTGAGCAGGAGTTCGGAGCCCTTCTTACAATTCTGGAGTCAAACCTCGATCTTGTGGTCGTGGAGAACGCTGAGGAGTGGGAGGATGACGAGAAACAGCCGGTCCCAGTTGCTGGCGAGAAGCTGAAGATCCCAGGCAGTGTGGTGTCTTATATTGAAAGGCTAGACGACGAGCTCACCCGATCCTTACAGCATATCGATCCTCACACCGCAGAGTACATCGACAGGCTCTCGGACGAAGGCTCTCTCTATAACAGCATCGTCAGGACTCAATTATATGTTGAGGTGATGACAAAAGATGCTACCTTAGAGATCCCGCAAGATAATACAAACAGGATTATCATGCGAAGACTGGAGCATGTATACTTCAAGGTTAGTGATACCCAGACATCGACATACTGCTCAACGTGCTAACGTGTTTTTCCAGCCCGCTACCGTCGTCAAGATTTTGGAAGAGAACTGCTGGAAGTCAATCCCGGCATCTCTAAAGTCGGCGATTACCCCGCAAACCCAAACCCCCGATGCCACCGCTCTTGTCAATGTTCTCTGCAACTACCTCTTCATTCACAGCGAAGGTATCATCCGCGCTCGCGCTATGCTTTGCCA